GCTCCACCACCTCTATCACCACCACCTCTATTATCACCACCTCTATTATTACTACCTCCTATTAGTAAAAATATTATAACTTATTATTATATTATATATATACATAGCGTAAAGCTAATCTTCTCTACCCCTTTTAGTCTTAGTTAGGTATTATAGCGTATAATAGAAATAAAACTACTTTTTATACTTAATTTAAACCCCTACTATAAAAGTAACTACTACTTTAAACCTATTAACAGGTATACACAAGGTTAGTTTACACCTATATAGCAAACCCCTAGCGTACTATTCTACAGTAAACAATTTTTTGCCGTAGTGTATGGCGGTGTGACGCGTGGGTAAAATCTTTCTGGAGATCAGGTCAGGAAGGTGGGTCAGACGGTGGGCGATGCAGCCTTGACAGCATGATCTTCTGTCGCATATACAATTCTTGGGACGTGTTCTGGATCGCCTAGATGTTTGAACCTGAGTCGTTGAAAGGTAGAAAGAGGACAGATAAATGGGTTTATCCACTCAGCCAGTACAAATAGCTCTGATAGTACCGTAAGCATTGCTTCCAATTCCAGGTCCAAGCCCTAACTACATTGTGAGAAGAATATCCAAAGAACTCCGAACACAATTATCGATTCTATGACAGCTTAAGAGTGAAAGCATTTAGGTGAGTCGAGGATGCTGCTGCTAAGAACAAAGGAAGGTAATCATAGTCATCAAGGCTGGGCAACGTACAGTATCATAGTCAACCAGACCTACGATGAGTGCCATACTCGTCATACAATAGAGAACGACTACATGCCTATTCGCGACTCCAGTGCGCTCGAATTCCATGAAACTGACTCAAAAAGACTCCCGTCTCAAAGTATACCAGATCATCTCACACCCCGTCATCCCTCGGACTCTGAAATGCGAACTACGCTGCATAGGTAGCTAAGGTGATCCACTCAAACACCTAAAGCCATGATTGTGTCCCATTGTGGCCTTTGAATCTTGTCTGTTCTTATCCAGAAATTTGCCACCTAGAGGCTTCTTGAACTCGTTGCAACATGTGTCATATACAATCGCAACAATGACAGCATCCGTTGTGCAGAACCTAGTCATGAATAGTGTGGTGGTGGAGGGGATGATGGTATAATTAGTAGAGTAGTGGTACATGTACTGCACGTTAAATAGGTAGCTATATATCCTCAATACATATCCTCGTACTATCCTCCTCTGCTAATCCCCCGCTTTATCTTCCCCTCGTTGCAATTGAGTTAGGATCGTGATGTGTACATGTATGGCGATAGAAATATACGATCTAGACCATATCCTACCCCAACATCCACATGAAACCAAATCCTCAATAAATATACAGAAGACGCAACAGGAAACCACAGAGCAAGAAAAGGTATGTTTTATTACACCGTTTGGAGGAGACGTGCATTGCTTTTGACTTTCATCTTGCTTTTTGTACGTACGATGTATATACAAATCTGCATCTATGTATAACCTATCAAATCTAGCCACCACACTTTCCTACATTGACATGTATATCCACATGAACGACACACTCCAGCACACTGCCGAAACTCCCATAGACACGCAACAACACCAGGAAACAACTAATGTAAATGCAACCCCAGACCGGCGCGTAGGAAACGTGGCAATGTTAGATAGGGATTGTAGTGTACGGTATGGTATGTGCGACGGCATTGCGGCGGCGTGAACTGTTTTTATTGTTTTTGGATTACTAAGGGGGGGGGGGGGGTGGGTGTATAGATGTCTGTTTATATTTGTGTTTATGCTTAGATCATATGTGAGCGGTTCAAGGATAGAAGAGAGGATGTTATGTAGACGTGCACGTGAATATAAGCGTATGTAGTCCAAGTCCTGGGCATGGGTCCTATTCCGCTACTTTGCCCCCAGCTTAGCGTCTACCACAGTACCAGCACGAGCACTATTTGACCCCTCCCTCGCCCTAGCCACACCCTCATGCTCCCTCCTCAACTTACCCGCATCCAACTTCTCGAATCCAAAACTCCATATCCGCTCGCCAATCTCCATTTCCCATTTACTCCGCGGCAACTCCGCGGCACCACCCCGCCGCTTTCTGCCCACATGCTGCACCAAGGAAGGGGTAACCGCATACCGCAGCTCGCCCCTTTCATTCGCAAAGTCCTCAATCAACACGTCGACATAGCCGAAATGGCGCTCCTTGAGGTAGGCGAGGAGCTCAAGGGCCTTTGTGGTGGGAAAGACAAAGGCTTGGCTGCAGCATCCAAATTGAGGCATTTCGTGAACGCCAGAGGGCAGGGGGAGGACGGTGATGCGACCGAGGGCGAAGAAGAGGAGGATGAGGGTTGCGAGGCTGGCGTAGGCGGTAAGGAAGGTGCGGAGGGAGAGGAGGGAGAGGTTATGTTTGGTAGTGGGCTGGGTGAGGCGCATGAAGAGGAGGACGAGGGTAGGCAGGACGGAGACAGCGAGCGAGTTCTTGAGGTAGTGTTTCCAATTTTCGACGTTCCAGCCGAGGAATTCTTCCGTGTAGAAGAGGCGGAGGTAGAAGAAGGAGGGCATGGAGCGCACGAGCGCGGCTTGCTGTTCGGCCTCGTGTAGGGCTGCGAGCGTGCGGTGGTACCAGCCGTCTGCGGCGATAGTGTCGTCTTCAAAGACGGCGATGTAGGGCGTCAGCTTCTCCGAACACTTGTCGAGCAGGTAGCCGTAGTCGAAGAGGCTCTTTTCATCAACGCGGCCCTGGGCTTCCATGTCGCGGATGTATTGCATGCGGTCGAAGCCGTAGCGGTAGGTGAGGACCTCGTCTGTAAGGTCAGAGAGCCATTTTTCGCTGTAGGCCGGGTGGTGTTCGGGTTTGGAGTGGGGGAGGAAGACAATGAGGTAGATTTCCTGTCGTTCTTCTGTTGTCAGGCCATGCAGCAGCGAGCCCACGGCGTGCTGCAAATTCTCCGCCTGCGGTCGATTGTACGACGGTATTCCAACACATATTTTTCGTTTCTTCTCATCATCGGCTTTGACGACGCTGGCTGGGTTGTACGACGATACGAAGGCTTCGGCTTCCTGGCGTCGAACGGCTGAATAGCGCGGCGCATAGCCTTTTCGGGGGTTGAAGAAGACCGAGGTGGGATCACGGGCCGAAACGAAAGTAATGGTGAAGATGACAGTGCATGCGACGAAGACGGCAATGCATGTGAGAAGGCGTGCAGAAAGATGCATGATGTTGTGCGATGGAGTGAGTGGTGTGTGGAAGAACGAGTGGCGTGACTTCAAATGAGCCGTGGCAGCATCGCAGGCGTCGAATCACAAAAAAGCAGAGAGACAAGCAGGACAAGAGGACTTGTGAGAACAGATTTGAGAGAGGAAGATTCATAAGGTCGCGGAAGTCGTCGTCATGGCTCGAGATTGAAAAGAAAGGAGCGGCCTGCAAAGTTGCAGCATGGACAGGAGGTGGGAACATGTGCGCGCACGATTTGACAAAATTAGCAGCAGGGAAGGATATCGTTGGCTCGCCGATGCTGCTGTTGGGTACCGCTGGGTGCTGAGGGCGACGGCGGCGACTCGTATCTTCGAATTGTATGTGTCGATCTACGCAATCATCCTTGTCATCTGTGCGGCGGCATCTGGAAGTGTTAATCTCGCCGACCTGGGGCTTGTTGAGGTGCCAAGTGAAATGTTTTGGTTGAAGTGACGATGACCCATATTGAAAGCGCAACGACGACGACGACGACGACGACGACGACAGCGATGGCAGTGACAGTGACAGTGACAAGGTGGAAAGTAAATGTGACGAGGAAATGAAAGAAAACAATTAGACTGTTAACAAATGAATGCCCCTCTCTGTGTTCTGAGCAATCGCCGAATACCAAACTTTTTTTGTTGAGTGGGCAAAAGTCTGGAGCTTTTGCCCTGTCCAGGCATTGTATCATTCCCCTACCTAGAGTAGGATTTATTAGCTTACCAGAGTCAATCATCAGGAGGGCGATTCATGGATGGTGGAAGCTGGAAGCACAGAATGCTGATGGCAGGGGACGACCATGGACTTTATAGTTACAGAGGACTTGGCCTACGCAAACTACCTAGGTACGATTGTTTGATCGAATGTGACAGCACTAGGTAGTAGTACACATGTACTACGACACTCTACCATGGGAAATAACCTGCGTAAACGAGATCCTCTAGGATGCGCGCCAGCCCGATGAGTTCCTGACTTGGTGGCCTAGGTAGTACTCTACTTGAACATGGTCCACACTGTGAATCTCTTTTCTCTCATATAGGTACGACATACCGACATTTCAACCGGGCCCTTGTCATGTCGCAATCTTGCGTCTTGTGCAACGGGCCGTGGACTGGGAATGCTTGTTTGACCACGTGCTCAGGCGTGGAGGCGCGCCGGGACCTACCGGTACCGTACTTAGCCACCACACATCAATTGGAACGCGGGGAGTTGGCGTCATCGCAGCCACCACCAACACACGACCAGCAACACCACCACCATCCATCCAACCATCCACCTTCCAACCATCCCGTCTCGCGTCGATTGATTCTCCTTTTGAGTCACCACCCCACCATTCACTACTACGCATTCATTTCATTGCGCTTACATTTATTTTTCTTCCGTGTCTATACTTGACTCCATCCCATGACTGCATATACATAGCCTTCATTGCCAAACGTTGACTTACTACCCGAGCGGCTGCCAGTAGGCACCAACGACGCTCATAAAGTCCAGTGTGTGGTGCTTCGACCACAGATTCGCACCGACTAGAAATACCATGCCCAAGAAGCATCGGCCAGCATATGCACATACAAAGCCTTCCTACGTTCACCCCTCCCTCCAGAGCACACGGTCTTCGCCCCCGTCGGGCCCCTCAGACCCGCCATCGGTAAATGCGCGGATCCAGCAGCTGCGTCGCGAACAGGCGTCTCGGCCCACACCAGAGCAGAGAGAGGAACTGACAGTGGGAGTAAGCCGCACCGTCCCACCCGAGCTGCGACGCATCCTGCACATACCGGAAGTTAACGCTCCCAAACCAAAGGCCGGCACGCGCACACGAAGGGTGCCAGGAGGCACAGCGAGACCTCCTCCAGGCCCAGCCCCGCCTACTAGCTGGCTGCAGCAGAGTCGCCATGCGCCCGCCCATACGGGCAACGGCCGGCGCTCAGGAAGCACGGGATACAAGGCGCCTCGCTTCAGCACGCTGGCGAGGGCGATGGATGCAGAGCTCAAGGTACTTATGAGACCATCCTAGCTGACCAACCCCTCGACTCGTGCCTTTCTCACTCCTGCCACAGCGCCTCCCACCTCCACGAAGCCTGGTACATCAATGTCTCCGCATCTTTGCCTTGCAATGGGAAGACCTCGTCGAATACGAACAGCACTACATTGCAGCACTGCCCGTGGCCCTCAAAGAAGCGCTGCTGAGTTACTTGGCCATATATGGAGGACACGATTGCCTAGACTTCAGATCACTCAAGATCTTGTTCCAGAATGAGGAGGGCATGGGCACATTGGACTGGGACGAAACCCATTTCCTCGACCTCACCCATCTCCTCAACGAGCATCTCACACTCGGCGAAGTGGGCAAGTGTTTGAAACGCTCGACAACGCAGCCAATGCCGGACATCAGCGCCCTCTCCACAAGGGAAGAAAGTCCTGGCAAAACAAAAGAAGAAGTTGCAGACAGCTGGGAAGAGGAGATTGATCCTCCAAGCCCACCACCGCCCGCTCTCTCCGCCAAATTGCTGACCCCACACTTTGCCAACCTGAGTCATCTTTCACTGGCCCATCCAGGTCGCGTTGCATCTTGGCCCGACCTCTTACGAATCTCCCCCAGCCTTAACAAGATCACCCACCTGTCGCTTGCCCACTGGCCTCGTCCTTCTGCAACACCAAACGCAAACACGACATCCATGGTGTCGAACCACACAAGTGTGGCCCTCGGTGGCTCGCATTTTTACTCGAACCTCGACGAGGACTGGCACGAAGCCGCGAACATCCTCCGTCGACTCTCCATCAACACGTATTCCTTGCAATGGCTCGATCTCGAAGGCTGTTTCTGGTTTCCAGCTCTCACGTGGCACATTGGCGGACATTTGCTTGCCCCGCGCCCACATGGCACTGGTCATGGCAATGAAGAAGACAGCGACAACAAGAACTGGACGCTCGGATCGGCATCCCCAGGCCCAGACTGGAACGACGCGTGGCGCCGCATCACCTATCTCAACCTCTTCCAAGGCTGGATCCCGTGCGACAACGTCAGTCTACAGAATATGCCTGCGGGCATTGTCCCTGTGCAGCTGATGCGCTGGTTGCGCGAGAACAAGGACAAGGAGGATGTGGCGTGGCGGCTGAATGGTGAGGAGACAGGTTACGCGGTGCAGGAGTGGGTGGCGAGGGAGAAGATGGCTAGGCTGGTCGGCGGCGAGATTCAGGATATGAGGCGTCTTGAGAAGGGGAGTTGGTGTCGTGTGGATCATGGGTGGGGGGAGCCGAGGAAGTGATGGGATGACGAGTTGTGTTATATGGTGTCATGGCGCCTTGGGCGGCTGAGTGAATGTAGTGGCTAGGGTTATACAGTACATGGCCACACCACTTGCCCCTTTTTTTTTGGGACTGCCGTGTACAACAGCATGACTATGACCGCATTTCTATATATACAACCATGATCTAGCAGAGAAGAGATGGTGAGTACCCATTGCGACCGTAGGAAGATGAGAAAGTACAGCCGCTGCAAAGCACAGCCACAGCCACAGCCACAGCCCCCTCCGCTCCACCTACCCTCCCACCCCCATGTCAAAAAACAAGATCGTTCTTGGCATGTCGCCACCAAAACCTCATAGAAAGCAGCATAATATAGGCATATAGAGTAGAGGCTGATTTTAAAGCTGCAAATAAATAGGAAAGCTGTAAAATATCTACATTGATTGATTTCTGGCGTTGTGAGTACAAAATTTTACTTTTAACTCGTTGTTCTGGGTGACTAAGCTGCAACGCGCGATAGTATTTCTAGGAACGATCATTTTTGACATGGGGGTGCTCCCTACCCTTCCCTCCCCCTCGGCCCGGAAATCCCAAACTCCAGCGTCAGCATCAGCAGTGTTAGCACATGTGCGTGAAAAAAAACCCGCAAATTGACTGTACATGAGACGAGTCGATACGAGAGGAGATGGCACAGTCGGCTTCACGGGCCTGTGGTGGTGTCTCGGGTTTATATGGCGTGGGGAGGTATGGGAGTAGTGCTGGGATGGCATGGTATGGTATGTTGTCCTATAGAGGGGTAAGAAGGGGAGAGGGGAGGGAGGGGTGGATGTAGAGTTGAAGTACAAGTACGGTGTTGTTGCGTTGTGCAGTGAGTGCTGTTGATGTGCTTAGTAAAGACAAGTATTGAAAACATGACCCAAATCAGCCACTGACAAGATTGACTCTTCCGATCCACTAAAGTACGTATTATGTGTATAGTATGCATCCCCAAGTCCTCACTCTACAATCAAGCCACTATTCTTGATCGTTGACCGTCAACTAGAAAGAAACTCTGCTGTCAAAGCCTGTCGAGGACACAGTATACCTGAGGGGGTTGAATTTTTTTCCCTCGTAGCTACGTCCCTGTACTATAACCCTTGGGATTGCTGGGGGAGGGGTTGTGTTGGTAGGGCTGGGGCTGGGGTGTGTGGTTGGTTGGGTGGAGAGGGGGAGGAAGGGAAGGCCCTTGGTATGGGATGCAGGGGTGCTGGCAACGTCATCGTGATCGTCGTAATGGCGAAGAGATGTTCGGGCGGAGGAAAAGGCGGTTGGGGGTTTTGAGTTGCATGGCGAGGGGCGACGTGTGTAGAAGGGGATGTGTGACAGTTGATTTGCGGCCAAGGCTGATGCTGCGACTTGGGCGGCGTCAAACGGGGGGACGGAGATGGCCACCTTCCTCCACTGCTACTACTACCACCACTACCACCACCACCACACCACCACCACCTACTAGGTACACACAGCAACTCACAATAGTACACAACCATCCCAATCAGAGAAAAGAGAAAAGAAACTACAGTACTACCGAAACCACGCACACCCTTGCCGCGTCGACCGAAGACCAAAATCTGATCGTGACGTGATTGACAGCACAATCATGGAAAACGCGATACTTTGTCGAGACGGATGCCGAATCCTGTGGGTTTCACGATGCGCCATGCAGGTGTGTTTTGCTTTCCACCAGTGGGAAGGTGTGGATATACGAACGGGTAATGCGACGCAGTGCAGTGCACAGTGCATAAACGGACACGACACGGTACAAGAGGTGGGTACTAGCTAATGTAGGCACTTGTAGATAAAGGTACGGTACGCACAGTGGCGTCTGGCATCATCGTATTTATAGAGACAGACACAGTGGCGACTGTGTATCTGTACAACCCATGATTGTACATGGTAGGTGCGAGTAGGAGGATTTACAATTGAATATTGTACATGGCCACCATAGATTATCAGTGTACAATACACTGTGTACAAGTACATGGTTCGGCAAGTGTTTCCTTCGAGTCCCCTCCCAGCCAGCCAATGGAAACCCCCACAGAAGGCCAACCAGTTCCTTCCTCCCACGAATTGATGTGACAGGACAGGAAACGGGAGGCCCATGCCCGAAGCAGCTAAGAGGGGTCCGTGTGTTTCATATCAGCGCAGCCGAGCGGAGCCGCGCGGCGTGGGCGTTTGGAACAAGACGGACGTGTGTCGAGGTGGAGAGGATGGGAGGTGTGGGTGTGTTGGCTGGATGGAGCAGGCGATGCGGTTTGTCGTGTGCAAGGGGATTCCTGGGCAATGCGACTTTTGGCTGGAGCAGAGAGGGGAGGGGAGAAAGAGGATGTGGGATGCAAAGTGGTTAGGCGAGGCAAAGGGGGCACGGGGAACCTCGAGACTGGGGGATGGTCATTGTGGATATACTATGTAGGTCGGGTCTGTGGACACCTATTCCACAATGAGTCGCCACGTTGACTGACTTGTAGGTACGGTAGGCACAGTGCGATGGCGATGCCAGCTCAAACTTGATGGTCGAGGAGGGTATGCTATGAATAGTATATCATATCTCGCGGATGTTGTAGGTACAGGGTAGGGTGTAGCGGTCGTGCAAAGTGTCCGTGGGGCCTCTCACGCTCTCTTCTCTCTCTCTCTCTCTCTCTCTCTCTCTCGCGTCGGACAGGCAAAACGCAAGTAGACTAGCGCGGCAGATTGGGGCGAGGGGCGCTCTCTGAAACTAACAGAAAAGTGTCCCCACTCGTGCCTGCCCTGCCTGCAAGCCCTGGACAGAATGGGACCAGTGACTGGCCGCGCACTTTCCTTCCTTCCTTCCCAAAGGGTCCAACAAAAAAAAAGACGCGCACCTCACTCACTCTCCTCACTCTCCTCACTCTCCTCACTCTCCTCACTCTCCTCACTCTCAAGCAAGCTCTCTCACACACATACACACACACTCTCTCTCTCTCTCTCTTCTCTGTCTGTCTTACTGCCTCTGCTGCTGCTGCTGCTGCTGCTGCCGCCACCGCCACCACCACCGAGCATTCCGCCCCCCCCGTACACCGTGCTTTCTTCATAACTGCACCTAATGTACCTGCCTAAACTTGCACAGTGAACAGTGCTCAAGTGCCCATTGCTCACCTCACCCGCTCACTACTCTCCGTCCTCTTGTATCTATACATCTTTTGCAACAACACTCTTCGTTCTCAGTTGCCTAGAGGGGGGGGGGAGTTTTTTTCATCTTCCCTTTCGCTTCTTCTAGAGGGTACGGGTACGGGTAACGTAGTGCGCCCCTACTCCTACTAGTCTCTCTTCTCGCTCCTTGCTCGCATCGTGTTGTTCATTTGCGCAACCCTCAACCAAATTTCTCGTCACGCCGCCTGCCGCCCTTTCCCCATCCTGGCGCGACCGATAAGGATCACCGTACTGCCCTCCCAACCGAAGCAGCCGCGAACAGACGCCTTTTCTTGCAGCTTCTCGAGCTCCTCCAGCTCCCAATTCCCCATCCCTCCGCTTGTCCTCCGTCTAGCATCACCGTAGCACCACCGCTTCCTCCGCGTCCGCGACCTCGTGCCTCGCGCCTCTGCATTCCTCACTCCTCCACTCGCTCATCGCGCCTCCATCCTCACCATCACCCCCACACACACACATCCGCCCTCGCCCGCGCAGCGACCTGGCTACCACACTTGCCCACGATGCTCACCTTCAAGAAAGCCCTCGTGCTTTCCCTCGCCTGTCTGACGCTCTTCTTCATGTTCAAGTCGCACCACACCAACACCACGCCAAATTTCCGCAATGCCAATGACTTGCCCCGCCCCTCGGCCTGGGTAAATCCAGCCATCAAGGAGAGCGAAAGGGAAGCCGCCGCCAAGGCGGAAAACAATGAGAAGAAGACGAATGCGGCTTTCAATCTGCCCGATACGTTGCCCAAGAAGCCAAAGGCCCAGATTCCCATGGACCAATTGCGCAAAAGGCCGTTGAAGGAGCAGCTCGAGTACCAATTTCCCTACGACGTCGACTCCAAGACACCAGCCTACATTTGGCAGACGTGGAAGTACACGCCTGCCCAGGGCGAGTTTGAAGAACTGTTCCGCGAGCCAGAGGCCAGTTGGAGCACCAACCACCCAACCTTTGTCCACGAAGTCATTACCGACAACGTGGCCATGTTCCTGATCCGCCACCTCTACGCCTCAGTTCCCGAGGTGCTCGAAGCCTACGACGCCCTCCCCATCCCCGTCCTGAAGGCTGACTTCTTCCGCTACCTCATCCTCCTCGCCCGCGGTGGCATCTACTCGGACATTGATACCATCTCTCTGAAGCCGGCTGCCGACTGGATCCCCTCGGACGTCGCACCCAACTCGTACGGCATGGTCATTGGCATTGAGGCAGACCCAGACCGCCCAGACTGGAAGGACTGGTTCTCCCGTCGTATCCAGTTTTGCCAGTGGACCATTCAATCCAAGCCCGGTCACCCTATCCTCGTCGACATTGTGGCCAACATTACACAGGAAACACTCAAGCGCAAGAGTGCCGGTACGCTGAGCGCGGACTCCAAAGGCATCATCGAGTTCACTGGCCCTGCCGTCTGGACCGATTCCGTTTTCAACTACTTCAATAACCCGGAATTCTTCGACATGAGCACAAGCAAGGGCAACATCACTTGGAAGGCGTTCACGGGTATGACGGCGCCCAAGAAGGTGGGCGATGTTATTGTGCTGCCCATTACGAGCTTTAGCCCAGGCATCAAGACCATGGGCGCAGGCGAGCCGGATGACCCAATGGCTTTTGTCCATCACAAATTTGAAGGTACGCCATGACATCTCGCTTGCCATGGCATGCTCCCCATTTTCCCCTGCTAATAGACAAATAGGCACCTGGAAACCAGAAAACGAGCGTCACATTGGTAAAATCTTCAACTAAGTCACCACACCAACAGATGGCATCAAGGTGCATGCCTTGTTGAGCGTCGCGCACAAGACACCAAAGGCACAGCATGTACGAACGCGCATGTTCCCACTTTGGTGACTACGACGACGACGACGACGACAACAACAACAACAACGAACAAGAGCACCACGGACGATGAGCAAGATATTGCAGTAGGCTTAGTAGCTCCCATGCACCATTGATGTGGCACGGGAGACATGCCGCAGCGCGCCATGGTTGGGAGCATGCAGGGCAAGCAAGGGCGGCAAACGAGCTGGTATTCCAAGGGCGGGACCGGGGGACTGGATCTCGACCACGCCAAAAGAAAATCGACTTGTAAGATGTCTTAACGGGTTGGCGGGGCATGGAGTTTTATGTGTCTGTTTTTCTTTGTTTTCATCCCGTGTGCTCTAGATCGACTTCAAGCGCTGAAGTTCGAAGATATTTTGGAAAATATTGATTGATTGTGTTTTTTGTCTCTCTGTTGGCATTTTCTCTTCTTGTTCTTGTTCGTCTTGTTACACTATCTGTGTACTGGATCTTGGGCGGACATTGTGCAGGCAGGCTGTTTTGTTCTGCATTCGTTTGGGCGTCTTGAAGGCGTGAAAAGGGGAATGGAGATGGGAATGAAAAATATTGTGGGGCCAATGGGTTGAATGGGCGAGATAGTCGATTGGGGTTTTGTGTACTGTGGTGTTGTGGTTGTTGCATGATGGGTGGGGGTGGATACGAGCATACAATATACTCTAGGGTGGTGTGTCTTGGGGATTACTGGGAATAGTGGGGATAGGGTTCAGAATGGGCACAAAGGGACCAAGAATCAGACTAGGAATAGGACTAGATGCTACACGGTCTTGTTGTGTACTATGCTTGGGGAGTCTTCAAGGGTGGCGGGTCTTGCAGGATGGATAGCGGAGAAACAAGACAATGTTGTCATTGCGGTAGGGTTTGGGTGGGATTGGATCGGGGCTTTGTAGAGCACACAGATTGTCTCTAGGTAGCCAGTATGTATTTGGATGTGCGTACACGTCTTTGTATTCCGACCTGTGTGGTGCAGAAGGTGAATACTACGCTCATCACGTACCGCACAGGCATCGTGGCGAGATGCCTGCGTCGGATCGTCGCTTGCACAGCCACATTGGTCAGCCACCCACAGCCAAGCCACCTTGATCTTCACTCGGTTGCGCCCATTGCTGCGCTCAGCCCTGTGCATATCCCTCTTGAGAATTCGGCGCTCATGACGCCTAGGGAGATATCATGCCCAGCTAGACATAAACATATGGTACGCACGATTTCAGCCACATCATCCAAGACATGCGAACCAGTCCACCTGTGCGATTGCGCACCATCATGGCGCAAGTCTTGGCTGCGTTAGGCGTCACTTCCACCCCGCGAACACAGCCCCCAGTCGGACTGCGCCCCCCGAAAATGTCATGGCCGTTGACGCAGCCAGCCGAGTCACAGCCTGGTCACTCTGCTCTACACACTGAACGAGGACACACTCTCCTTGTTGCAGCTTCTTGAATCCTATTGTCAAGGAAAGAAACTTCGCCACAAAGAGCAGACGGAGCGATTTGCCTACGTACAGCTACCTACCTCACACTCCGGCCCTCCGGCGATAAAACCAGAGAACATCTCCAATGTCATACTACAACCAACCACCACCGGGCGGACACCAGCAACCGTACCAGGGCCGTAAGTCGTCACATCCCTGCCACACAGCCCGACGATGAGGCAATCCTCAACGATCCGGCACTTGGCAGCTAGAGCATGAACTTGGTACTAATACCATGCAGAAGCCGCGGGTCCAGGATACGGCCAGCCTCCACCGCAACAGTACCCGCCACCGACAATGCAGAATCAACAATATCCCCCGCCCCAAGGCGGTTATCCTCCTCAACAGGGTTACGGCCAGCCGCCGCCGCCGCCTCCGGGACAGTATGGTGCACCCCCTCCCCAAGTCTATGGCCCTCCTCAGGCTCAGTACGGTGCGCCGCCCCCACCCCAAGGTTATGGTCCTCCTCCACCAGGGCCATATCAGCAGCCTCCTCCAGGTCAATATGGTGCGCCGCCGCCAGGTCAGTATGGAGTTCCGCCGCCACAAGGTCAATATGGAGCCCCCCCACCTCAAGGCCAATACGCAGCTCCACCACCCCAGGGCTATGGAGCTCCTCCTCCGCCTGGACAATATGGAGCCCCTCCACCGCAAGGCCAGTATGGCGCACCGCCGCCTGGACAGTACGGAGCTCCAATGCAAGGAGGAGGAGGAGGAGGAGGTCCGCCAACCCAGCCATCTCTTGGATATGGTCCCATGCAGACCGCTCAAATAGATGTACTCAGAGATGTAGAGGCCATTCGCAAAGCAATGAAGGGATTCGGTACCGATGAAAAGGCCCTCATTGCCATACTCTCAAACAAGGACCCGATCCAGCTCAACACCATTCGCACCCAATTCGACCAAAGATTTATGCGCAGCATGGTCACGGACCTGCAAAAAGAAACAAGTGGCTACTTTGAAAAGGGCCTGGTTCAGATTGCGCGAGGCCCGCTCGACACGGACTGCTACAACCTCATGGAATCGATGAAAGGCCTGGGCACCAAAGAAGCCATCATCGACGACGTCCTCATTGGGCGCAGCAACGCCGACATCAACGCCATCAAGCACCGCTACCACCAGCTCTTCAAGCGCACCCTCGAAGCCGACCTCCGCGGCGACCTCAGCGCAGGCACAGAGCAAATGTACCTGATGATTGTCGCCGCCCGCCGCAAAGAAGACTCGTACCCCGTCCTCCCCCAGGAAATCGAGCAGGCCGTGACGGACCTCCAGGCCAGCTTGGGCACCCTCATCAGCAAAAACGCCGCGGCCGTCTGCGAACTCCTCGTGACCAAGAACGACGCCCAGCTCCGCGCCATGGCACAGTCGTACGAGCAGCGCTTCCGCAAATCCCTCGACACCGCCCTCAAAGCCGCCTTCTCGGGACACATGGAGGACGCCCTGCGTCTGCTCGTCAAGCGCGCATGCAACCGGGCCGAGGCCGAGGCGATGCGGCTCGAAGAGGCCATGGCGGGCCTGGGCACAAAGGACGAGTTGTTGGTGCAGCGCGTAGTGCGCTGTCACTGGGACAGGGGGTTTATGAATGCGGTGAATGGAGAGTATAAGCGGTTGTATAGGAAGGAGTTGTATAAACGAATTGAGGGGGAGACGAGGGGCGATTATGAAAAATTGATGGTGGCTTGCGTTAGGCCGCGATGAGCCTTTTTTTTTTGGTTTGTTTGTTTGTTTGTTGGGAGGGTTTGTGTGCCTGGATACCATGGTAGAGGATAACTGGCTGGTGATTATTTTTACTGTCTTTTGGTAGCAGAGTAGAGTAGATGGGCATAAGCAATTTCTCGGGTTACGACCTAATCAACTAACCTTTTTTTGGGAACATTTCTGGTTTGCTTTATACGGTAATTCAACCATGCGCTTGTCTCAGTCACCTTTATTTTTGTTTGGAGATTGCATATCTGGGCCTGAGACTTGAGGGATGGGATGGGATGGGATAAAACGGGAGGGGTTTTAAATGCAGGTGCGATGGGGTCTGGGTGATGGACGATTGATATAGGTCATGGGCCATGTGCGGTGAGCTGTGGCGTATTTGAGTGGCTATGTCCAATGAATCATGTGTTTATTTCATCCCAGTCATGCCATTTCCATCGGTCAAATGACTTGGTGGGTGTGTACTCGGAGTTGTGGAGATGATGGGTGGGTGGGTGGTGGTGGGGAGTGGGGGAGTGAGTAAGGCATATAAGCAAAGCGTCCAACTAAACATCAAGTCGAACGCAAGTTTACGAATGCATGGAATTACGTGTGTGTGTGTATAATTAGTCTCGTCGGGAATATATTTTCCCCGGAATGTATTTGTCTAGGACTAGGCCTTGGATTGGTGTGAGATGGGTTAGGGATGTGTTAGTGTAGCAATTTCTGTATAAAATGTCAACTCGTAAAAGCACCGGGAGTAGAGATTTCAGTCGGACAAGGGACATCAGCGCGGGGGCGGAGGAGGGGGGAGGTGTGCGGAGTATGTATATTTTAGGGTAGGGGATAGGATTGGTTTTAGCCATGTTTGCCCATGTTAACTTATACATAGATGTATGAACATACATGCACCTACATAGACTGTTCCAACACTAGTCCTTTATACCAGAGAAATAGAACAATACGCCTAACATGTACCACATACCCACGGTGCAAAACGTCTATCTGGGAGATACTTGCGTTGCTACATGCTTACCCTAGTAGTACACTGTATATCTTCATAGCTTAGGAAACCTGGGGTTAAGCGAGTGTCTTGTACTTGTGGTGGGGGTAGGTGAAAGCGTGGGATAAAGTGATATGTGAACGATGGACAGATGGTGGATGGATGGATGGTGAATGAATAGTTGGATAAGCACTTATCCAATAACCTCAGAAGTTGAAAATACATACATCATACATCATCTCCAATCTCATCATCACGCCATCATATCCGGTGTGGCATTATTCAACACATGCACATCTATCAAGCCATCTCACCCCAATAAAAATGCATCCTTCTCGCTCCCATGACATAACCAACCAGACTCTTGAACCCCAACATCAACTCCCCACCTTCTTGCAGCAAAAATCCACTGATTCCCAAATTATCATGTCATAGATACCCAGGTATACCTATTACACGGACGTCAGGCTCGAATATACCGTGTTCTGAATCCCCTGCGCCCGCTGTCGGAGACCTAGTAGCAGTTTTGACAAGAATGCGAGGAGATTGGAATTATTCAATGTCTACATGTCCAGTCCGACGGGCTCGGGGCTATCAAAGTCCTCGTTCAAAAGATCAATATAACAGGACTAAGGATCCAGACAGTATCGGCGCGGCGATCCGAGCGTGGAAAGGCGCCGTGGATAGATGCACTAATGTGTGAAGTTTCCACTCTGGGATGAACAGAAAGACTGAGGTGCGTGTGGCTTGGGATGTGCCCACCATGTCCTCGCACACTCCTTACTCGAACCGGCTGTGTGGTAAAGCTTCCATATTCGCTTGCGGTCTTGTCAAGGACTATCCGAGAAACTTGGGGCCTGAGTCTACGTGTGACTAGGGCAATTCCAGTTTCCCTCTTCCGTGGGTGGTGAAGTGTCTAGTGGTCGAATCGGCACTGTCACATCGTATGGGGCTTGGTGAAAGTTTGACAGTCTACAGAGCGGGTAGTGTGCAGGATATTTGAGAAGAAAAGAGGATAGTGTATAGGCTGCCAACAGTTAGATCGATATTAAAAGAAGCAAGGAAGGGGAAACGAGCTGTGCGGTTCCGAGTCAGATCATTCGACCTAACGCGAGTGAAGCACATTCACAGCCTAGCCATATCTTAGAAATCAGCCATAAAAGGTGTACATGCAAATCAATTTCAGCCTCCATATGTACCTATTGTAGCAGGTCAATAGCTAGCCTCAAAACTTAATTCCGCTTTAGATCATTGATCAAATTCCGTCATTTGAGTGCCAAGTAGGATGGGTCCTGGCGTTTCGCTCCACATCCTCAGGTCCAGAACAACGCCCGCAAAATGGTGTCGACCGGATGAAAGATTTTTCTGATGAAAAAGCCAAGTAGAGTGATGGTCGCGTTCCAAAGCTAGACGGGATTGCTTCGCGCAATCTTAGGGACATCATGGAGTAGAGTATCTCTCGCGACCAAGGGGGTTACACCTCCTATAGTGAAGCTTCTCAGTGGTCATGCTGAGAAGACCCGATCTGGCTCCAAAGTATTTCGGACAATATTCTCCAATAGATCCCACACTTCTAAGTCGATAGTCCCGATTCCACATATGGATCTTGTACTTTCTATTCGTGGAAGCGGAAGAGATATGGCGCAGAAGTTAGACGTTAGCTGGACGATCTTGAAAGGCTTCTGGACTGTGCACTGTCAGTGTGGAGTAAGAAAGTTCCCTCAGCTTGAGTAGATGACGCTAATCAAGCGTTGCCACACGTTGCGATTGGTTCTAAACCAGAATTATGCGCGGTTCAGCTGTATGTGCACGTTGCAAGTGTAACCCCACCATGCATCGCAATGTTGACTTGGCGAATGTCGTCAGAGTATCTGAGTATCAAGAATGATGGCATTTAAGCCCCCCTACCAACCAGATTCCTATGATCGACAAATGGGCAAAAGATTATTGACTTCAGAGCGCGGATCCCTCAGTGCTTCTGACACCCGTTCCGTGCGCATTAGCCTGGTTCTTGACTCGTTAGGTCGTGTTGGGGCGTCGAGGCGTATTATTCGCACCTGCAATGAGTTCGCTCCTGCACGGCCTTTGACTACTGCCGCAGGATATCATTCAGTATTTGAGATCATCTGAAAATATTTCTAAAAACAAAAGTTACGAGGCGTCGAGTGTGTGCTTGAAAGTTTGCATCAACGCAACCAGGAGAGTTTCGTGTGCCTATGCGATGTCGATAGACCGTGATGTTAGCGTTGGTTAAAGTTCCTGGCGATCCCCGATGCCTGATCCAGCCTAACTATCCTTGTTTTGACACGGAAAACGTGGATTCGTAAATTCCTAGACGCAATTTGCAAGGTGAGCAGTCCTATCAACAGTACGTCAGGATCAAAGCTAACATGATTGACAGGGGTCCCCAGTGGCTCTATTTAGATGCTTGTGACGTGGAAGTATCCTAGGTAATTGTTAAAGTAAAGTTGGCTGCAGGAACGTTGCGAGTCTGATTGTCACGCATGTCGAGACTGAGTATTTATGATGGGCACGGTCTGAGCATACTTTTCCATAACGGAAGCGTAGGCTGCATGGCTCCAGTCTCTGACATGGGGAAGTATCGTCAAACTATTACTTGTCGATCTTTGAACGAAAGTAGAAGACAGTGCTCTGTGCTCGTCGAAATGGAGCATTTGATGCCAGAGGAGGTTGCTGTAGGTTCATAAGGTATTGCGTTCGCTAGGGAAGTCTTACAATTGGCCGATTTCACACTGACTAGGATTTAAGAGATAGCTCATTTAGCTGCTGACCAGAATATAGGGGATGTAGCACTGATATCAGACTTACTACCTGCAAGGCTTCAGACGATGAAGAATCGACAGGTTTGACTAAGATAGTTGATAGGTCAGCACCATGATCGTCGAAGCTCATGATTGTGCTCAAGTGTATTGTTGATCGACGTGACTACTCATATAACAATCAAAACAAGATAGTTCCTTTTGTCACCATACACGATCGCGGGGAAGATTCCTTATCACCGGAAAGGTCCCCACGATACGAAAAAGGAGCAGATCGATGGGCTTGCGTGTCCCAAATACCGGGTCTCCATTGCTGCAGTGTACTGTTGAGCTTGAGCTCCTGATGTCTGATTGGAGGAAGAGGGTTGATGTCGGGATTGATGAAGCGAGGATGAGGCGCCTGCATGCAAGCTCCCGTACGACTTCATGTGGGGTTCAAAGGGAAAATCGACTCTTCTGAGGTTCTTGCATGTAAAGAGTGCCGTCGTAGTAGGATCGTGGTTTGACAATGCACTGCACGGATGATGTTCATCCACAACTGCGGGTCACAGAACCGCCTCACTGGCGACCGACAGGCCTCTCACATGTGCCACAAATGTCACCTCATGCGTCTGACTGTTTTCGTGATTCATCAGTGTGCTGCCAATCTTCCAGTCTTCGAAACGCCTGTTCAACCTGACTCACTTCCAAGGGTCACTTTAATGGATGTGAGCAGCGTCGTGATCAAGCGTCGCTATCTTGTTTACATTACGTTTTCGATGCGAACATGCTCAAGTAGCAAGACAATGATGTGATATCATCGATCTGCGAACGGGCAAACAAAACCAACAGCCTGGCTTGAAATCATGTTTCGAGTTAGAGCACAAACTCTAAGATCATGATGAAGGCATATGGGATGACTTGTACGGTACAGGGAACCTGGGCTTGTGATACCTTCAGTCTGCATTCGTGGTTCTGACTTGGTGAGACAGCGCCTGTTACGGTGGCTACAGACTACAGTCCGTGAAGAACGCGCGCTGAACAGGTGGTCCTAAAGCCCCAATGCAAGGGGACCTCTGCCAAGTGACAGATAGCGTCGAGGTGGAATTTGCTCAAATTGTGCAGGTTTCCATCTGTTACCTAGTGTGCAAGGTCCGACGAGCGTCGGGATTTGTGTACATTGCCGTCTCTCTGTTTCATGGCGAGAGCCGACCGAAAGGGCAAGACCTGCCCCAGGACTAACGACTAGGCGCAGTCAGACGGAGGCGCTATGGCAGATTGACAGCCCCTGGATGTGGAAGAGAAGAACTTGGTGGAGCGCTACAACGAACCTGGCGACTGCCTCAGGAGGTGGGCGATGGACTGTCAGGTGGTCAACTGCTGCCGTGCGACTGAATGGCTGCTCGTGTTGTCTTCATCATGGTGTCATGCAGTCTGTGTGCGAGTGTGTGAGATGAGTGCGGAGATGCTGGCTGCTGTTCTCGGGAGTCGATAGCAGTGCAAATCCGAGAGGAGGGTCCACCCTCGAACCAGGATTGCTGAGGTTTGATAGCGGCCATGATCCTGGGAGACGGGCGGGGCTTGCAGTGACACACCAACCTCAGAGCGGTCAGGATGCGACACAGCTAGAGTTGAGGTTGCGGCTGGTCGCGGTCCCCACTGTGGCGTCCTCTTAGATTGCATGTCCGGCTTGCCTACCGAAATGAATCGAGGCTGCGAGCGCGAGAATGGTCGACGGGAGTGAGTGAGGTCCTCGGGGGTTCGCGACTCAGGATTTGATGCACAGCGTGGAGTGAGTCACGTGGGGAGTGCGTGCTGGAACAAATCGACCAAAATGTCCACTTCATGGGTACTTGAGGTGAATACTCTATCAGTCCGGCTGTGGTCATGACCGTGCAGTGTGAGCCGACTCTTGGAAATTGCACAGTCTGGAGTCGGTTCAGATGGTGTCTAGACAGGGTAGGTATATAGGCACGTACATGTACCTAGGTGGCTGAGCAGTCACGTGATGACAACCAATCTGGTGTAGGTGTTTCGTCTCTGACAGTGGTAGTAATAGGACAGGTCATAGAGTGCAGAGGAGCAGAGTACCTTAGCAGCAACCGGCAGCAGGGGAAGCCGATGTCGAGTGAGCGTCGAAGATGCAGAAACTCAAACTGTCCAGTGGAGTGTCAAGTGAAGTGTGTCAAGTGAAGTCACTGTGTCGAGTTGTTTTGGCGCCGTGCAGGTGTGTGTCTGATCGGCCGGCTAACTTAGAGTGGCGGGAGCAGATCGTCATGTCGGGCAGGCGCGACCCCAAACACAGGAAGGTGCAACCATCCCTGTTGCCAATCACGAACATTGCACCTTCCCCCCCCAAACTTCTGTCAAGGAGCTGTCAGCCGTCCTCGACGAATGGGGGCTTTGTCCGTACGCTACACCAAAAGGCTACACCAAAGCCACGACTACTTCTCGCCAATCGTCGAAGCATCCCGATACCTCATCGCTGGCCGCCCGTTGACCGCCGCACGTGTGTTCCCTCGTTGCGCCCCGGGCGTGACGTACCACCTGTACCGACTCTCTGCTCTGTGAAAGCCAGATCACTTGGGAGTAGAAACACCATACGTCGGGTCGACGATGACGACGACGACGACGACGACAACAACAACAACAACAACAATAATAATAATAATAATCCCACTACGACGACTACGACGACTACGACCACGACGCGACATTGGCAACAACCAACCCATCAAAGGCTGGGCCTGCGACTGACTGCATCAGTGTGCATCTCACGTTTGAGAGAAACCTCAGCACGAGTCAGGATTAGTCTTTGAGTCGCGGCAAAGAACATCTCTCTCTATGGCTCGCTCCCCTCTAATCAACTTAGCCTTTACGTTCGGCAGGTCCCTGATCGTCAACAGCCGTCTAATCTGCTAGGCGTACCTGTCTTGCGAGAATGACGGCTCATCAAAGCCTCTTTCCCCTCCTCCCACCACCCTAAACTGTCTTCTACATCACTAGCCGCATCCCAGGTTGCGACGCAACAGCAAGGCTCCCGCTCCTGGACGCTGGAAATTCTGCGTCGCACAGCTGAACACCATCTTCAGCCACCAACCTGGTTTGAGCCTGCGGCAGCCGTCTGCCGGGCACCGTACCTTGTGCTGGGTGAGGCCAGCGCCAGCGGCATGGCTCCAGAGTGCACAGCATCTCGTCGTCCTCGGAATTGCAGTCCGCTCTGGTCAAAGGTACAACCCGGGGGCCCGCTATCGTTCATGCTGCCCTCGGACGACAGCGTCGTTAGATGCATGTATTGCTCCGCCGGAGAGGCAAGCCTGTAGTTGCAGTATAAGCAATTATAATGATACCGTGCCACGGGTCTCTGAGAGACGTCGCGTTGTGTACGTCCAGCCCGGCCTAGTTCCCAGCAACTAGCAACCAGCAACCAGCGTTCATTGGGAATGCGCAGGGCCCCAAGGGGAGGGCAAGGGGGAGGGGGAGGGGAGGGGGGAAGGCCGCGGCTGCGCTTTGCATGTGGGCCGCAGGCAAGCATTTGGGGTAACTCTTAGCGGTTCCAGGCGAGACTTTGCATGGGTGGCCGATCCCCTTCTGCCACCCCAATGAAGTTTATACCATGGGCGAGGCGTAGGTATGGTGGTCATGGTGGGCCGTTCAGCCATGGCTTGACGGGCGCCCGTCTCAGTTCTCTACCAGGTCTGACAGCTCGCTCTGCGGCGTCGAGCGTGTAATGGTGAGGAACTGCAGAGGAGATGGTCGACCGGGAGCCAGTGATATGTGGACTACGAAACTGGGCGAGAGACAGACAGACCCTTGTTCGTTTCTGCGAAGACTCGAGCCGAGAAAGATCTGCATGGATGCTAGTTTGGACAGTGGTGGAGACAGCGGCGACGCTCTAATGGCGTGCCCAGCATATGGCCTGTAGCCTACGGTGCGTTCATCACCGGCTCGTGCCTCGAGTCTGCGGCATAGTGCGAGGGCTCTATGTTTCTTCGCTCCGTTTTAGCCCCAGCCAAAGCCCGTGTTGTGCACACTCGGAGAATACGGACTAAACCTTAACACACACCTGTCAAAAGGGCAGACGCTGTGCTAGACGCGCTTGCTTGTCCTCCGTCGCCGCATGCTGGCATCCCCTGGACGCATCTCGCAGGTGCAAGATCGCAGTGCATGGTTGAAGTACGGCCCGTTGCAGCTCTGTTCTGCCTAGAAAACGCCTCCTTTGCTCATCTGTGCTGGCTGCTTCTTAAACACCCTGTGCCCATTGCCACGGCTCGACCGTCGTCTTCCAGCGAACTGCGTCGTGCTCTGGCTACTCCTTCCACAATTTTCCATTGGTACTGGCACTCCTGTACATTATATCTTCCCATAGTTGTTTTACTGCAACCACGACCATTAGCCTGCAGCTTACTCTTTGGGTCGGTATACACTAGTGTGCTCTACCCAGAAAATTTCCATCAACACAGTACGCAAACGAATAATATTCAGGTAAGAGAGACTCGCCATTCTCCTCGCAGTCGGGTCCCCTCCGGTCATTGCTACCATGATACACCTGTTATGCCTTGGTAGCGTGGTGTCTTTCCCATCATCATGGTCATATCACGCACTCGATATGTGCCCATGACGGCAGAGCAAATATTCGCTGAACCAAAGTCACTGACGGCCCACACAGCTCAAGTATATAATAGCGTGTAGCCCTACGCCTGATGGAATACCTTACACTGCAAGATATCCCGCGCCGCTATCACGATCAGCTGCAATCTCAAAGGATGCCATCCTCGCATCCCTCTGAGAGGTCGCTGGCTCAAATAGCCGCTGCGGTAAGTCAGGCTCAAAACCATTCTCTCTCTTCAGACCCCTCTCTTTGCTCCTCCTCAATGCCCGCCACTGTAGCCTCTGCTCTGCCTAGGCATTCATTGCCTTGCCCTTGGCTTCTGAATGATGATCGAAGACATCGAAAGGACGTGTATCGCAGACAGGCGGCACCTGTCATTCCAAAGGATGCGCCTTGTATGCAACACATTCACCTTCCTACACTGCCCCATCCCGAATCTCATTTACAGTGTACAAAGGCGGTGCTTGAGCCTCACCAGTCAGCTACTGGGCCGGAGGGAGACTCACAAGCGCGCGAAGGACACGGAAAGAGTCGGACGGGTTCTGTCGAGGGACTTTCTTGCCTATTCTCCTCTTGCGAGCTGTACGGTGTCGCGCATACAGTCGACTCTGATCACCATCAGCTCAAAGAGACACCATCATATCTTCAGATGGAGCAGCCACAGACCACCTGTTCCGGAAGTCTTCTGACATTGAACCAGCAGCATCATATGCGTAGTTCCCCACCAATCCAGCCTGGAGAGCAGAATCATGTTGCTAAACTACCCTCTTTTTCTGAGGTCAGTCCCTACCATTTCCACGATGACATGATGCTGATAGCATAAAGTTTTTACATACCACCAGGGCAGAGACGCCCCCACGAACACCATCTCATCGCAATGGTTCAGTTGACGATTCACCCCGTGCAAAGCCAGTCTTTGATGATGTTGCTTGGATTGCGGACCACCCGCGCAAACGCAACGACACGCTCGGAGATATCTACGCATCCCAGATGCCCGATTCCCGCCGCATGAGCGGTGCTATTGATCCCACCTTAGAGGGCGGGTCTCCACGGCGTTCGCAGCATGCTGCTTTGCACTCCATCGCGACTGAGCGCCATAATCGTCCCAGTCACTCGCACCCACCATCCTCAGTGCATTTCTTGGCCGCATCTTCAGCACATGCACGTCAACAGTTGTCTGCAAGTACGGCTACTGGTAACGCATATGCCCAACAACTTGAACTCCATAGTTTGGCGTCCCAAGCTGCTTATCGCAGACCCTCATCACACAATGAGGCCATGTATGAGCAGCAACGGTCTAGCTACTACCATGAGCATCGTGCTCCCAGCTATACTTACGACAGAGGTCAGGATTATCACTACGCAGGACCGCCTTACCAAGCTGTTCCTCATCCTGGGTACGAGGTCGCATATGGCGACATCCGCTTTCAGCAGCATGTGGGCACTGACCACAATGCTTTCAATAGAAAGCGCCGGGGCAACCTACCAAAAGAAGCGACAAACATTCTCAAAGAGTGGTTCGCCGCCAATAGGGCCTCACCTTATCCTACCGAAGAGCAAAAGCTCATGCTCTGCAATAGGACAACTCTAAGCATCAACCAGGTACGTCTGTTTGTTCCTGAGCTGCCACGAGATCGTCATTTTCGCTACACATGACATGCTTGTCTTCCGATGTCATGTGTTGGACAGATAGCCGGCGGCAGACTAGACTACAAACTTGAAGACGGGAACCTGTAGTTCAATCGACTCACAAGTGCACATGCTGACGTTTTACAGGTTTCAAACTGGTTCATCAATGCTCGGCGACGCGCTCCACAGAAAGAGCAGCGGGACCGACAGGCCATCGAACCATCAGCCTAGTCGAATCATGGGTTGAGCCGTCATCATAGTCGGCCCCCGGTACCAGTGCCATCAATCCATCGAATGCATGATGGGTAGTACTTGCAACTTCTGGGCGACTCATGCATGTCAATGCGGTCTTCTGTGAACCTTCGTGTCATTGTTATCTTTCATTTCTTTGTGGGACCTCAAGGCACCATTGCGTCTTTAGACCATTCATGTTTATCCTTCAGTTTTGCGGCCCGTTTACTCCACAGGTCAGCACTCTTTGAACAAGGGTCTTCTTAATGTACTATACCCTCGCCTTACCAACGAATGATACACGGTCATGGCATTTATCATCACAGAGAAGGAGTTCTAGGAAGCTGTGTGCAACGCTGGAAATAGCAAGGCAACACGCTTGATCTGTCATGCTTATCTACGGCCTCGGCTTCGGCATTCTGGCAGTGCACAAGTTGGCAGCCCTTTATTGTTGATGGAGTATTAAAGCATTAATAAAAGTTTGGGTTTCGAAAAACTTCACTTCACAACCTAGTTTGGCAACCGACCGGGAATTACAATCGCATTGGTCGGCTGTCCAACAGTCCCAAGCTCATTGATATTTGTGACACTCCACAAAATACAAGAATGAATACTGACGTCTTCCTTCGGCCGTTAAATCCTTCCCCCTCTCCCCGCCTCCAGTCTTCACCGGCCGGAACTTTCGATGTTGTGTGGTGGTGAAACACACTATAGGTTCATGTAGCGCTAAGTCAAGTTATTACTCGGCCCAGGTCTTGAATTTACCCGTACCTACCGGTACCACTGGAACCCCCTCCCCTCCAAACCAAACCGAAGCTGCATAGAAACAATTCACAGCAACATCAGCAATCCAGCCTTGCGGTACCAATAATCTCGACCCCTACTCGACCACACCCCCTTCCTCCACCCCCGCAGCCGCAATCGCAAAGTTATCTCCATATGGGTAAGTGGTAGTCGAGAACATGTCTTGGCACCTCAATCTTGGCACTAGACTCCTTGCAGACAGTACGGTACGCCTGGCAAGCATGATGGCTGCGGAAAAGCTAACGGCTCCCCTTTTCCATGTTTCACCACGCAAACTCAAATCCTCTAACACCACAGTCACACTTTACAATCGCCAGATTAGCCGCGAAGAAAGCGGCCGTTTTGACAAGGACGGGGGGAAGGAAGGGGCACGGGGGCGTGACTATTTTTGAGCCGTGTAGCTATGTTCTTATTTGCATGATCCTGGTTTCCACCGGTGATGTGTTGACAGGCTTCAAAGAAAGATGAGGAAACCTTGCCATTGCTTCAACGTTGACGCACATACACGCACACACTCCCCACTCTTGCTCTCTCCACGTTGTGCATTATCCACATTCATCATACATATTGCGCAACAGAACAGAAATAGACCCTGAATTATGCGCGGCGCGCACAGTCTCAGTATTGACTTCCCTAATTGTCTTGAGGGAGAGACTGAAGATCCCGATGTTTGATGCTCATGCGAAACCCAACAATTCCCCTCTTCATAAGGATTTTGAGTCCCGTTTTGCAACGCACATGAAGTGAAAATTCACATGTATGTACCTCTGGTACACCCACACCCACCCAACAAACATACATGCAATCACGCAATCCGCCAATCCCTACAAGCGATCGGCATGTCCCGAGTCCCCCATTTACATACATTGGCGATAATCGCGTATCTAGGCTACAGATCCCTGCCGGGCATCACTACGACTCGCATGGTTTCCCCCGCAAAAGAAAAATGGCGAAAACAAGCAAGAGCCCAGATGCAAGTCTGTGGGGATGACGCGACTAAAGGAACCTAGTATATAAAACTTAGCATACCGTACGTTTGCACAATGTAGGTGATACCTATCACATTCAGCGGATTGGCAAAGCGCTGAGAGCTCGAATCATAGGCCTGGCTTAGGGTTTCCGAGTCAGGATTAGGGTAGTGGATCAAAGGGGGAAAAGGGTAGTTTGTAAGGTACATGATACCGGTAGCTACCGTATCCCGGATTCACGATATTGATACGACGGTTTCACCATCCTACACCTCGTATTCACACAGTTGGAGGGCCGAAAGGATTCAAAATCTCATATATTTAGTATTTACCTAGTCTAGTTACATGGAGATCTTCACCTCGGCCTTACTGATTTCACCCCAACCTCTGAAAGTTTGAGTGTAGTGGGCGGGAGATTCGCATGCTGCAGTGCACCCGGCGTGTCGGAAACGCTCGTGCAGCTGGATGCATGGTGGGTGCTAGCTGCTTTTCGAAATCAGACCATAAAGTACTGATTCCGTGGGAATGCTGGGGCGCTTGACTGCTGTATCCATCATCAAGGCAATTTATATTCGGGCCCTCGTCTGGAGAACCGAGGGAGATAGCTGTGCGTGGAACTATGCCCATGCTCGTTTAGGATAGGGGGTTTGGCTTTAGCGTACTGTTGGGAATGATGCGAGTATTCCTACCTACGGTATTACTCGACTATCTTCGGCCATACTGCACATCAAATGCAGATGCGGGTGTAGACGCCACATCACACACGACACACCGCAAGCAGTACCACAATCTCCATCCTCCTGGCTCCTCATTGCACATCAGTAATGCAGATACTATATAGTGCCCCTCCCATCTGCGGGATTTAGATACGAGCTCCGAACATGTTCCGTGCCTAATCCCAAGGCAAGTTTTTTCAAAGTACACTCCCACCCAGCTTTTCATATACACCGCTGAGCTCCAACCAGTGTATTCTAGACCAAATGATCTTCATAGCCGTGCTCATTGGTACCTGATCTGGATAATGAGGGGATATCGCCGATTGATCGGATGCTTCCTGCTTGGCATACGTATCGCAGTACAGTGCGCGATCTTAGATGCCTAAAATACCTGGATTGGATGCACGAGCAAATGGTCGCCAGAGTCCAGGTCCACTGTCGTCGATACCTACTGCGTTTGGGGAGCGGATTGAAATTTATCTTTTGATGAAATCAGCAATATGCGTGTTTACGTAAGTACATCGGCCTCTGAACTGGAGGTGACCTAGCCCCTGAATTAGTTATCGTAAATGATGGCTCATACTCCATCACTCCCATTGTGCATGTCAAATTGCATTACAGTTAGCCACGTGATTGTGTATCCAATTTCTAATACCCTACGATCACATCCCATCACCACTACAGAAACCTCCCGTCCTCAGAATACTCACAGTACTTCCCCCTACCCAATTTTCCAGCAACCCGCACACCCGTCGCACCCGTCGCACCATCCCACCCAAAAAGAATCAAGATAGCGGCACACTGTGACGACGCGAATCGGAATCTGGAACCGATCGGTGCGGAACGGTGCGATGCGCGTACCAAGCTCGCCTTCCTTCGGTAGTGGTACTGATAGTGGTACTGGTGCGGGACCGTTTGGGTAATGTACCAAATCGCGATCTCGAAGAGGGGGGCAGGTCTGGATCCTGTGGGATTTGGGGCAAGTGAGGGGGGAGGAGTGGGGAGGAGGGGCGTATGTAATGCTGTCGTAGGTGAATCCGAGAATGGATGTAGATGGTGTCATCGGATCAGGTTGCATGCTGTATGGGTTGAGAGATGGTAGAGAAGGTGAAGAGGGCCTCGGCAGAGCCTCGGCAAACTGGATTGATAGCACTGTACGTGTCTTGGGTGTGGAGAGCGCGTCGAGGGATATGTATGTACAAGTGAAAGTGCGGTGTCATGTGTTTGACCGTGTACTTGTTTTGTACTGATGTGATGTGGGTATCGTGTCCAAATGGCCTAAACTAAACGCCGAAAGTAATGCTGTCAAAACGAAATGCTGAATGACCGATACTCAGTGCTCTCCGTTCGCCATGTGATACGCCCCATACTTTGATCGAAATTCTAGCAGAAAGAGTTGGAGAAAAAAAGACGCTGTGTAACCAAAAGCAAACTATGTAAATAATGCAGCATTCTCATCGTCGCCCCTCGAGAATTGCCAACTTGATGCCGGGATTATGCTTCTCGTATTGCTGTGCCATGTCGTAGATGAGTTCGCCCCAGGCAAACTCGCCTTTGCGACTTCTTTGCGTACAGGGACTCTGTTTTAAAGGGAGGAACCAGTCTAGCACCTTCGTGCCCATGGTATCTTCCCATCCTTGTCTAAGTGATGTATACCAAGGGTGTTCGAGGGGCTTGGTCTGCATAACTACATAGGTACGTCCAGTGTTGCGTTGCACGGTGCGAAGAACGGTCCATTCCTCTGCTGACTCTGGCGTGGGCGGTTTCACAGAGGGTGAGGGTGGTGTTGATGGACGAGAAGTTGGCGAAGAACCCTGCGGCTGGTGTGAGATGAGGAATGCAATATTGTGGACACCGCCGCGTTGGGCAGCTTCGACCGAGGTGAAGTTGATCATGAGATTCCAGCCCGTCATACAAGACATGGTAAACGCAAAGACGAAAAAAAGCACTGCGGTGACAAGGGTGCCGATCCAAGTTCCTGGACGAGAATTCATCTGTACCATTATAAGCTCATGTCTTGTAACTTATATGCAATGTCATGATAGGAGTTACTTGCCTTTGAACTTCTCTCGGCCAAAAACACTGCTACAACAATCCAAACATAGAGCGTATATAATGCTCCATAACCGACAAACTGCAGAAACCACTTGTGGGTACTCTCTCCAATGATTCCTCCCGCCCAAGGGCAGTAGTGATCCATGCGCCTGACGCAACGCCCCAGCTCCTTGCAATGGTGCGTCCGATCTGGCTTCCAATTGCTACATTTGTCACACCAGAGCGGATCCCCAAAGTAATCGCAGACAAAAGCATCATAACCGTCGAATCCAAGCGTCTTCGTGCTTGCCGCACCCTTCTCTGTCTTTCCATCACCCAACGGTACAAGATCTGGCTTCGTCCATATCGCCATCAGAAGGCGCATCCAGGCAACGAGCATCACCAGCATTACAATTGCATACACGACTATCAGCGCAATCCCCGTCGCAGGCCGCGGTTCTACTTCGAAACTGATTTGTATATCCAAGGACGGCGACGTGAGGTACTGAATGGAGATCTGATAGACAAGGACCCAAGTCACGTATCCAACTGCGCCCAGTTCCAGGAGCGGCATGATCACGCTCGTAGCTTGTCCAATGCTCTGCTCCAGTTTCGGGTTTGCAGCGCGAGGTGTTTGCGACCCTGGGGGCGCGGCCGGGGGCGCCATCGACGCGTGAGGATTCGGATGGAGGGTGGGTTGTGATGGTGAGGCGGTGCAGCGGTGAAGGTGAAGGTTGGACTCCGCGAATGAGGGCTGGGCAGGCCAAGGCGTCGGCCCGTGGCAGCAGGTTGGTCCGGGGTGACGTCAGGCGATCAACACATCGATCGACCCGTCGTCTCCACCAACATGGCTTTTGTCGTGAAATTCCATCTTGAATCAGTTCAAACAAGCTCACAGCATTTCTCGTGGTTGAGGCAATGTTTGCTGGTCTACCCTCCACGTCCAACCGATGGGTAAGCAAAGCCAAGGAAAGAAAGGCACCTGGAGCTGACGCATCCCGTCTCACTTCACCCCACCCCGCATTTGCTACTTCAATCTCAACCTCAACCAGTCATCAACTCTCACTTCGTCAACTTCCCCATGAAACGAACTCTCTCTTGCGTCAAAGAAACATACAGTATTTTACTCTAGATCTACGTCATCTCTCGTACTGCTCATGCATACATACAATCTATTTTTCATCAGCGAGTGATGACGCTAGAGCTCAAAAGATTCACCGGTTTTGCTTCAGCCTTGAAGCTTACTAGTTTTCACCACTTACAATTAATCGCTTCAACATTGATGCCAAAACGGAGTTCCCTGGCCCCCCGAGCCAAGCAAACTGGCACGTTCTAGTGGCTTGTCGTTGGCCATATGGGCACCACAAAACGCTGGCAAATAGAACATAGCCTCAAGCGCTGTGAGTATGCCTTTCTGACGACTGTGGGCCTCCGAGACCGCGAATATAAGGATGCTGCGCCCGCTTGGTGAAGTTTTTCCGGCACATTCGCTATCCGTCGCCAACCCACCGGGGACTTACCATGTCAAGACAGCCTTGCTGCCCGGTAAAATATCAGAGCGTATCATGGCAATAGCCACAAGTGAAAGATGGCCCGAATTCGCCATGTTGAACAGACTACTGATGGCCTAGGATCCCAAGACCTCGGCTGTCAACATACGATGCCTCCTTTAGTCACTGTCCTCCCGATCCATACGATTCCCTGCAATTGGTCTCTCTTGAGAGCTACAATGCCCGCTCTTGTCTACCGTATAATGCAATCATCAGATGAGCCTAGAAACAGCTTCAAACCCCGGGGCATCTACTCAGTCCAGCTGAGGGAAATTTCCTACCAGTTGCACAAGGTAACGGAACCTTGCCCCTGGCCCCTACAGCATGATCGATGGTACCATGCATCCTACACAGCATGCTACGGCGCGTAACGCTCGCTTCGTTGGGATTTTTTCCAGATCTCCAAGGGGTCGGCCGAAATCTTAGCGTTTGATGGGTGTCTACCTTCCTTGGGCAACCATGTGGTACCTGGAATATCGGAGCCAAAATCTAATCTCACATTACCTAGCATACAGATGTTGTACAAGATTGAGCCCGACACACCATGTCCTCCATGAAAAAGAGGTTATTTTCAGCATTTCGGGGTCCGGTCGGGCGCTGAGTCACACGTCTCCTGCTATCGAGAGTGCCAGAGCTGAACCATGGCATCCGGAAGGATTCAGAGTCACTGATGGATCCTCTTTGAACGAATCACGTGTCAAAAGGTCGAGGCAACCAGGCAAATCATGAGGCGGCCCACGGCTTGACTACGCTTCCGAATCCGGAAAATGACAATACGGCCAATGCCATCATAGATCATGCTTCCTGCATTGCAGATAATAGAATGATTTGGCACCGAGAGTCACTATGAGAGAGACGAAGCTCATCAGCGCACACCTGAGGCGTACTTATGTGGCAAATGAAAAATCTAGCGAGGCTCATGATGGTTTCCCCAGGCTCCGCCATCACATGAGGTGGTTGTAGTACCTAATTGCGTACATATTATGCTGAAAATTACCTATGACACTATTCGCTTGTCGTCATTGACTACCACGATACCTTCTCTGTGAGGCGAGGTATGACTCCGTGGTGGTCCTGCCTGTCCTCGGCCAAAACCCGCCCCTTGGCTGGCCACTTATCCTTACCGACTACTCACTCACAGTATGCCTCACGGTCACTATGCCTGTCATATGGTCTCGGAAAGGAGGCATTCTGCGTCCTGACTTTTTTGAGCGAGGCACAAAGCAAGAGACACTGGAAGGCATTGCACAGGGACACGAACGATCGTCGTGGTAAAGACGATAAAGACCTCTACAATCTCCTTTTTCTCGACACAACAACCTCATCTTGTCAGTCTACTTCGCAGCTCCAGCTATTCTCTCTATCGTGCGGTGCTTGTAAACTTACATCATTTCTGTCTTCTCCACTCTCAACCCGCTCCCATCTTGACACCCACCACTGGTCCCCCCCCCCTCCACATCCAGAGTTCTTTCTCTCAAAAACTACGGAAAAAATGTCTTCGACATATGCTGCGATTCCACGTCCAGGAAAAGAGGAAACGACCGTTGTCTCGCCTATCAGGAACCTATCAATTCACCCAAGCATCGGACACAACAACTCATCGCATGCCCTGGATATGAGTTCCACCGAGGTTTTCCACCATGGTCATGGGCCAACAGATGGAGAAACCTACTGGTTCTGTGGAGAATGTCGCGAGGGTCCTTACGGGTCCTGGATCCCTTGCTGTCTGAATTGCGGTCACCAAGGTGGCGCATACTGCGCTGCGGGTACTTGCATCGTGGAATCGAGGTAGTGGACTTTTCGGAGCTGCCTCGAATGGTGCCAAACCATGCGGAAATCGATATTTAAGATGATGGACTTGGCATCCTATTCGAGGTACTGCCTGTTACGGTTCTACTTCAGGATATCACTTGATTGTTTCTTTCAGTCGGATGTTTGGTCATGCACTTCCCCTTGGTCACCACGTTCCTTAATCCTCATGCGTCTGAATATTCAGCTATCAAGCCTCGGTCTCATTCGTCGTTTTCTTCCTCGATATCAGCCCCCCATTTCCGTCTACTACGCTCTCCATATGAGAACGTGTCCTTCATTCCTTGGCGTCGCTATGTTGCCCGTGCTTCGAACAAACAGTAAAGTTAGATCAAGTTTCAATTAACGAAGATTCTAATCCTTACCAACTCACCGTGATCAAAGACTGATTTCTTGTACTATAAATACTGCACAATTCTTGATATGATACAGCTCTGCGAAATTCACAGCATATCCGCAAAGTGGCAGGGGATGCCAATAAGCCACACTTTCGGAGATTTCGTGCGACATGCATCTGTCTCGATATGATCCCAGCAGAACGTGGCAGAACGTGGAAAAGCAGAGTTCACAACCCGTCCTGCATGTGACTGTGCATTCAACGCTCGCAGCTGCCTATCAGCGTCCCTTGTTCAAGGATTTTTAAGGCGTCACGGCTCGTCGGAAAGGTCAGGGACGGGGGCCACGAACAAGGCTATTTCTGAAAAAAAAAAGGCAATTAGGCAAATCCGCCACACTGGTGAGCCACAATTGTGCAAATCGTGAAGTGCGGGCTATACTTGGGCCTAGTCACGGGACTTAAAGTGCTGTGACTTATCATATACCAGGTGCACGCTGCGCAAAAGGTTCACATTCTTCTAACGCTACAGCAAGAAGGCCCACATCTTGACTTGTAGCCAATCCGTCGCCGAGAATAACTTTCTATTGAGTTTCAGTTACACCCGTGATGATGTCCGTACAAGGGGCGTGGAGGAGGACCTGAACCCACTCCCAAGGGACACATCAAGGCGAATGATGCTGCTTGACCAGAGTCATCGGCCTTCACGATGGACGTAACTAGCAGAGGGCAAAGGGGCCCACAGTGGCGCAGTCGAAGTTGTGAAGTGAAGCCAGCGAGAGGAAAAACGCGTGATCTTGTCATGAAAGGACACTATGCGGACGTCAACATGGGTATTTTGAACGATACGGGGAGATGGAGGAAGAAGAGAAGTACCTTATAGACTGGTCTATCTCAGAAGTCCTTCAGTCACACTTTCGCCACTTCAATCCAGTGCCCTACTTATCTCGCACTCATACAACCACGCCATCGTCCCCCTCCAAGACGAAAACCTCCTCCCCTCTCTCTCCCGAACGTACCATGTCCTGGTACTGGTACTGCTGCCACTACGGTGACGGTGCACACAACGTCAGCGTCACACCATCATGTCCCTCCTGTATCACCCATCGCAGATGCATTTTCTGTACCCTCGAAACTGACACCTTACGCTCTGGAGCCACAACCACAATATCCGCCCCAGTCCAGCCCATGCAACTACTCGCAGACGAACGCACCACACCGCCAACCAGCACCCCTCAAATCGGCACCGCTGTACGAAGATTCGTCGAGCCGGCGCGTATACGGCTGGACCTGCTGTAACTGCGGTGGAGATGATAGCTGGAGTGTTGGTATGTTTTGTGCATGCTGTGTTGTTCACCCACGCGACAGATGCTGTTATGTGTATGAGGTGAAAGAGGGAGCAACAAGGTGTTTGGTCATTCTCGGCCAATGTGGTGCATGTTTGCTCAGCGGGTTCAAGGAGCGTGGAGGGTATGGGAGGTTGTGTCCAAGGCTGTGTATACTCTGGCTTGGTGCTTTTGTTATGCATTGGTAGTTCTTTTCGTTGGTTGTAGCTAGTGATGTTTGATTGTGGTTTTGTGTTGTCTTTGAGATGTCGATAGATTTCAGTAGCATGCTTTGAGTACTATATCTGAGAATTGTATCACTGCGAAGCTCATCACCACATCATCACAGCCAGATATACATTGTACATCGCATGATACTCCTCAGCCATTCTAGATGCATTTTGCGCTCTATGAAATCTAAGAGACCATCACCCCACTACATCGTCATCATTCACGGACATTGGAGCAGGCGCACTCAACCCACCACCTCACTCGCGCGTCTCATGCTCTTCTTTGGCCAGTCTCAGCATGCTAAATCTATCAAACATCGCATTTGCACAGCAGAATGGTACTTGTTATATCCGCATCACGCCATCATCAGGCTACGTCCGATCAAGCTTTCATTCGCTTCAGCCCGTTGCAGATAATCTAAGACAGCAACGCCACCCACGAGGCCCGCTGACCGTGTCTGCATCTCCAACCTTGCCAATATCAGGTACATATTCTCTTAGCGTTGAATCCCCCCTCCCTCAACGTGCTGGTACATGCAGCATAGCTGGAGCAAAAGGGGGGCAGTGGACCGCGGTATTTCAACCCCCGAATAAGTCCCACGCGTGAATGGGACCATTTATCCATGCATACTGTGCCAGACCAGCATAAACATTCATGATAGTCTGTGCTCGTTGTCGAGGTGAGGGTGGTGGCTTGCGTCATGGTGGAGGGCTGCGAGGTGTGGGAGCCTGGGAGGACGTTGCTTGGCAGAAGGTATTTTGTGCATCTACTCGGAGCCAGGCTCACGGGTTCCTGCGTAAGGCTCACGATTGCCGTGATTAGATACAATTCTGCACCGCCACAGATCTCTCCTAGCCATTGAGGCTGCTATCTCATCACGAGATACCCTCTTTGAGCGCTGGTGTGCACTGCAGGTAAGCCAGTTACTAGCTCGTACAGCAACCTGAGTCTTTCAGTGTCGTCAATTCCAGATATAGCGGCAGGAATAGAAGGACCTATGCCCTTGCAATATTAGCAAACTGAAATTATGAAGCGTCATTTCACCGCGGTTGCCATGACTGCTCATCTGCTCGTTACTAGCGGAGGCAAGAGCCCTTGCCGGGCAGTGCAATCTCCTAGCAATGACTCTGCAAGGACGAAGGGCTCTTTGGAGTAGGTATTTCTCTGGCTGGAAGTCCAGCAGAGTATTTAGCTTGCAACACTTGCCTACCTCCTCTACCATTTTCTCACGAGCTCATCTGTTTCTCTCAGTTCCAAAACATATTTCACACACTGCATCAAAACTAGCCACTACATTTATCCACTTTGACTACTACCATGCCATCGAAGCAGCAAGCTACTGGTTCAAGTCGGCCTCATCGTCACACTCCTGGGCAGCAACCTGTCTTCCGTTGGATCTGTTGCAAATGTCAGACGAGCAACAGATGCGGCGTTGACGATGGATGTGCAAACTCCTGCGGACATTGGCAGGATACATGCTGTGTAGTTTACAACGCAAATTCATGATGCGCATTCTCAAATACAACGGTTGATCTTGGTAACTGGCTGTGACCGGGTAGGCGGTTGTCCAAGGACCTGTTTTTACTCTTCACTGACATCTGCAGGCGACTGTATCGGTAATCTTGGGCTTATACAATTAGTAGCTACCGTCAGCTATTCTACAGTTCCAAAGTCGAGTTAGAGGTCGGTTAGTCATTTGTAATACCGTGTGTATCTTGTGTTGTTCGGCTTCCTCGATCTAGTCACCAGATCTATTGGCACATCCGGTTATCAAGACATAATACAAATTTTCTCCAATTTTTATACATGAGCTCTTTTCGCGTGTGAATCCTGATGCTACTTTCTTGTTCTTGTCTCTGTAGACAATTAGTCGTAAACCCAAACGACCCAGTCCGCAGGCAGCCATGCGTGAATACGCAATGAACCGCTCACGCCATCACTACGGCACCTGTGTACGAGGGCTCTCACCTTCCAGTATTGCTGCTCATCTTCACACCTTATACTGCACCCTAGGTCACACAGTTAGTACTTGTTTAGAGGACGTCGAGATAAGGTCTGCGCATTGTCATATGATCTGCATGTGACGCGGTCCGAATCTGACAGTGCATGGCAAGCCTATGCAAGGGCACACCATGTGCCTAATTTTGGTAAATTGCAAATTGAGGCGGGTGGTGCTGGGCCACGGTTAAATTGGCCGATGTATGGATGGCCAGCGAGGCATCCGACCGATAGTTTGAGAGTACCCGGGAGGTGCTTGTATTACGATCTGGGATGCGGGGAGTACCGTATGTGAGATGGAGAGAATAGTTCTAGGGTTCTAGCCTGTGTGATGCATGTGGGCAGGAAGGAGTTTGACGCGAAGTAATGTGGTGAGGGTTATATCACCACGATTAGAGTAGGTAAGGTACCTACTTCGGCCCGTGAATGGTACTGTACCGGTAGTGTGTTTTCTCCAGTCACTTCCGCCACGATCATCGGTCCATACGAATCATCCCTGCAGGTGAATATGAAGCAGAAAGACTTGCATCTTGAATTTGAGAGCAAATCCAGGCGTTTTCGTCTGAACTGATGCGTACCAAGGAATAACGACCTTCTCGTTCGCTCGCTCGCTCGCTCGAAAGGAACAGCATTGTGGGGTTGCGGAGTACCCCAGTACCTTTTGCGGGGTATGGTAACGTTACCCACCAGCTCGATTTATCAGCTCTACGGTACACACCTAGACGCTCTATCTACCCACACAATTCGGTCTCCTATCCTACACTACAAGCCAATCTGCGAAACAGTACCAATAAAGCCACCAACAGACTCTCCCTTATATTTATATTCAACCCAAACACCGCATAAGCCAAAAAACCTCAGCACAAACACACGAACCACCATGTCCGCCGCCCAAGCCCTACGCGAAAAACAAGCCCCCATAAAAGACGCCTACCGCAAAGACCCCACCTCAGCCATCGTAACCCTGAAATCCACCGGCTCCCTAGACTCCACCTCCATAACCTGCAAACTGTCCACCGGCGCCGCCGCAAAAGAAGCCTCGCGCATGGCCGGCCTGCACCAAAAAGCCGGAGGCGAAGACCCCTCCATCTCCGGCGAGCTATGCTCAGGCGACATGCTGCTGGACGCGCTGGTTGCGTGTTCCGGTGTGACGCTCAAGGCTGTGGCGACGGCGCTTGGCATACCCATTCTGGGGGGTACGGTGACGGCGGAGGGGGATCTGGATTTCAAGGGGACGATGGGGGTGGATCGGAATGCGCCGGTGGGAATTACGGGGATTCGATTGCGGTTTGAGGTGGAGTTTGGGGAGAGGGAGGGGGGGAAGGAGGTTGGACAGGAGGAGGTGGATACGTTGGGCAAGTTGACGGAGAGGTATTGTGTTGTGTTGCAGACTTTGGTGCATAAGCCGAGTATTGAAGTTCAGTTAGCGGGGACTGGGGCTGCGGATGGGAAAGGGGTGGGCCGTACTGTTACTTTGTGATGGAGGGAACACCGGACGATGTTGTGATGTACTCTAGATCGAACGGTCATTCTCACATCGTGATAAAATACGACCACGGAAAGTCCAAATCACAATAGATCTTCGAGTTGTCCAAGTTCTCTCACACATACTAATCAAAAAATACCATATACTCTCCCGTCCAACATGAAACATCTCAGCGTGATAATCTATCAAGCAGATCAAGATAATATACACGGAACAATGTCAGACTTGGAAGCTTCTAGGAAGGAATAACGAGTTGTTCACATGTCATCAAAGTGAGAACGTATCCAGGTAATTGACATGCAGGCACTGACTAGCATAACAGGTAAGACTAAAACTTTCTTCATACTGGTGCTCCATACTGCAATGCCCTTGGTGCAGAATCACGCCGAGAAGCAGGCCTATGTATCTAACACTGAGCGCGATGATGACTGAACCTTGTAATACCCATCACATGCGCAACCAACAAACCAGCGAAAATGTCGCAACCGAATGCAAAACATCAACCGCTCAAACCCATCCCAACATTGCCATCAAAGCGCCAAACACGAAGAAAAAAACACAGCCAATCTATAAAACCAACAATAGTCATTTGTTCGCCAACCAGAAGCAAATCTATATCACCACACATGCCCCTTGGTCTGCTTGATCCCAATAACATTAACATCGCGCCACATGACCACGGCCACAAACCCAATCGCCCACACCGCAACCCCCACACTCAGCAAATTCACCTGCGCATCCGCATACGCCTTTTGAATCGCCACGCGCGTCGGCGAGCCCATCGGATACGAAAGCTGCTTATTGAGATCGGAGTAGATGGCTTTGAAATCTGGGACATCGTCTGCGGGCAGATACTCGAGGAGTTTCTTTGGAAACGTGCCTTGCCAGATTGCGGATGCGAGGGTGAGACCGATGGCGCCGCCGACGCTGCCGAACATGCTGACGACTGCGATGGCGATGGCGATGTGCTGGTGGGCTGCGGCGGCGAGGATGGCGATTTCGTCGCAAATGACGATTGTGCCGGCGGCGAAGGCGATGAAGAGCTGGCACATGACAATGTAGCCGACGTTGCCGTCTGCGTTGCGGAAATGGATCATGAGGCCGAGGCCGAAGACGCTCATGGGGATGCCAAAGTAGAGGCAGATGGGCTTGTAGCGTCCGGTGCGGTGGATCAGCCAGCCTACGACAATGGCGGAGAGGACAGAGGCCACGGTGTAGCATTGAACTACGTAGGAAGCGCTCTCGACGCTGAGCCCCTTGACGACTTGGAGGAAGGAACTAAAGAAGCTGTTCCAGAGCCAGAAGCTGATGAAGATGGTGGAGGAGAGGATGCAGGCGCCAAAGACGGTGCGGTCCATGAGGAGATCGTATGGGAGCATTGTAATTGGCGCGTAGAACTTCTCCCATACTACGAAGCTGATGAGGAAGATAATACCGAACACAAGCATGCAGATGATAAGTGGCGAGTCCCATCCCTTTGCCTGCATGGTGTAGAGGTTGAATGGCAGGAGAAAGAGGGCGAAACCAGCGGAAATCAAGAAGAGACCAATGGCATCAAATTCGCGGCTGTAGTGCACAAAGGCCTGTGATAAGGTTCGTTTTTCGTCGTTCTTAGGGAGTAGTCCTTGTTGCTTTGCTTTGTGGAGATTGTACATGAGGAGGCCCCATAGGGGGAGTGTCACAGAGGGGACCATGATGGTGAACATGATGAAGGCCCAGCGCCAGCCTGGCCCTGCGAGGAAGCCTTGTGCAATTGGGCCTCCTAGCCAACATGTGATGAGGTTCGACGATGATGCGAATGCCTGCACTAGTCCTCGATTACGCAGCGAGGAAGTGTCGGCAATGAAGACACTCAAACTATACTGGATGCCGTTATTTCCCACTGTGTAGAATACCTGACTTGCTGCATAAGCTTCCACAGTGGTGCAGGTCGCCATCATCATGAGGCCAATCGTGGCAAGTATGACACAGCAAATGTAGCCCTGAGGTCTGCCAAAGACATCTAGAATTTTAGCAAGCGTTAGATTCGTCACACCGCCGATGACACTGCTCAGGATGCCCACGGTCGGCGTGAGCGAATGCAACGCGAATGCAGATGTGACATAGGGAGATAGGGCGGCCGCTGTGCCTCCTAGCATGCCCTCTACAAAGTCTTTTTTTCATGTTAGTAAAGTAGTAGAGATATGAGCAGGGGGAGCAACGCACATGTAAGCCATATCATAATGTAAGCAAAAGTTAAAGCTGCAGTCGTCCATGTCACGGTGACTGCTTCCATGTTCTGAACGCCGGGCTGCGCAGTTGGATCCACGCTCGCATCGTCATCATCTTGCTCTGAATGGGAATATTCTGAATTTCCTTCATCGTCCACGGTTTCTACATCCTTCTGTGGAATAGCGTTGGCATGCAATGTCGAATCTGATTGGTGTGCGTGAAGTAAAGGTGTTGCAGACGTGGACGGAGAACCGCAGCGCGAAGGCGGCGCTTCCCTGGACTATGTAAGCAATGTTGCGAAATCTGCAAATCGGTCCAAAAGTCGAGTTTTTACCTGGAGTCCATTGTAGACGCAGAAGATTCTGTAGATTTGCGGCTCATGGTCGTCAAGATGGGTTTCCGAGACGTCCTCGTCTCAAGAGGAGGGTTCGGTGGACGCCAGAGTGAAAGCGTGCACAAGCAACCCGCTCAAACCTTCTCAGGTGGTACGCCAATGGTACGCTACAAGCGGACGCGCTGAGTCTCCTCACACCATTAGCGTCACACCAATAAAAGAGCATGGCTGATATTACGTCGTTCTGACTTGCGCTTCCACTTGTCTCCAACCTATTTTTTTTCTCGAGGGCGGTAAAGAGAATGTTGCACTGTGCACTGTCGCGCAGTAGATGGATGCAGTAGGCTTCGCGTGCAACATGTGTGGAGCAGCGTGCGAATGGTAGTGGAAAAGTACCATGGTAGGCCTTTCATCCGCGTCAGTGGGCACCTGAGCCGACGTCAGCATGTACGTGCACATGTCAGACTACCTAGAAGCTGAAACTTCTAGACCATCTTATCACGTTGTATGCATTAACGTATACCATGTGTAGGTAGGTAGCTCCGCCAACATGCTGAAGTAAGAATGCCTATGCCGCCTTTTGACTCACGCCGCCCATAAAAAGTGTGATGAATGTACATACATCGTGGCATGTGCTAGGTAGGATACAACAAGCTGCAACCTCCTGTAGGATTGCGGGGCAGCCTTCGTGTCAGCTACCGTATCGAATGCCAAGTTTGCTGACCATGAGGATGTTGTGTTGGATCAAGGGAGCAGCCCCATCAAAACCTAAGGGATATCAGAGAACACACCAACCTTGGAAGTGCCATGCGCCACACGGCCCGCCGCGGACGCTAACCCGCTACCAACAACTGAAGTCCACCTATCCTCACGTTCAAGAGTCCACACACACACACACACACTACCTATGTATGCAAGTGTAAGCAAACCCACACGTCCCCATCCCACTAAGAAGAAAAAATGCAGTTTCCCTGGCCTGGAAAGAAATATGAATAGTACCGCCCCCATCAGCGCTGCACGCCTGAGTTACCTTGCCTTTGACCGGCCGGAAAAACCCACTCCTTTTGATGGATGACTACGACTACATACCCCACCCTACACCAGACAGGGAAGTGGAAAACCCACATTCTGCAATGGCCTCAAAAGTTCTCGAACTACCGTGGGCTTAGGTCCGCTAGGAGAAAGTCTCCACCCCACGCGGCTGGACAGGGCAGGGCAGGCTTGCATACGCCCTAGGCATTCCCCGGTTCTCCGCATGGGTGGGGGTGAGAGAGAGAGAGAGAGAGAGACGGGGGAGGGGTGGTAAGCGAACAGGGTGTCATCCCGACCTTGATAAGCGACAATTGCATGTCAAACCTATCACAATAGAGAGGATTAGACTGAGCGACCCCCTAGAGCGAACTGCATCGTTTTTGGCCGTTCACCCTGCCCTACGAACTCTGTCTCAAAAACCCCCTGCATCTTACTCGCGCTACCATCAAACTACGGTCCATACATTGGGTCGAACTTCATTTTCATTCTGTTGTTATTTTTTTTTCTCCCATTTCCAGGTCAGCATGTAAGGCCTTCACGCCACAGTGGGCCGTGATCACTAGGCATAACACCTCTCTACCATAAAATCTCCACTACGGATGTACCTACTGTAACCGGTCAACATCTAGTATAACAGTCTAATCTCGCTTTTTTCAAGTGGGACTCTGCAACCAAGTCGCTTGAGCAAGATAGGGACAGCACCACGAGATCTGGAAAAAGTTCACCTTCATGCAAGGCATACTATGGTGGAAGACCCTAGCACCGCGCTATGTTCGGAGCTGTTGGGCGTTCCAATCAGGCACGCCCTCATTCGCTGTCTGTATCGAAGGATTGGGGGCTGGTAGGTAGGATATGTTGGATAGCGGGGGGGTATAGGCAGATCTCACACATGGATGGTGAGATATTAGAGGGACATGCCATTGGCGAAGTGTAATCGAAGATCGAGTTGAGCCAGTAGAGATATGCATTAATGTTAATATGACTTTTGTTTTTTGCAGATATACTGTAATACCCTACAGTTTACAACGAAAGTTTCATACTCGATGTGTGCGATACAGAACTTGCGAATCAGAGTTCATTACTCCATGTGCAATAGAATCATTCCCTTATACAACCAACTCAGCAAGAATCTACCAACTTTGCATATCTCGTGAACTCGTCATCTTCCTGGAACATCTCCAGCTCCTCCGGCCGCGTGCCAAACACTAATTCCACTCCACCGTCCTCTCTCAGTGGGAAGATGACCAGAAAGCGGAATCGTGCATTGCCTCTGTCGATGAGTGGTCGCAAGGCCAGCGGTGAGCCTCCGTTAGCAAACATGCCATCGCCGAAGGAAATGACGTTTGGCTGGAAGAGCATCAGGTTGGAGATCATGGCATGCATATGATCGAGTCCCATGTTAGCCGTTGAGAAGCGACTATGATCAGGCAGTGACTTCAGGATCGTGAAAGCATCGTGCATCAGCGACGGAGTAATACATGCGGCCGATTCGCGCAAGAGATAGGCAACTTGGCCAACCGTAGTTTCAGGCGAGCAGAGGGTTTCAATGGGCATCGCAGCGCGGCCCATGATGAGCATACTACCCATGTAGGTCGATGGCAGCATCGATGAGAAATAGGGCCGACCATCTACGGGTGTCTCCAGTATAGATAATTCTTCAGGTCCAAAAGTTTTGCCGTGGAGCTGAGTAGCTACGCGATATCGGGCTCGAATGGCGGCCCGCCAGAAGAAGGCTTGTACAATGTCGCTGATGGACGTGATGACGCCTTTGGCCCCGGGATCAGCTAGAACTTCCTGCTTGAGCTTCTCAAGCTTCTCCGGTGGGATCAAAAACTGCGTAGTCTTTGTTGGATACGGATTAGGGTCCAAGGGCCATTGAGATCGCAAGGGAAGTGGAGGTGGAGGAGGAAGCTTCTTTTTGGTGGCATGGTTACCGTTTGTCATTCCGTTGACTGATTGTTTCAAGACATGGTCAGGGGCAACAAAGGGTAGGAAGCCCCATACGCCTGGATCAACCTCTTCCACTGGTCGAGCATAACCCTCTTGTTCGTAGATAATCTCTGGTAGGCTGTGGTTGAAGCTCTCAGGATCGTACCAGTCACAGGTAGCAGTCTCATCACCCTGCACATATCTGCAGCTTTCGGCCCATACTTGTAGGGCTACCATGACACCTGCGCCGTCGAGACAGCAGTGATTGAAGTTTGTAGCGATGATACAGCCACCTTGAACAAAGTTCGCTTGCGCAACCAGGATATCGGCAGGCAACTCCGGGAAAGTAACATCAGAAAGGATAAGCGCATCATTGATGGCTGATGGAACAAATCCGGTCCTCTTCAACTCTTCAAAGGTCGGTAAGGTTTTTGATAGGTCTTTGAAAATGAGCTGTCTCGGACCCTCGGTTTCAGGTTTCGATATGATCGACAATTCCAGAGGAGGAATCGTGACACAGAGATCGCCCTTCGTATAACCAATTTCCTGCTCCGAGCATGCCATGATTTTGCCTTCCAGAGCAGGGATAATTTTGAATGTTCGCCGAAGGCCTTTTTGCAATATCACATAGGTCTCCTCGAAGGTTTTACCTTCTGGGAGAGCAAAGAAAAAACTGAGTCCCATGTAGTGCAATGGGTTCTAATATAACAGGTTAGTCTTTACTCGAAACCTGAGAAATAGTAAACAACTTACCACATAGTCCAGAGCATTGAGTCTAAAGGATAACCGTGCCTTGTGCTGATCGATGAGCTTCTTCATTCTTGAGGCTGCGGACTCCTCCTTATTTTCTCCATTCGGTTTTTGAGCCTCTGATATTTGGCGGAACAAGAAGTTTGCGAATTTTGCGACTGTAGGGTTTGCGTAGAGATGGCGTGGTGCAAGTTGGTCTTGGAGCATCATGGCAGTCTTGGTCATCTTGATGGCCTTGAACACATTCAAGGAATCTAGGCCCAGACCAAAGATGTCCTCATCCGGTGCTGCGTCTAAGATGGCAGGTAGAATAGACCCCAGAATTTGACGTACAGACTCTGTCGTAGATTCAAGCGTGCTGGTGTCCACGTTGATATCACCCAAGTCATCACCACGCGAATTGTAGAATCTTTCGATATAGTCGGCGTATAGATTGAGGGTGGCTTGTCTCTTGACGGTTCCTTTGTCTGTGCGAATGAAAGGGCGTTCCGGTTCGGCAAAAGTGATGAAGTCCCGGCTAAGTCGACCTCGCTGCAGGCCCTGCTCATTCGATTTTTCGATTGTAGCCCAAATGCTATCGAGAGTCTCTTCAGTCGCATTTGCTGGATCCTTCAATTCGATGAGCAGTCCCGGCTGCAGCTTCCCGGAGCCAATCATGAGACAGCCTTCAATGGCAGGGTGTGCTGTCACGTAGGCTTCGGTCTCCAGTGGCGAGATCTTTTCGCCACTAGATAGCACCACTGTATCATTGCTGCGACCTCTGAAAGCCCAGAGGTAGGGCTTGGTGGGATGTCGTATGTAGAGATCCTTGAAGTTGTAGTGATCTTCGGATGGGAACGTGTGGAAAATCCCCTGGAACAACGGCCAATGCTCGTTTCGATGCGCCCACTGCTCATACACACCAGGTTCTATCTCTTTGAATTCGAAGCCTGAGTATGGATGGAAAGCGAACCAATGCCAGTCTTCTCTCTCGGTCCACAGGTTCCCAATGAACAGGCCCTCCGTGGTGCCTGTCAAGTTAAGTACTCGCACAGTTTTGTTTACCTTGTTGACTATTGTTGGATTCACGGGACCTACAGGGGTTTTAATAATGGTTCGCAGACTTCGCAAGAGAGTGTTGGATCTTACCTCCCGATGCGCATATGAATTTCGACGATCTAAACTTTTCCAGGACATCTGGTGTTTCGCCCAATTCATCAACAAGGGATGGCACCATGCTCCAAATGTCGATTTTGGCTTGCGTCGCAAGGAGATCCATGAGGTGCATATTTGGAATCACCTTGGCAGGCCCCAAAACGCAACGCAAAGCAAATAATGCAGGTAGCAGGATATCCATGATGATGCCTGCACCCTACAATGGGAAACAATATCAATTAGCTAAATAGATAGAGTATGCCTTGCTTCACAATACTTACATGGCTCATAGGAAAAGAAGAATAGATAGTGTCGCCTTCGTCCCAGTCACGGCTCCATGGGGCTAGACCTTGATCACCTTCCGTAGGTGGAAGTAATCGAATTGCATCCATTGTTCCTATCAGTCCATGTGACCATGAGACAGGCTTAGGAACTCCAGTAGTCCCGGAGGTATGAAGAATGCAAAAAGGTTCTTGCATGATTTCATCGAACTTCTTTGTGTAAGGAAAAGGCCTGGTACTAGGTGCATCGATAAGCTCATCGATTTCAGGAAGTTGCAGAATGCGCATTTGCCGGTGCTCTAAGAATTCCCGGACCAAAGGTACCGAGGCCTGCTCCTTTGACTGAACCCATATATCGCAATGAGCCGCTTCCAGCACGGCCAATGCTCCATCCAAGTTGTTTTTGGGAGACAGAAAGAGAGCCTATGTGACAAGGAAAGTTGCGGTATTAGCAAAAGCAAAAGATGCAGCAGTGAGTGCAGCATAGACTTGTGAAGGGAGACCTACCGAATACCCAGCCTTGACACATGCATACGTCAAAAGAATGTGACGAATATCATCTTGAGTAATGATTAGTATAGAAGACTACTGACATTCTAGTGGTTGGTTTCAGAGAGGTCAGACTTACGTTGGCCGATGTAACCAACTGGCTGTATGGACGCAGAGGACCCTAGCTGATCCACAAGCCACCACGCGGTCTTGTCGACTGCGTTTGCAAACTGTCTGACTGTTATATGACGGAAGCTCAGTGTAGCATCGTTGAGGGAAGAGATGGAGTAGAAGATGCGATCTGGGTCGGCATCGGCCAGGTTATCCACTATCTGAGGTATCAGTCTTCTACCAATATCTGGCGTTAGCGTCAAGGATGAAGGCGACAACATGGAGATGGTAGTCGGTGCAGGTGGAACAATCCACCGGTAATAGCTAACAAGAGGAGACGTGAGCCAACAACGATTCAACCAAGAGGTCGCAGATGAAGGTGGGATATATCATGGCGGGCCGGCGATGACCGATCCACTGTAATGGCAATGGTGGTTTGGAGTTCCCTGTAACCTTAGTAATACCCGACAATACAGTCACAGGCGCCGCGACATGTCTTACCGTTGACCAGGTCACATTGACAGCCTAGTCAGTCTTACCATGCATTCCTCCGTGCCGATTCGAGCAGTTCACCGCAAACATGCGCATATACGCGTATCTTGTCATTGTTGATCAGCGTCGCCACAGACTGTGCAGACGTTTGCAAGCCGGGCTGGATCCCTGATGCACGGCCTGGATGGTAGTAGGTAACCGTGACTACTCGGCTGATGTGAGCACAACACACGGTGTAAGGCGCCAGGCTGCTGTGGTTTCTGGGGCTGACAGTTGGAATGCAAGGTAGTGGATATGCCCAGGTGGTGGGCCGGCCAAGGCGATGTCCATCTTGGCGTGCCCAGGTCGTGGTCACAGCTAGGCTTACTCGTAAACAAGCGAAGAAAAGGAATCGCGATGGGCTAGTCTAATGCCGCAATCTTTCTCATTACTTGCCATTTCCATGTCCATTCGCATTGGAGAAATGAGCTTAGAAGTTTTCTTCTCATATCTTCTTGTGCATACATACCAAGGTTTCAGCAATCAGAGGCGGAATCCGTGCCATAGCTTCGGTAATCCACCATGGTGTTTAGTGGAGATCATTTCATAGACAGGGGGCGGGTCATCATACTGATAATGTGTCTAATAATCGCGAATGTGTAACATATAGCAGAATTTAGAATCTTACTCTGTAGCACACCCTAGCATGGCTTCGTGGCGTGCGTACGCACATGCATGAACGGGATGTCATCACATTCGCCAGGCTAGTGCGTGAATGATGATCCTTGCTCTTGAGCTGGAGGCCCAAGGCCTGTACAAAATGCTAACCGTAATTCGGTTTGCCTTCCGTAGTCGAGCCCGTGAACTCTACAAACAAGGCGACTGGTAAGACTTGTTATTTTTGTATATCATCTGCCGACTGTTCTTACGACGACAACAGTCACGCCTTCTTCTTGCACAACCCTCCACTTACTTCCATCGAGATGTCGATACTAGCAAAGCCATCCCCTCGGCGACCTGCTCTCAATACTCCCAGCGAAATTATCTCAGTCAATACCAAGTCCTCCAAATCGCCACACACAACCATGGAAGTCACTGAGGTCTCAACCGAGGTTTCTGCAATGTCCAACAAGATACTGGACATTGTGTTCCTATATGCGCTCAACAAGTTCAGTGACACTCAAGACCGGTTGGAGGCAGGCAGACCCAAGTTCGTCTCTGTCGTCGACAAGTTTGTTGCAGCAGAGGAGCCGGTCAAAATGTGTCTTCCAGCCTTTCCGTTCAAGTCAGCCAACAAGGTACACAAAGTACTCGGAAACCTACCCGACAAAGCGGAAGAGTTGGCACTGGACCGACTGAACACGATGTGCTCGCGTATCAAAGACATCTACCCGCCAGGAGCAAAGCTCACAATCATCTCAGATGGTCTAGTCTACAATGGTGAGTCTAAAGCATGCTTGGATAATCTCCTATGCGCGCCCCTCCCTCCCCATGAAATTCAATCGTCACTAACCTGCCCGCTTGCTACAGATCTCCTTGGTATTCCGGACCGTGATACTTGGAACTATGGAGAAGCTCTGAGGGAGATGTGCGAACAAAAGGGATTCAAACACATCGACTTCTCCAGACTGAAGGATCTTGCAACATTCCCTGGCCTTCCTGAAAAACTCCAAGAGATCAGTTATGTTGCGAACGCCACCAACTTCCGTCGTGTTATTCTGAACAAGTACGGCAAGGAGGACATCAACATCGACAACGAGATTGCCACCAACCCTGACACCAAACTTACATATCTTGGCTATCGTCGATTCCTCGAGTCGGATCTGCAATACATCTTCCCCCTCGGAGGAGGCCGAACTAGCAACGGCTACAAACGTGACGTGAAGTATTTGGCAAAGCAAATGTTGATCCGGGGCTACGTAAGTATATTCCTTTCACATCTAATGATGCTGTCATGGGCTTCGACTTCTGGAAGCTAATTATGCATTAACAGGCTTTCGCTGGCGCATGCAAGAGTGCGTTCCCAAACCACTTGCGTCTCTCCATTCACCAGTCAGTTGGAGAACACAAGGTATCCATGAGTCTACTCAACACTAAGACGGGTTACACAACTCCATGGCATTGCTGTGTCGCTCTGATGGCAGATGGCGAGTGGGTCAGTGCACCCATGGGAGACTTCCAGTCAGATCCGAGATTCGAGGTCGTGCACGAAAACGGCCGGCCCAGCTACTTTCGCGAACTCACTGGAGAGAACGGCGCGATCATTGAACTGCAGTCCGAGCCGAAACAGCAAGTTCCCATGACGCCGCCACTGGCCAACGAAGTTTCGACGCCTACGAAGAAGGCCCCGTCGCCTAAAACCAAGGGGAACTTGAAGAGGAAAGATCCGCGCCCCGAGCATGAACACAACAAGGCTGCGAAGAGTGAAACTTCCGTCATCGTCACCGGCTTCCTCCTAAATCTCGTCATGGCTCTTACGACAGCCAGCGTCCTCTCCACATTTTCAAGCGAGTCCCATTCGTTCAAGCCGCAGAGCCCTTTGCTGTTGACTGCAATTTCACTAGCAGTATTCTCAACTGCATCGGAGGCACGGGTTGTACGCCGATTATCTAGCATGTGGTGATTTTCTTTCATGTTTCATGGATCTTGAGGCGTTTTCATTTTCACGGGGTTTTACAAAGTGAATTAGGTTTCTTCATAGATTCTGCGATCTCACATTTAATTCAGAGATGCATGTTTCCACACCATTCAAAGCACCGTGACAAGCTATTGTGACTTCATAGCCTAGTATCACATTCATTCGCCGTTTTGCAACTTTTGTCAGGCCATGAGTACCTAAAGCGGCATGTTTTCTCAGTCGCCGTGAATCATCAACGTCAGATCTGTTCAGCTAGTGCAACAGGTTTGCTGCAATGACATGCATCTCAGACGTTCCAGACATTCGATGCCGTGTCACATATCATGTGCTGTGCCTTGCAGTGCTCTATATCATCTACAGTATGACCGACATATTTGCATAAAAGTCTGCTGGAATTAGCGCATGTTGGACCATAAGCTCATTGCAGCAAGTACATGTACCTACACAGGCTAATTTGCAGGCATTATGTCCTTCGCTTGCGACTGCGCATGTAGTGCTTATTCGCGGTACCAAGTGTCCAAGACGGCAAGCGGGAAGGATGAGGACCCCACGTCTGCCGCCTTTTCTTCGCAAATACGAGCGGCGTGTTGGGTGGCACACCAAGGTGAGAGTACTATTGGTTTCAACATGTCAGCATTTAGTAGTTACAATACATGTCTTGCTGAGCACTTTGATGTGAGGCTTTTGATTCGAGCAACGAGTTCGCCCGGGCGTGATTTTCTCAACATGACTCAGTAAGTCAGAGTCAATCGTCGCCCCAAGGTTAGAGGTGGAATCTTATCTGTCTATTGCAACTTTGATATTTCGCCCTCCAGTAATGAGAATGAAGAGACATTCATTGGAGAAGTGGCTGTCACTCGGCACGCAATGCACATGATCTTATCTGGAGACCCAAAGAGAACTCGAAAGCATACAGTATCTTCTAGAATACCCATCACCATCCTGGCTCCTACCATATCTTCGGTTCAACCGCACGCTACACAGCACAAGCTCAGCATCTCTCCCAACGTTCACAATATCATCTATAGACCCCTCAACAGGTTCATGGACGGCCGTGCCATTTTCCAATACTTCCAGTGAACGACGATCTCCCAGTCCATGGTCTGCACGTCTACCTCGTATTGACCCAAAACGGTGCATTGCATTATTCAACACTCTCGGCAATTGAACTCCAGCACAGTTGAAAACGAGGAACTTGACGCCGTTTTCCAAAACCAATCACACATGAATGTTGACCACGACACCTGTATTTTGCCATTCAGGCGCCTGCTAATCATAACAATTGGTTGAGCAAACAGTGACGTCACAGTGAGTTTTCTTGTTGACCGAGATATTGATCTGTTGGCTTTGCGTTCCACAAGTCAGTTATCCGTTCTCACGCGGGAGTTTCGCGTTGGACCTCCTTCATCTTCTGATTCTCCATACATTCTCGGTCCAAACAATGGAGCACTTCTTTCACCTGTATCCTCTACCATTGCCACGTCATCGGTAATTCGAAGCTAAGTAGCAATAGACGGCCTTTACAATCCAGTATCTCCGCAAGATGCACAATGTTCATCTTTGCTTGCCGCAAGACTTGCCAAAATATCTTCACAAAACTGCAACAAGTGCAGTCTTACCGTGGGAACGGCCCTATTATGCTTTCGTCATCTCCGGCCCTGTTTAAATCGCTACCCCACGATACGGAAGCTCCAAAGTACATCGCTCCCGCCAACTTACTACCGTGACTATCCCGAGATGTTGCCGCCGACGACATGGGACCGTGAATCGATGCTTTCAAAAGCAACCTCATCCCACTGCTTCCCTGAACACGACTGCGTCCACCGAGATGACCCGGGAAGCACACAAGTATCAAAACAAATCCAATCATACTTCTTCCGACCGGATAGTCGTACACTGGCGCCACGGTCAACAAGCCCATACCACATGTGTCTCCCCTTTTCCAACCTGCACCACGTCATTCTCACGCGACTCAGCCTCTCAGACATCGAACCCGGTCGGGATGCCCAAGACTTCACATGTCTGGTGGCGGATGGGTGAGGTCAGTGTCAGCCGCAACGCCGTGGTACCCGATAGCGCGCTCGTGGTCGACGTCGTCCCCGGTGGAGACGAGCGAATGACTCCACGGTCAGCTGACAAGGAAGAGCCCGCGATAACTCGCTCATAACGTCTCTTTTCGCCGGAAGTCGGAGGTTGGCTTGTGGGTGGGGTCTAAAGCAGTATCGTGGAGACTAGAGGGTTGAGCACGTTTAAATTAACGATCTAGTGGATCATATGGAAGATGTGTAGGATACAGGATGCTCACTGTAGGAAGGTGGTGTTGCATCTGTCTTATTACGTCCATCTACTGACATCCAAAATAGGTCAAGTCCCTGTGCAGTGCTTGGGTACATTGGGATTACATCCCACCTTGAGTTCACTAGGTTGGCCTTCACAGTCGGCCAATTTCGCGAGTGACCATTGGTCAAGATTGGACAAGGATAGACGTCAAATACAAAGACTCTGTGTTGCTGCGGAAGAATAAAAAGAAACGAAGTATTCGGTCCGATGTGAAGATTGGCGTCAAGGAGAATATTCGGTACAACGCGGGACAGTACGGGAACTAGCAGGCATGCAACCGAGAAGAACGTTTACTTTAATTGTTCTACCATCTACGTATGTTCTTCTCATTTAGAAGCGACGGAATTCGAAACATTCGCATTTTTACTCACCAAACACTTCATTACGTGCATTAGTCTTGACATGAAATGGGTGTAGAGCAGAAGAGAAATCTGATGCATGTGGCGTTTGTAGCCAAGCCCTTCGCCACTGACAATCTGCTCACCTCGAATCCATTCGCAGCACCTTCCATTCTCGAAGAAGATCAATCACAACGTGCTCACTGTGCATCAGCCTAGAACGCCTGGAGTTTGTGGTGGGGCTCGAGCGCTCTTCTCGTGCTTCTCATGTTTGTTCGAGTTTGGCGTTGCGGGACAGTTCGGCCTCGATATGACGAAAACGGGGTAATGCCGGTAACTTAAGGCACGTAAGCGATGCTTTTCCTTGGGCCGAGAAACATGGTGACACTAGCGCGGGGACTATGGTACCTATGCACCTCTTTACAACGGACCCAGGTACCAACCCATCTTCCTTCAGAGCGAGTCTACATAACCCACCGGCTACGATGAAGTCCAAGACGACATCGAAGCCCCGACACCGAGCCGTGGAGCAAATGCACCACGCCTAACCACTCAACACCCCACTTCAACGTAGCCCCTTCTCTCTACACCACACATGGACGATTCACACCCAGTCATTCTCCCGCTATACACACGAGAAAAACTCCCTCCCAAACCATCTGCCCTATTCTCTCCCGGTACATCCCTTCCTCATGGCAGCGTCCCAAGCCGCGCCCACCCCATGCAATACCCCGATCAACCCATCCAAACCCCCTCTCCCCATACGTCCCCCAATAGACCCAACCCTCGAGCACATCGTTTCCGCCTTTCCCATCCCTGATGATCTACATCTCGACCTGATGCGCGGCATGAACCTCGTCCCAGAGGGCGAACCCAACCCCTTTGCCTACAGCGCCGCAACGGTCCTAGCCGCGCATCCAAACTACACGCACAAGGACTACACAATCACCGGTGTTGATGGGAACGAGATTGAGTTGTCTGTATTCACACCACGCGTGGGATCGGAACCGGCCTCAAAAGAGGAAGAAGACGCAAAGACAGAGGCAGGGACGACACATGGAGAAGCACAAGAACGAGATCCACAGGCAAAACCCTCCTCATTACCAGCACTCTACCACATCCACGGCGGCGGCCTAGTCTCCGGTGACCGCTTCAGCGGCGTCTCAGAAACCCTTTCCCTCCTCCCCCCATCCACCCCAACAATCCTAATCTCCATCGCCTACCGTCTCGCGCCCGAAACTCGCGCCCCAGGGGGTGCAGAAGACTGTTACTCTGGCCTGCGATGGGTCTTTGCCAACGCTGGTACCCTGGGCGTGGATGTAGAGCGGGTGATTGTATACGGTGTCAGTGGAGGCGGGGCCCTAGCTGCATCCCTGTGTTTAATGGTGAGAGACCGAGCAAATACTCAAAGCGACGGGGCTACGGACAAGCGGGTAATGGGAAATTCGCCAAGCAAAGACGAAGAAAAAGTAACCATCAGAATCAAAGGCCTTCTCCTCCACACCCCCATGCTCGACGACCGCTGCACTTCCACCTCAGACACCCAGTTCCACACCAACAGTCCTTGGAGCGGCACCTCCAACGCACAAGCCTGGGACCTCGCCCTCGGCCCCGGCGTCCGTGGCACGTCAGCTGTCACGCCGTACCAGGCGCCTGCGCGCGAAACCCAGTATACGGGCTTGCCGCCAATGTACGTGGATGTAGCCGAGTGCGAGGTTTTCCGCGATCCCGCGGTGCGGTGGGCGAGTGAGGTGTGGAAGGCGGGCGGGACGTGTGAGTTGCATGTTTGGCCGGGGGTTTGGCATATCTTTGATATGATGGATGGCAGTGATTTGCCGAGTGTTGTGCAGAGTTCGGTGGCGGCGAAGAAGAATTGGTTGGGGAGGATGGTGGGGGGTCGGTGAGGGTTGGAGGTTGGGACCGATTGAACCCTGTGTGGGGGCTTGAAACTTTCTTGTGGCTGTATGTTTAGGGTTGTGGGGAGTTGGGACGTGAATGAGATTCGGTGTGGAGCATGAGGTAGTGCGGCGTACGCATGCCAATGCTAATCAGATCATCGCTCGTAGCAGGCAAAGATATACTCGCCCGATCTCGCTCTACCCGACAGATGAACCATAGCCACGGGCATCAAAACGCCAATACAACGGGCCAATGCCAATTGCTCTCAAAACCCGCACACAAACCCTGACTGATTCATCATACCACAACTGATCTTTCTGCCCAAAAAAAACACCCCCCCCACACATGCATTGAGACGCAGCGACATCACTCATTCACCTCCCCAAAGCCAACACACCTCCATCACGCCCAACAACACAACCACACACAAACCAGACAGCACGTAAACCAAACACCGTCAGATAACCATCACCAGCCCACCCACCTCCCCTTTGCCAAAAGAAATCAACCCACGCGCCTAAACCCCACCACTAGAATTCCAAATCCCCTCTTCACCGCCCTCCAGCCCCAGCAAGAGTGAAAGTTGACAAGGGCACGGTTAGCAGTAGATGCGACATCCATAGATGCCCGCATAGTCGCGAGGATAGTACCACGCACGCCTGCCCCGAAACTCCAAGACCGTCCAGAGTCGCGGCGTTGTAGCAGTCTGCAATGTCCGCGCTGATGTCAAAGATTCCGTCGGGCGAGTTGGACGTGTCAGTATAGAGTTTGATCCTTTGCCTAACCCGGACAGGGATAACGCCGTGGGTGATGCAAAATTATCCTTTCTACAGGTGGATACACTTATACCTAACACTTAATCTCTAGCAGTCATCCATCCACCCGTCCACCCAGTAATCCCAAACACCCTAATCTTGATGGGGTAAGGTATGGGATTGGGTGGGTGGGAGATGGTGTTGAAGTCTTTCTTCTTCTTCTTCTTCTTCTTCTTCTTCTTCTTCTTCTTCTTCTTCTTCTTCTTCTTCTTCTTCTTCTTCTTCTTCTTCTTCTTCTTCTTCTTCTTCTTCTTCTTCTTCTTCTTCTTCTTCTTCTTCTTCTTCTTCTTCTTCCTCTCCCTTATATCCACTATCCACTTACAACAACCAAAAAGCCCCGCTCCTACAAACCCCTCAATCTACATCTCAACTTCAACCTCATCTAAACCCGAACCCACCATCTTCATTCCAAGTCGTACCCAACTTCCCTCCTTCTTTCTTTCTTCCTTACTCGACGTCCACCCTTTTGCTCTGCGTACGAAAAGTATCATCTTTTAGACTTGCTTAGGTTTTACTTGTTACTTGTTACTTGTTACCTTCTACCTCCTCCTCCTACTTCTACACACTCTTATCCCCTCCCCTCCACACGCCCACAAGCTACTTCTATCCCCAACACCAATGCCGTCCTGAAAACCCAAGTCCAGCCTAGGTCCAAAGGAGAGAGGAAACGTGAGGCAGGGGCAAGGTAGGGCGAGGGCAAGGGAAAAGTGTGAAAAGTATAAAAGCCAGGCAAGAGAACAAGAGAACAAGACACAACATACCCAACCAAAACGATCAACAAACAAGCAAAAAAAAAAAAGTGAAATTGAATTTTGGAATATCCAAGGGGGTATACATATCCCTCCAGCCAATTGATCTCTGCACGCTCTGATTCTCCCGCTTCATCTAAATATCTCGATTCCTCGATTTCTCCCTCTTCCCTTCAGCCACCCCGCATGTTCCAAAACCCTCATGCACAGAGCCCATCCACCACCTCCCCTAGGCAAGAATCCAATACGCCCCACCAGCCGTAGCAACCGCCAACAAAATCGTCATAATCGCCGCGCCCGCCTTATCCGCCGTCGTAATCTCCGACTGCCGCAGCGGCGACCGATCGTCGTCATTCTCCGTACCCAGATTCGGATTGCCCTGGCTGGAACCGCCCGTGACGCTGGAATAGGGCGGGGGCACGCGATCGACATTGAGCACGCTGATGACGTTGAGGGCCGTCATTTGCGGGCCGACGCCGCCGATGCCGTCGAAGCCTGGGGACCACCACTTCATGCCGCATTGGTGGTCACCGCCATTGTGCTGCGAGGGGCCTTCACAGGTTTGCGCGGCGGCCTTGGCCGAGACTTGTAGCTTGGGCATGATGAGGTCGTGGGTAAAGGGCGCCATTTGGATGGCATTACCGAGCCAGCGGGCGAGGTAGGCCTTGAAGGACTCTTGGTCGGCGTTGCAGAGCGTCTTTGCTTCGCAGACTTCGACCATGACGCCGCCTTTGTCCGGGGGGTAAAACATTTCCGTCTTGGCGATGAACTGGGTCAGGGCCTTTTTCCACTTTTCGGCCCCGTTGGTGTAGTTGTACATCTGCGTCTGTTAGCGTGGGCGTAGACATGCAAGTAGGGAAGAGACTGTTTACATAGGCTGCTCCCGCAATCATGATGCCGTAGTTGTACGTCCAAGGCGTCATGTCCGCGTCCTTGCAGGGAGGATTTGTCGTGATACTGGTCCCGTCAAAGACCTGGCCATCTCCTGGCAAGATGGGACTCTGTGACAGCCAATCAAACGCCTTTTCTGCCCACTGTGCATACGTGTCGTTTTTGGTGTACATGGCCAGCCGGGCACCCAGATGGAACAGCCCACCGTTGGAAGCCGTGTTCTTGTAGTTCCAGCCGTTGAGCCATGGGAAGATTTGCCAGCGCATACCACCACCACACGTTCCCTCGTCGACTTCCTTGCTGTAGCGGGTGACAAACTGGTTGAAGACGGACTGCGTCATGGCGAGCCAGCCAGGCTGGTCAGCGGGCGGATCTGGGAGCTTGTACTCGGCGGCAGCGATCATGGAGAAGGCCCAGAAGACTTGATCGTCGTTTCCTTCATTCTTGGACTGGTTCGAGGGCATCTGGACAAGGAGGATTAGTATCCGCATTGACCCTGTGGCGAGGCGATGCTACGCCGTCGACGTACCAGGTCCAGATGCTCTCCAAACTGGTGAATCAGACCCTCGCGAATCATGTCGTTGTACTGATCGTCACCGGTATAATGCCAGTAGTCAAGGAGGGTGCCAAACATGGCGCCGGCCTGCCACCAGTAGTAAGGAGGGTAGAGGATACCGGGATAGCCTCCCAGGACATGTACGCCCTTGTCGTCTATCTTTGCATACTGGGCGACGAGTTGTTTGGCAACCTTGGAAGAGACGTCCTTGATGGATTCTTCAATGGCGCATTAGCACAGGCCGAGGGCACACGGTAGCAGAGTACCCAGGGTAGCAGTGAGGATTTTACCAGGCGAAGTAGGATCCAGGACCAGAGCTTGGACCTGTGGCACGACATGGGAAGACAGCAGAGAGAGCGCGGGTAGGACTTGGGCAGGGCTGAACAACCTCATGGTGACATGTGTAGGCGCCTCGGTAGGGAATCAGATGCAAGCGAGCGATGGGCGGCAAGAGCGCGCAAGGAGACAAGAGACTACGATTAGGGATCAGAAAGTGGGGAAAGAGCGACGGTGGTCGAGGGTCCGGGTGTGAGAAGCAGCAGCGGGCCAAGGAAGGGGTTTTGTGGTGGCAGGAGAAAGTGGTCAGGTGGGAGGCACAGGCAGACAGCGAGAGGGAAGCAGAATGAAGTGGTTGGTATCAGAAGAAGAGAAGAAGAAGAAGAAGGAGAAGAAACTGTGTGAGAGGGCGGGCAAGCGAGTAAACGAACGAGGGGAGGGTGGTGTGTGTGTGTGTGTGTGTGAAGGAAGAGCAATGAGGGCGACAAAAGCGCAGATGGATGGCAAGCTGCTGAAGAAAGCAAGAAGCAAGAAGCAAGAAGGAAAGAAAGGATGGTCGGGGCCTGCAACTGCGCCTAACGAAGGAATGTCGGAGTTTCCCAAGAGCTGGCTGGCTGGCTGCTATGGCCAGAGAAAAAAAAGAGGGCTGTTTGCGGCGCGCTGTTTTGGGGGCTGCAGGGAGACACACAACACACACAGGGAATAAGAACACACGAAGCACCAGCAAGTCAGCAAATCAGCAAATCAGCAAATCAGCAAATCAGCAAATCAGCAAATCAGCAAATCAGCAAATCAGCAAATCATGCCGTCTTGCTCCCCCTTGACAGTAGACAGTAGACACGTGGTGGCATGTCATATGACCATGGGTTTAGCGTCGGGCGACTTGGGCTTTACTCCGAGTGGTTAGAATATCCCTGTAGGTTCAAGTCCACGTCACAGCGGCAAATTTTCATAGTTATATAAACTAGCCTATAGTTAAGTATAAATTAGGGTAATTTAAGCAAGTAAATGCAGTTTTTGTTACTATCTTTTTTAAACGTGTTCTAAACCTATTCTTAACAATATATAGGCGTTCCTAAATGCTATACTAGAGTTTAGTATAGTAGTACTAGACAACATATCTAAACTAGATAGTAATATTAGAGATAAATTTAGGCAACTATATAAAGTGCTAGAGGAGGATAGTAGTAGTAGCGTTAAGGAAGTAAGTGAAAGTAAATAGAACAAGTTTAGAATAGGTTAGTAACACGTTACAGGGGCACAATGTATACCTTACTTATAGTAATAGTTAAGGACTACTACTTACACTAGCAATTATTAAGCATGCAGCTATTCTTCTAGCATACCCTTAATTATATAGCTAAAGGGTATAGGTATATAATACTAGTTTAGCAATATAAAGATAGCTCTTACCTAACAAGAGAAGAGGTGCTTGTGCAGGCTATATAGGTAACACGTTAAGAACACGTTCTTAAATTGTTCTAATTCTAGCAGGTACAATACTCCCGCTAGTCTGTCTATCTTAACAGGCCTATAACTTTACTATTCTTTAATAGCTAGCTAGCAAGCTAGTATAAATACTAATACTCTAGGGTAAAAGCGTGTAAGTATCTTAAGAACACGTTACAAACGTGTTCTTATCACGTTGTTAATAACATATTATACAATTAGATCTAAACCTTAAAAAGTGTAGTACCTAAGAAAATTCTATAAAGAGAACTACAAATAAGAAGCTATTATTATAGCCTTATTAAGCGCTTCTCTTTAAGGATTTATAAGGACTACTAGGTGTCTTATTGTCCTATAATAAGGTACTACAGTAAATTAGGTAGGGAGTAAAACTTAAATATATTTAAAACGTGTTAATAATAAGTTAGTAAATTATAGAACAGGCTTAACTATACATTAGCTATTAGAACTACAGCCTAATATCTGCTACTAGGAAAAAACATTATTTTAGTTAGGTACCACTAGAGGTAGACTCCACATATCTACAAGGTCTTCTAACTAGGGAGATATTAAATCTTTCTAGTAGTCCTACTTTATATTCTGTAGTTAAGCCATAGTTAAGCTAGATAAAGAAGTGTGGTAGGCATATTGCAACCTATTCCTAACACGTTCCTAACATATTCTAGGCGTTAATTATCTATAAGGGCAAGGATCTCTGTTTAAAATCCTGTGTAAAGTTACCTTCTAAGTAATTATACTAATAGATATAGTAGTAATACCTTTTTTTGCTATTATTTCTTTTAGTATACATATATATATACCTCCTCCTCCCTTAACACTATCTAATAGTAATATTAAGGAAGTAGTAAAGGTGTTGCAGCCTATACTTACTCTGTAGCTTACGTAATGTAAGTTGTTTGCAACCTGTTACAAACGTGTTCCTAACTTATTACAGCCTAGTTCCTAAACTTAACCTAGCTCTAAACCTATCTCTAACTTAAAGGTTTCTATTCTATTAAAGAAATACATATTAGCTTCGTAAATAAAGATAAAATCTTGCGTATTATAAAGCGTGAAAAGCTTCTATAGTTCCTATTTAAGAGTAGCCTTAGAGGAGTACACTATAAGTAGAGGATAAAGCATTAGGATCCTAAAACTATATATAGTGTAAGAGAACAGGTTTAGAACACGTTGTTAACACGTTACTACAGGCGTATATACAGCAAATCTTTACATTAAGCTTAGGCAACTTAATTATTTGCCTTTTTAAAGAGTAGGCATTAATTCTATTAGATTAAGACACGTTCTAGATAGATATGTTATATAAGAGGTTGTATAGGGCATAGGCAGAGATTCTAATAGTAATCTTCTACCTATAGGAAAAGAAGCGTACGCATTAAGAATAGGTTTGTAACACGTTTCTAACACGTTATAGTTATTACACTTAGCTAAATTATTATAGATAAGGACACAACTAAGATATATTAAGTTACTATTACTAACTTCTTTTAGAAGTGTAAAGCACTTATAAAAAGATAAGTGTTATAGAGGCATATTTACTTACAGGGATTCTATAGGACTATTGTTAACATATGCAATAAGTAGATAATAGGCAAGTTTTATGGCGCACTGTAATATATTTGTAACGTGTTTCTAACTTGTTTCTAGGACTTAGGCGCTATCTCTAGTTAATTGATCCCTACAAGCGTAACTAGCGCTAGTAACTTCAATCTTGCATAAGATTTTGTTAAGTATATCTATAAAGAAGTATTCATAAAGCATGTAAAAGAGAGCTAGATAATACTACCTCTTTACGTCTAAGTGAATTACTACAGGCATTAATAGTAGAGGAATACTTTTAGCTTGCTAACCTCCTCTTACGTAAGTAAATACATTCTAAACCTATTCCAAACGTGTTCCTAACTTATTCTTACATAATTAGAACACGAACCCTCTAAAGATGCCTAAAACTAGGCAATCTATAAGAAAAACCTAGTAATTGCTACTAGGATTGTGCAATGCTATAGTAAAATGTTAAAAGAGGTATAGGAAAAACTAGAATCTTATTTAAATATAGCTAAGCAAGCAGGCTAGAAAGGATATAAAACTAGTAAGCATGTAAGTATTCTTAAGGCCACTTAGAAGTAAGTTTATAACCTATTCTTAACCTGTTAGAATTGTATAAGTAACATTGTATAGTGCACACTAGATAGATCTATAGGATATAAAAGAGTTTAAAGCCTAGAGCAAGTTTAGAATACGCTATAACTATAGAACTCCTAATAGGCTTAAGCAAAGGTACCTTAAAAAGCTTTAGAGGGGAGAAAGTAAGTCTTACGCTAGCGTTATGCACATTTGCTAATTAAAACGTGTTTAGAACGTGTTTAGAACGCGTCCTGCGACAATAATAACACTCTAGATAACAATAAAGCAAGTCTTGCTATATCTAACTTAACTAGATATATCTTAGTCCTAATAAGAAATAAAAGAGCACGCTTAAAAGCCTAAAGCTAGAGGGCAAGTAGTAGAGCAGTATTAGAAAGAAGTTCACTAGCCCCTTTTCTATCTTCTCTACTACTAGGCTCTTCTCCTCTACTAATAGCAACCTAAAGGTATGCTTTGCAAAACACGTTTATAACACGTTCCTAACTTATTATTAGTCTACAACTATAAACTTTATAATAAAAGGCTCTTCTTAGTAATTAGGCTCTAAAGGAGAGAAAAGAAAAGCTAGAGGTAGATAAGGAAGAACTTGCATAGAAAAAGGCACTATTTAAATTGCAAAAGGCATAGTTTAAACTTAAGAAAGAGATAGCTACTTTTTATGCAAGGCAGGGTTAGTCTATAAATATAGTAACTAGTTCCTAACTAGTTCTTAATATATTCTAGTCTATCACGTAAGCATATATAAGTGGATAAATATATATTCTTTCTTCTTCTCTTTCTTCTTCTTTCTTCTTACACTCTATAAGAACTTTTTATATTTAAGAGTTTAATACTATTTTACTATCTATCTTTCCTAATATTATTAGATATAACTAGTTAATATAGTATATAAAGATCTTTTAAAGTTAGTATGTGATAGAACGCGTTAGGAACACGTTGTAAACTTGTTCTAACACTAAGTAGGATTTATACTAGCAATATATTAAGCTTAAGTCACTTCTATCTAATACTAGGGTATTCTCTCCTGTAACATCCTACCTAAATAATAGGTGTATAGTATTTCCTGGCAAGCTTTTCTACTAGGCTATTTAGGCTAGATTAGGGGTACAGGAACTTTGTAGAGTATGTATACATGCAAGTTAGAACACGTTTATAATATATTAATAACTATTTTAGCGTTACTTCTCTAATAGAGGTAATCTTATCTACTACCTTAAGAGGTATTATCCTAAGGTTTAAATAGCCCTAGTAAACTATAGCAGAACCATAATACAAGGCACTACAGAAGCAAGGATCTTCTATAGGAGCTTAATAGTAAATGCTTAAGAACGTGTTCTAAACACATTAATAATACGTTCTCTGCTAGTAGAGTAGACTATACTAAGTGCCTCCTCTAAGGTTTAAGAACCCTCTAAGATAGCTAGTCTATAACAAGAAGTAGTAGCTAGAGTAGAGGCTAAAGAGGAAGCAGAGAGTAAAGAAGAGGAGCAAATAGTTGCTCCCCTTTACACTGTGAATAATATTTAGCAAAAGTAGCAAAAAGGAGATATAAGTCTAGTCTCTTAAAACACGTTTAGAATATATTAACAATATGTTATAGCTAGACACCTATAAATACTAGATTCTTCTTTAATCTAAGGGACTACTAGAGCTTTGTAATACCTATAAAAGTTAAAAGAAAAAGTTATATACTATTAAAGGACCCTATAAAAGTAAACAGTACTTTACTTTTAGTAGATAGAAAAAAAAAGAGAAGAGTAGAGAGTTTATTTTAGTAATTACTACTACCCCTTTAGGTTATGTGCTATTGTACATCGTTTATTAGAACCTGTTCTTAACACGTTCTTAACGTGTTCCTACTTGTTGCTATTATTATCTCCCTCCCCCTCTCTAGTATCTTCTCTATCCTCCCTAGGCTCTATAAAAGCATACTGCAAGTGGAACTAGGCAGCATTCTAGCAGGAATTAGCAAGGTCTACACTAGCATTAAAGTAATAGTCTTAAAACATGTTAGGAACAGGTTAACAATATATTATAAATAACTTACTATAGCTAGGATAATTGCAAGCGTAGATAGCACAAGGAACCTAATAACCTTAAATCCTTAGTAGGGTAGATATAGTAACAAAGTTAAGCTGTAACAAGTTAGCAACGTGTTTTTAACAGGTTCTTACAGGCTATACCTTATTACTATTATAGCTACTGCAAGTCTTCTTCTAAATTATATTTAGGAGGGTATTAGTATTTACAGAGGGGCCTACAGTAGCTGCTAGCTAGGCTTAGAGAACTTCTATAAAATATGTTAGTAACAAGTTTTAAATATATTCTAAATAACTTATAGCAAGGAGCGTTCTAGTAATTATATATAACCTTTATATAGAAGTCTATATATATTAGTATAATAAGTTAAGAACAGGTTAATAACATGTTTACTCTTTACCTCGCGGACCTCTATTATAGAGGGCTAGCTAGTCTTCTTAACCCTACTAACCTTATAGTAGGCTATATTAAGCCTATAATCTTTTTTAGCATAGGTACATAGAGTGCCCCTAGTACCTAGAACAGCCTAAGAATATTAGAACCTATTTAGAACACGTTTAGAACCTGTTCTTACTCTACACAAGGTGCCCTTGTTGTTAATCTTAGTATAGTAGTAGCGCTCTCTACTCTCTATCTTAACTGCCCTATTAGGGCTAACTATAGGCCATGCCCTAATATTATCTAGAACGCAGCTAAGGGCAAGGTACTGTTAATAGTGCTTCTATAACCTATTAAGAACACGTTCTAAACACGTTTTAATCTACTTACGTAGGATAAGAGGGATGCGTTAGTAACAGGCATAGCGGTAGTGGCTTATAGTGTTACTAGTATAGAATGTGTTTAGAACAGGTTTAGAACGTGTTGCAAAATCTTACAGCATAATATTTGGTTAACCTTGCTTAGCTAGCTAGTAGAGCTTGGCACGGCCTAACCCCATGCCAAATACGAGTTCACGCAGCGCTAATTCCATGGTTATATGAACTGCGCCCTCTAGTAGACACTACACTAACAGGTAAAGGCCCGTCTTACTCAGCGCCAGAGGCCAACGTCTTGTCTTGTCTTGTCCATGTTTGAAAACACAGCAGGAAACGGGGCAAGGGTGTGTTGCTTCCACAATCGGAGCTGGCTGGACTCGGACTGGCTGGACTCGGACTGGCTGCAGCTGTTGCCTGCCTGTCCCTTACACCTTCCCTCACACTCTATCCCACACTTCACTTCTAGCCCTTGCCCCCCTTCCACCTTGCACTTCCTCCTCCACTCTTCAACACCATCCATCCACACACACATCAACCCAGTCCAGGTTCCATCTCCACCAAGCCCCCCCCCCCCCCCATCCCCCCAAAACAAAAAACCGGGGCTCTCTCTTACGCGTCCCCCACACGTCCCTCACACCCATCAAACAAAGAGCCAACACCGGTAGGTAGGTAGGTAGGTAGGACCGACCACGCAAGGACATGTCCTTCTCATGAGTTGGGCTCGGACACCCAACATACCGGAATATCGTGCCGGCCGACTCCACCCCCTCCCTCGCCCGTTCGATTCAATCCCACGCAGAAGAAACAACACAAATACCATGCATGCCATACAACCACCATCCCGCCCACCATGTCCACCTACCATGCCCGCGTTTACACACCTCCCTCCCCCATCTCCCTCCCCTCCAGCAAACCTCCCCACCCACGCCGCAACAAGCGTTTTCCAAGCCGAGCTTACGCCGCCTTGCGCAGCACCGGCCAAGACTTGTCCTGTTGGCCTGCCGAAACAAGTTAGCCGGGGAGCGGGGGCTGCGCGTCAGGGTTTTTGGGTGGGGGGGGGAACGGAAAAAGGGGAAATCAAGGTCGGGCGTATTTATAGAATCGAGGTTGCACGTGCGGTGATGCGGTGATGCGGTGATGCGCCCACGCCATCTCTATCGGGGCTTGAAACGTCCACGCTGATGACGCATGGCAATGCGCGTGCGTCAAAAGTGGTGGCGCGCAAAGGTACCAGTTATCTCGGCTGGTTTGAGGATCACGTTACTTGTCTTGTGCCATCAAAATAGCCGGGAAGTAGCAGTGGCAAATCACATGATACTCAAACTACCCGAGCGCATGAGATAGCGTAGGTGTGGTAATGGGCTTTCCTCCTATCCTAATCATCAATCGACGACTACCACTACCGAGTAGGTACGGTACCGGTACCCTCTGCCAACAGATTTACATCCTAAACACACCCCACCTGCTTTCCCTCTCCACGCCCCGATTCTGCCCACCACACGCCATGTGCAGGCCCATGCCCAACACCCTCCTCGTCTGCTCAGGCGGGATAATCCCATCGTCCCACAGCCGCGCCGAGCCAAACCTGGCTTCACTCTCGTCTTCGATTCTAGCCTTGAGCGCCGGATCCGCTTGCTTGCCCACAGCCTCCATCACCGACGAGAGCTGTTCGGCGCCCATGACCGACGTCTTTGCATTCGGCCATGTGAAGAGGAGGCGGGGGGAATAGGCGCGGCCGCTGGAGACGGGTACTGTTAGCCTGGCCAGAAGAAGGGGAAGAGGAGAAAGTGGTTGCCAGAAAAGAAGAAAAAAGAAGAAAAAAGAAGAAAAAAGAAGAAAAAAGAAGAAAAAAGAAGAAAAAAGAAGAAGAAAGAAGAAAAAAGAAGAAAAAAGAAGAAAAAAGAAGAAACTCTAAACATACCACATCCCATAGTTACCAGCACCAGCACTCGATCCCACAACAACCGTAAACTTGGGCACATCCACACAGCTCACCGCCGTCACCAGCTTGGCCCCATTCTTCGCGATCCCCCCCTTCTCCGCATCCTGCCCAACCATGAAGCCAGAAATGTTCTGCAAAAAGACAAGCGGAATCTGGCGCTTACCACAGAGCTGCACAAAGTGCGCGCCCTTGAGCGAGCTCTCGCTAAACAGAATCCCATTGTTGGCCACGATGCCCACGGGCTGCCCGTAGATTCGCGCAAACCCGGTGACGAGCGTGGGGCCGTAGAGCGGCTTGAACTCGGCAAACGACGAGCCGTCGACGATGCGGGCAATGATTTCGTGCATGGGGATTTGCTTGCGTAGATTGGTGCCCGCGATGCCGGAGAGCTCCTGCGGGTCGTAGAGGGGCTCTTGGAAAGCCGGGGGCGAGGTGGCCACCGTCTGGTTGCGATGCCAGTTGAGGTTGCCGACGCTTCTGCGCGCAAGCACAAGTGCATGCCCATCATCGACAGCCAGGTAGTCGGTCACGCCAGAGATTTCGCTGTGAAGCTTTCCACCCCCAAGCTCTTCTGCAGACACCACTTCGCCCGTCGCAGCCTTGACGAGCGGTGGGCCGGCGAGGAAGATGTGTCCCTGATTTTCCACAATAATGTTCTCGTCACTCATGCTGGGGACATAGGCACCACCGGCCGTACACGGGCCCATGACCACACTAATCTGCGGAATGCCCATGCTCGACATGCGGGCCTGGTTGTAGAAGATGCGCCCAAAGTGATTGACATCTGGAAACACGTCCGCCTGGTTGGGGAGATTGGCGCCCCCAGAGTCAACCAAGTAGATACACGGCAACCGGTTCTCCTGCGCAATGGTCTGGGCCCGAAGATGCTTCTTCACCGTGATGGGGTAGTACGTGCCTCCCTTGACGGTCGCATCGTTGGCCACAATCATGCATTGCACGCCGTTGACAGTCCCAATCCCAGTGACAATCCCGCCCGCAGGTACATAGTCGGCCTCGTACATGTCGTAGCCCGCCATCTGGCTCAATTCGAGAAAGGGCGTGCCGGGATCAATCAAGGCCGTGATCCTATCGCGCACCAACATCTTGCCTCGTGCTACATGCTTTTCCCGTGCCTTCTCCGGTCCACCTTGTGCAATCTTGGTGTGTAGATTGGCCAGTTTCTCCGTGGCTTCGTCCATCTGCCGCTTGTTCTCCTTGAAGTCGCTGGAGCTTGTGTCGACCGTGGTAGGGATGATAGACACTTGCTCGGCATAGTGCGAGTGTGTAAAAGTCGCCGCCTGTCGTGTCGACTGCTGCGCAGCATGCGACAGAGTCCGTCGTCGTGTTGGAATCTGGACGGCAGTCGACAGCACGCGACATTGGGCTGGTGACCGCAGCGCTACCGACGGCCGAATGCTTTGCTTGAGCAGGCTCAAAGCCTCTCGCGAAGGCCCTTTGTGCACCATGCTAGAGTGTTGTGGACTGGCGTGTGAAGCTGCGCTCTGTCAGACGTCATCTGATGGGTCTATACATGCTCTCGCAACCCACCTAGTCTATTGTGCTTGAAGTCGCGCTACCCCGTCTCTCCTATGGAATGTATGTGCTCGCCACAAAAAGACAATTACCATCACACCCGCGTAGGTCTTGAGGGAAAATCAACAAACACGGCTGCATCCGTTTCCACCACCGGCGGCATAATGGCATTACAAGCCCGCTGCCAGCCGTACCGCGGCTCTGCGGGGAAAGCGCGCTAGGTCGCAACGAGCAGCTACTATCCGTGTCTATCCCGCGCACCTTGTTCTGCATCACAGCGGCAAACCAACATGCTGACTATCCAATTCGTGAAAATGCGCTTGATGGGATTATGCCATGTTGGAGGCAGTTGGAAACTACATCAACATTCACCTCACAGCTTACCACCCTCCACGGGTACCTCAACCACCTGATCCAAGCCTTCGTACTTTAGGACATCAATTCCATACTTCTCCGCCACGGCTGCACTCAAGAACCTGCCTCCTACAAAGTGCCTGCCTTTGAACCACTTGACCAATGGCTTTGGTGCTGTCAAGCTGATGAGGGCTGGTGGCATGAACCCCTTGCCTGGCCCCGCGTCTCGTGGCCCATGCTCGATATCCCACGACGATGGCGCATCGACGGCAAGCACGGGAACAGACGTAGAGGCCAGTGCTTCAATCACTCTCGGAAATGGCTCGCGGACCTCGCCGGAGAAGGAGAAGCCGAAAATGGCGTCGACGATGTGATCGGTTTGCTGGAGGGCGGAGGGGAAGTCGTCGGTGAAGGGCACCTTGAGATCTTCGAGTTGCTTCTTCAAGCGCTGGATTCTGTGGGTTATGAAATCTTCTTGGAGAGGCCGGTGTGGCCTGTCGTCTGGGTTAGGTGGCGTACCTGATACAGCTCGTTCTTGCTTTGCTTGGGATAGTAGATTGTGGGTTGGTAGCCATAGTGGAACAAGTGACGAGCTGCAACTAGTCCGTCGCCGCCATTGTTGCCAGGACCACAGGCTACTAGGATCCGCTTGCCTTTTTGCAATGGCTGTAGTCTGAAGACTGCATCCATCAGCTCAGCCCAGTGAGGAATACGTGTGCACCTCGTCAAAGGAAAACCGTCACGTCAAGGTACCTGCCTGTGAGACCGAAAGGCCAGCGAGTTCCATCAATTGATCAATGGAGAACGCGCCAGTCGACATGACCTCTTGATCCAGCGCGGCTGCGCTTTTGGCAGACAGTGTCTAATTGATCAGCCCGATGTGTTATAAAGGACTATGCTTCCATAGACTTACTCGAAGTGCCATTTCAATTCTCAGCGGAATCTATCCTCACAGATGGGGGTGGTGGTTACATGATCAGGGTCAAGCTCGAAGTCATGCCTGGCATGATACGATTACATCACTACCATCAGCATCTCAGCAGCAACAACCCCTACACCACCAAACTACACCACGCCAACCCCACACTCCCCAGACTCATACATCCCTCCAACCAGCTAACACCATTGCGTCGAGCCTGAAATCCATTCCCCCAAACAGGCAGAACAGGCCACACACCACATCAAGCACACTCACGTGCCGCCACCCCCGAACCATCTCCGATCTCCACCCCAAAAAAAGTCCCGACATCCAACCCCCAACCCCAACCCAACCCAAACACACACAACACACCACACAACACCACACCACCAAAATGGTCCTCCGCATCCGCCTCGCCCGCTTCGGAAAAAAACACTCTCCCTTCTACAACATCGTCGTCGCACACGCCCGGTACAACACCTCCCCCCCCCCCCCCTTCCTCCTTCCCGCACCCAAACTAACCACTCCACACAGCACAGCACGCAACTCGCGTCCCCTCGAAGTCCTCGGCACCTACGACCCAAAGCCGCAGCCCCCACGGCCAGGCGACACACACGGCCGGGCGTGGAAAGATATCCAGTTGGATCTTGCGCGCGCGCGGTATTGGGTGGGTGTCGGGGCGCAGCCGAGTGATACGGCGTGGCGGCTGTTGAGTATGGTGGGGATTTTGGAGCCGAGATGGAGGGTTGGGAGGGTGGGAGAGATGGTTAGGGCGAGGAGTGCGGCGGGGAGTTTGAGGGGGGAGGGAGGGCGGGAGGAGGCGGTTGTGGGGTAAGATGGGGCATTGGGATATTCTGGAATGGGAAAAGGCGCGACGAGAAGGACAAGGACGGAGAGAAGATTTTCAAATCCAATCATGCCTGAACAAAACCCTCAAATCACAAACAAAATATCCCCCGGACTTCAAACACACACATCACCCTCTACCTACCACCTTGCAACAATCTCAACCCACCAGCCACAGCAATCCCCCACCCCTCTCTCCCAGCACCACACACACCCCCTCCATCCATCCCCGAAGCATAGACAAGAAAGACAACGTGCAAGCTGTGTACATTGTACACTGTACAGTGTCATGTGCACACCATACTCGATTTCACCGTCCACCGTCATTCCAATGTAAACTATACTCAATCCATCGTCCACCGTCATTCCATTCTACAGTCCCGCCTTCCCTGCCTTTTCCCTGGACAGAAATCACACTTTTTTCGTGCTGGGGGGTTTTTTTTTCCCCTTGGACCAGGAATTCCCTTACTCCTTACCATTTTCCGGCAGGTTCCGCCCGGCTCGGCCGGGACATCTATTTTTTTTTTTATTTTTTTTTTGGGGGGGGGGGGGGGGGGGTTCGGTCATGGATGGAGATGGATGGAGATGGACATGCACACCGCCAGACCAGACCAAGCCAGCACACCACACCACACCGCCAGACCAAAACAATCCAATTCTAAACCCAGAAAGAAAAGCAATCAGACACAAAAATCAGACACGAAAAAGTCTTGTAGGATTACTATGTAAACCCCCCTCCCGCTCTGGGCCCCTCCCTTGTCTTCTCCGACTTTTGCTGCATCGTCTCCATTCTGGCATGCTCATGCTCGTTCCTTTGCTAATTCAGTTCAATTCAATTCAATCCAGTCCCAATCCAGTTCCAATTCCATTCAATCCCCCATCTCCCCCTCCGCATACCCACTCGCGCTCCATCTCCCCCCCCTCCCCAGCAGCCAAACCCAAACCCAGTCCAAAACCCCAAAAAGCCCTTGCCCTCCAAATATACAAAAAACAAGTCTACAAAGAAAACCCCCACTCCCCCTATTTCCCTCCGCAGACACACAAGACAGCCACCAAAAAAAACACAGAATAAGGATCCGGGTATCGTCGAAGTGAAGAACGGGAAAAAGGAAGAAGGAAAAAAGAAAAGGTCGGCGGACAGCAGAGGGCGGACGGCGGACGGCGGACAATCGTGTCGAACCGAGCCAAGCTAAGCCAAGCAAGAGAGATAAAAAAGGCCGGGATGTTGCAAAGCCGGGCGAGGAGAGTAAAAGTAGAGGTTGAGATCGGGGGTCCTGGGGTGCAGTCTTGAGGAAAAGAGGTGGGGAGCTGGGTGTACATCTGATGAGAAAGACAAGGAGAAGAAGGGTTAGAAAAGAAAGAGGCAAGGGAAGAGAGAGCGAGGCAAGATGGGATGCACACGCTTCCTCCCAAAATGTACCCATGCGCCCTCGAGCACAAGCAGCACTTGAAATCCTTCCCACTCTTTCATCATCGCCCTGCTTCCGCATTTTCCCAATCTTCCAAGCCATCCGATTTGACCCGACTCGGACCATTGAATCCAACACGGTCAATCGTATGTGTACGCACTTTATGCAAAGAAACAGCGGACACGCTCGTAGTGCCCAAAATGCCTGTTCGGGCGAGAAGGAGAAGAAGTGTTCATGGCAAAGTCGTGAGGCTGCATGCGCCGAAAGAGGGACGAAGAAGAAAAGGAAACCAGTCCCCTTTGCTTGATTACAGCAAAATAAGATAATTGCTCGGCGCAATGCCCGTCTCGCCATTTGGCTTCTTCGCCTGCCACCATCGGCCACTCACGTCCGAGACCTCGAGGACGTCGTGCTTTTGGAAGCTGATTTCGTTTGCATCGTCCGGGTTGGCCTCGTAGCTGTAAATGGCCTTTGCGCGGTAGGGGTACTCGATCGAGGCTTCTTGCTGGTGTGCTTCGTCTTGGGTAGGGGTTGCGGCGTTGGGAATGCCGTTGTTGGGCATGCCGCCAAACTGGGGGACGGAGCTGTTGCGGCCGTTGGCACCTGCCGGGCCGCCTGGGTAGCCTGAGACGGGGGACGAGGTTTCAAAGCCGTTGAGTTGGGCAGACGTGTACATTTGAGGCGCCTGGCTGGCGACTTGGGTTTCGGGGCGGTTGGTGTAGCCGTGGGAGATTGGGCGCGATGAGCGGGAGCCTGGGTGCTCTTTGTGGAGGGCATACGAGTCGACAAAGGCGCGGTGACTGGCCTGTGGCTGAGAGCCGTAGTAGAAGATCCATACAATCTGGGGGCGGGGGGCATTAGTGGCAGGTTGGGAAAGTGAAGAGGAAATGCAGTCACGTACAGCAATCATGGAAAGTAGAATGTATCCCGCTGCTGCTGCCTCGAAGGGCGCAATCGGTGAATAGACGAGCGAGTTGACCGACGAGGTAGTGAAGACCAGGCCGGCGGCGAGGAAGCCAACAATCTGGCGCAAGTCAGCAAGGGCGCTGTGTTGACACTGCCATTTCATCGTCACCTACCGCTACATGATATGTCCGCTCAGCATCCGAGGCGACGGTGACTGTGACACCGGCGATGCAGAAGAACATGAAGACGAGTGTCCACCATGCGAAGTTGGGGAAGCCACCATGAATGGCAGATATTATCGAGCTGACAAAGGCGATGATCCAGGCGAGCTGTTGGACGAGCAGTTAGCCACCGTCAGCCTCAACGGATGGGCACAGCAGACGGAGACGGGTGACTTACGACGCCAATGGAGATGGTGGCCAGGGCAAAGGGGTCGCCGATGATGCGGCCAAAGCTCAACGAGGCCCTCTGGCCGTGACCGTAGCCGTTTTCCATTTTCCGCAGTGATGGAGAGCTCACGGAGCCGTATACTGGCATTCGTTGCGCAGGCGGCGGGCGAGTTGGGGGTGTTGATGGTCAAAGGGAGGCAGGCAGGCAGGCAGCACGGGGATAAAGGGAGCGACGGCGTGGCGGAAGTTTGTCAAAGAAAAGGAGCGTGGGTGCTGGTGTGCAGGGGGGGGGGCGGGCTGTCCAGCGGGCGAGGGAGGGTGAAAGAAAAACAAGCAGTGTGAATATACTGTCTGTCTGGGCCAGCGACGTGGACGATGTTATGTTGGGTTTGGCGATTCTGTTCTGGAGGTAGGCAGGCGATGTAAGCCATGTAAGCGATGTATACAGGCACTGGGGCTGGCGGGCCGGCCGTATTGGGGGTGTTGTCGCAACGAACGGGTGCACAGGCGCAAAAAAAAAAAAAGGGCAGCGGCACGAGGAGAGCCAGCAGCCAGGAACGAGAGCGTTGCAGGCGTGCAGGATTTTTATTTACTTATGGGCGGCTTCTGGGGGGAGGGGGAGGGGGGAGGTTGTGCGACGGCTGGCGGCTGCAGGAATGGCGATGCAGCGTGTCAAGAGGGTTTGGGGAGAGAGTGGTTTGGGATGGACAGTGTAGGGAAGTTGGCAGTTAGCCATGGGGAAAAGGCTGTTTCAGAAGACGGCCGTCATTGGCTGCGGGTTGGCATCGGGCTATGGCTTCATGGCGTTATGGACATGCAGCCGTCAGCCGCTGGGCTCGTACTCTAGTAGAACGCAGTCTGGACAGACGGTAACACGCGCGTCTACCTAAGAGTACAAGTCCCGGCGCCTGCTTGTGCACTCTAGTGGACATGGACACTCTTAGGTAGGAACCATACTGCCAATGTGGGGAGAGAGACTTGGTCTGCGCATTCACACTCGACATCCTTCACCCATCCATAGCCTCGACTCCTCTTCACCCCCCCATCACCACACCGTGCAGGAAAAAAAAAGAAAACAAAACACCCAACACAATGCTGCCATTCGACTCAACCATGACCGCCCACAATGAAAATCCCATCTGCACAGTGCACACCCAACCCCGTCCCAGCGCTGGCCTAATTAACCCCAAACCAGTTTAGCCTAGGTGGAGCACACATGGTCGAGTCTCGGTTGTCTCACCATCAACAGCCCCCGAGTCTTTGCCATCTTCCCTCTCTCATCTCTCCCCACCCAACACACCTCACCAACGCAGAAACCAAACAAAAAAAAGGCCTTGTTGGAAAAGAAGAGTAGAGTAGAGCAAAGGATGCAGCTTCAATGGACACGACTACGGCTGTTTTCTGCGCTTGCTGATCAAACTGCGTGAGCAGCTGGATGTAGCCGTCGTGACTTACTTGTACTACCCACCTGAGAAGCACAACAACCCCTTCCTCGTTGGAAAATGCACTCTCATCACACCTTTTGCCCTTCCCAAAACACCATCGCCATTCCCCTCACTCACAGCACAGCACGCACAACGCACCCACCTGTCACATCACATACCTGCTCCCTCCCCCCTCCACCCACCGATCTACACACCCGCCCGCAGGAAGCCTGCAAGTGCCTTGGCCATGGATTAGGTAGGTACCTACTATGTAGTAGATGGTGTACCTACCTACCTACACCAACACACACTCGCACTCCCAATCCCCCATCTCACCCAAACCCTGCGACATACTTGAAACACTCTCTCACCCCAACCCCGCATCCACGCGACGCACATGGGATTCCTTGCCTGGGAGAAGAAGAAGGAGAAGAAGAAGGAGAAGAAGGAGAAGAAGGAGAAGAAGGAGAAGAAGAAGGAGAAGAAGGAGAAGAAGGAGAAGAAGGAGAAGAAGGAGAAGAAGAAGGAGAAGAAGGAGAAGAAGGAGAAGAAGGAGAAGAAGGAGAAGAAGGAGAAGAAGGAGAAGAAGGAGAAGAAAGGAAAGAAAAGTCTAGTAGGAAAGAGGAGAGGTGTATGCTTTCCTGTTTGCCTTGTGGTGGCATGGGTCTGGCCATCTTGGGACTTTGGGAGGGTGGAGTGAGTAGGCATGGATGCAAGAGACTTGAGTGACTGTGTGGAATCATGTGGGATGACGACCAAGGGCTGTCTGTTCTCTTTAGACTTGGTCTGCTTTTTGCTTTACTAGTTCGTCATCACTGGGTACACAAAGTACATGGCATATCCCAGAGTACTTCTACCATGCCATAATACACGACCACTTCTGATATCGGGAATCGGGAATCAAGAGTCTGGACTAGGGGCCTGTGGGGAGCCCAACATGCATCCGCACTTTCCCACCTTGTGCATCCGCTTATTGCCTACAGGGATGGGCCCTTTGTATTTCTACCTACACACCATCCACGGTAGTACTACGGTTCTCGTACCCAGAGCCCGGACTTGTCGGCTTCCCAGTCCAGTGTCCACCCGCACTTCAAATGGTCTTGGTGCCACGTGATGTCCACTGTGTAATCACCGCTCTGGACCGATTGCGGTGATTGCCATCCTCGACAACTGCCTTGGCATCTGCATCCATCCATCCATCCATCCATCCATCCATCCATCCATACATACATACGACCTACAACTATTGCAGAGCTAGCATACTGCATGACAGATATGGGCCGAGTATCTCGTGTCTACAAGGCGTCCGCTGTCTGGCTGGTCATGGCGTCCGTCAACTGTCAGATCCGGTGGTGGGAGGCTTGCATTGTGGTGTGCGCAATGCATAACGTCCAGCTTCCCGTTGCAATGCCACGGCTTGCCTACTGTGACACTCGTCCCATTGGGCTCAATGCTCTCTGCCTACGGATATCTACCATCCATCCCTTCCCAGGCCAGAATTTGGAATATTGAATCAAACTTTCCAGTCCAAGCCAAGTGACTAGAGTTCCTCCGACTCGTCGCCTTCGTCCACATCTTCGCCCGCGCCCTCGTCTTCGTCCGGCTTCCGCTTGTACTCCTCTCGCACAACCGTCCTCAGGGCCTTGGTTAGTCGCTCGTGATAGTCGACCCAGCATCGGCCAACGCCGACAAACATGATCTGTTTGTATCGCTGGTTCACGAGCCCATGCCGCCTTCTGAGTTCCGAGATCTTGAGCGCCTGTTCGAGTTGGCGGGCTTCCGCTTCGGCGATGCGTGGCTGCAGCATGGCGAGCTTGGCGAAGCCGTCGCTTGTGGGTATTTGCTGGTCGTCGAGCGCTTTGAGCTGGGATGCTGTCGTCGCAAACGTCGTCGCGTGTTCCACGACCAAGACTGCCTTTTGACTGGTGTCGAGGGGTGGGCCATCTTTGGCATCGTGGTCTTGGGGTTGGAGCACGTCTTTGTGTTTGCTCACTACCTGACATTAGCATGGTTTGCTGCCCAAGCATGCACTTATCAACCTACCTAGCTCATGTGTATCGTCAAGTAGTGAAGTCTTCCCCGCCAGTGCTTGCAGTGACCTCTCGATTCTGTGAATGCGATCGGGGATCGTCCTTGGCTTGTCCGATGTATCTTTGTGTGGACCGCCCAAAAGATACTCCAGACGATCCACGCGAGACTCGAGTTCGCCAAAGGTGAATAGGATGGCTTCCTCGTAGCTGTTCATGGCGATGGGCGGGGCTGTTTGTTTGGCGGTCACACTGGGGCCGGTTGCGTACCTGGGGCGACGAGTGGAAGTTATTATTAGCGCCCCATCTGCCTAGTAGCCCCGTTGGGGGCAGTCAGTCCCGGCTTGTGTCGTGGGCTCGTTGGCTGACTTGCCGACGGCCGAATGACAAGCTCGCATGTCCGTCCTTCCCAAAGAGCCTTTTGCACCCAACCGACACCCTACCTCTACACCAATACACCAATACACCACCCGCGTTCGCTACGAGTACATACACCCTTACTCCCCTGGACCTTTGCATCGGCATCGACAGTGCACACGCCACATGGTTGCGCAATAACCCGAATCGCGCAGTCGCATCCAGGAGAAGATGGCTTCCTCGAGTTACTCAGCCATCAGCCCTGAGCCCATAGAGGCCGATCCCATGGCCTCGAGTTTTGGGTCGCTGAGCGGCAGACGGTCCGTACATGGCCTCTCGGAGCCACCCAAGACGTTGTGCTGACACAGCCAGGCGCGGACGCGGCAAGAGACAACTGGGCTATCTGGGCCAGGCGACGTGGATTTCGAGTGTCATCAACCTCGCCAACACCAGTACGAAAGACAGGCACAGAGACAAAAGAACATCTAGGGCGCCATGCTGACAGCATACAGTTCTGGGTGCTGGTCTCCTCGCCATGCCCTCGGCGCTCTCGAAAATGGGCGTCTTCCTCGGCATCTTCGTCATCGCGTGGGCAGGCATGACCGCTGGCTTTGGACTCTACCTCCAGACGCGATGCGCACGATATGTCGACCGCGGCCATGTGTCATTTGCGACGCTGTCTCAGCTCACGTACCCGAATCTGTCCATTATATTCGATGCTGCCATTGCCATCAAGTGCTTCGGAGTGGCCGTTAGCTACCTCATCATCATTGGCGATCTGATGCCCGGCGTGGTAAAAGGCTTCGCCCCCGGTGCGGGAGAGATGACATTCTTGGTGGACCGCCAATTTTGGATCACCGCATTCATGTACGTTCATGTTGTGCGTTGCTGCGAATCAAGACTCTGACAAGTGCAGGCTTATCGTTATCCCCTTGTCATTCTTGCGCCGCCTGGACTCGTTAAAGTATACCAGTGTCATTGCACTGTTCTCCATTGCATATCTTGTTATTCTCGTCGTAGCCCATTTTATCAAGGGCGATACGCTGGCGGATCGCGGCACCGTCCGTGTCTTTGAGTGGGCAGGCCCAGTCCCAGCACTTGCAGCCTTCCCAGTCATTGTCTTTGCATATACCTGTCACCAAAACGTACGTCATCCATGTTCTCTCTGAACGTCCCAACTGACAAGACCCAGATGTTCTCCATCCTAAACGAAATTGCCGACAACTCCCACTTCCGCACCACCACTGTCATTTTCGCCTCTATTGGCGGTGCCTGCGGTCTCTACATCCTCACTGGCATAACCGGCTACCTCTCCTACGGCGACAACATCCGCGGTAACATTGTCTCCATGTACCCCACCGCCGCCGCCTCCACCATCGGCCGCCTCGCCATTGTCATTCTCGTCATGTTTTCCTACCCGCTCCAAATTCACCCCTGCCGCGCCAGCATCGAAGCCTGTCTAAAATGGCGCCCTCGCCGCCGCAACACCCCCGACACCAGCCCCTCACGCACCTCCCTCATGACCACCAACCCCAGCCCCAAGCCCGCCGCCGAAATGTCCGACCTCCGCTTCGCCATCATCTCCACCGTCCTCGTCGTCCTCTCCTTCATCACCGCCATGACCGTCTCCAGCCTCGAAAAGGTGCTGGCCTATGTGGGATCCACGGGCTCCACCACCATTAGCTTCATCCTCCCCGGCCTCTTTTACTACAAGATTTCCGACCCAGAGTCGCTGCACCACCAGCGCTTGGTCAAGGATGAAGATGACGAGGACGAGGGCGCAGAGGGCTATGTGTCGAGTGAGGGGCATGGCAATCGCGAGTGGAGACGCGAAGTGTTGCGCAAGGCTAGTCTGGCCTTGAGTTGTTATGGCGGCGTGGTCATGGCTGTCTGTCTGGTTACGAATACTTTTCTGGTGGCGGGGACGCATTAAGCAGTTGTGGTGGTGGATTGGATTTTTGTTTTCACCTCTCTTTTTGAGCATGTCTGCATATGGGGTTTTGGAGTAGGTGGTGGCATGGCATGTGCGTTTTATGGGTTGGACTTAGCAGGGCGTTATTCTTTGGGCAGATGGCATGGCGTGGCGTGGTGTGGCTCAGCATCGTAGACGGCGTTTTCCTTGATTCTTTTGTTTGCTAATTGGAATTTGGAATTGCTGGATTCCCGAGTCAGTGCACACAATGTATAAAGTTTATTCATTCAAAAAGATGGACGGTGATGAGATTCGATGTTCTTGGGGATTGGGGCCTATGAAAATATATACATCATCTCTAGTGTCTATCAGCGCTTTCGATGGTGTCTGTCTGCGTGATGGACTACTATGCCTGGCTGTGATTGTGACCATGTGGCTTTGCAGGTTTTTGAGTTGGATGGATTGGGGGGGGGCTGGGGGAGCGGTGGAAGTGAAGTTGGTGAGGCAAAGTGGAAGTCGTTCATGTCACTGGGGTTTTCCGTCTTGGGTTGTTTCCATGCGGGTTGATTGTATACATGTGTACATGTGTTCCCCATGCGTAGATGTTTATTGGCCATTCTCATCCAACCTTGGCAGATCTTCACATCACTTCGAAACATTTTATAAATCTCTTTAAACTACCTTCCCCCCTCTTGTCCCTCCTCCCTCCCCATCTCACCCCTCCCCCCACCAACCACCAGATTCCTCCTCAACGCCGCCAACTCCCCATCCCCCAACCCACACATATCCCTAAAATACCCCTCCGCGCCCCCAAACTCCTTCTCCACCATGGCCAACGCACCAAGCATACTCTCCTTCCTTGCACCCACCATTCTCCGCGCTGCCGCTTTCGCTTGCTCCAGGACTGAGACGGGGATCTTGGCTGTTTTATCGGCGCGCTTTGCATCTACACCACCACCCTGAGCATCAGCATCACCACCCACCGCCAACGCAACACCAACATCCCCCGCCGTAACACCCCCATCCACACGTCCTGCAATATACGCAACAAACGCCGGACTCTGCAACAGCCTCGCTACAACGTGGTCGCGCACATGGGCGAGCCCGTCCTCTGTAAGTGCGTATTCCTGGGCAATGAGGGTGTGATTGACGGCGAGGAGGGAGAGCAACAGGGCAATGAAGAGGCCGGTGCGATCTTTGCCTGCTGAGCAGTGGATTAGGGCCGCGTGGGGGTGCTGCTCCTGTTGTGGGTTTTGCTGGCTTTGGGTTTTTTGGTTGGGGGGTGGTATTTCACCAGAACCAGCGCCGACGACACCGGCTTCCTCCTCTTCATAGCCAGCCAAATACAGCGCAATGGTGCGAAAGGCGGGACCTGCACTCTTCAGGATATCGCGGTAGGCATGCACAAATCCCTCGTCGCTCTCATCCATGTATTTTGCGTAGCGTTGCGCAATGCGTTCGGGGCTGTAGTCGGCGTCGCTGAAGACGGGGGCCCAGGTGCGTGTCAAGCCGGCGGAGTGAAGGCTCTGGAGCCAGTTTGGGGCTTTGATGGTGTTCATATTGGCGGCGGCTTCGAGACTGTCTCCTGCATCTACATTTCCACCCTCCTCTGCTGCCTTGCCATCCGAAGCCACCCCTCCTCCTCCGGCTACTCCTCCAGCACCAACATCGCCAATCTCGACCCTCGACCTCAGGTCGAAAACTCGTCCGACGCCCAAGTCCCGCACTGCGCGCCACCCGTCTAGATCTAGTTTTGACACGTCTGCGCTGCGGAAGAGGAGGTTGGGGCGCAGGCGGGCGCCGGTGGAGGTTGTGAGGTTGGGGAAGAGGGCGACGTCGCGGAAGTTTGCGAGGTTGGGGATGTTGTGGAAGGGTGGGGAGGGGAGGGGAGGTGGTGCGGGGACTTGGGGGGACATTTTGGCGGGGCTTGTGGGTTGTGGTTGTGGTTGTGGGTGGTTGTGGGTTTGGTCGAGGTCCTGATTACGACGGTACTTGCGATGTCGTCTGTAGTCCACAATTCCCAGATTGTCACAATCCCGTTCCAAGATTCCAAGGTTTTCGAATCTCCTAGTCTTGCACAATGCTCGTGTTAACCGAGTCTTACTTTTCTTCCTTCCTTATCCTCCCTCCACGTCCTCCAGTTTTCCTCCCTCTCTTCTCTCTTCACCCACAAATCACAATACACAATACACAATACACACCACACCGTACACCCAGCTATCACAACCCCGAAAAAACAAACTCCCCCCACACAGACCAGACCTGTCAAACAGCCCCAACAGCCTCTCCATCCCCAGTACATACAAAAATAAGCGTACTTACCCGGTATGTATACGTGCTCGTATGCCTGCGTCTCAGTCCCAATGCCAATCCCAATCCCAAAACCGTCGTTCCCTTCGCACACATACGGTATCAATGTCTACCTAAAACCGCACAAGCCGCACACGCAGACTCAACAAAAGACGTCCTCCCCACCTCAGCTTACACCGACCCCGCGCTTATCCATACCGGTATCTACCCACGCCCACATCACGCTAGATAGCATATGTAGCTTACGCTTGTGGTGGCGTGCGGATTTGCCGAGGTCCGCAGACAGGGGGGGGGAGGGGGAATGTAAGTGGGTTGGGTGGGTGGATTGGTGGATTGAGGTGGGCTAAATGAATGGGAATGAAAGGGGAGGAGCCCCTGTATGCAGTAGGTGAGTTTGCTGCTGTTGAGGAGCCGAAGTGTTGAGTCTGGTGGGAAATGTTTTGTTTTGGTTTGGGACGAGGATGCGGTGATGGTGTATGGTGAACGTAATGTGAGAGGATATTCACCATCACCATTTTTATTATTATTATTATTATTATCGTATGTTGTTAAGTTATATGTCGTGTGTTTCGTAAACATACTACACCAACCAACTAGTACACGGATTTTAACAAAGACATCAAAACCTTCATATTCATACAGCCTATTTCATACCCTGTCCCTGCAAACGCATTACTTTTCCATACCCGTTTCTTGAAAACCAAAACCCACAGAATGCCAACCCAACCCAAACCAAGGACTTTTGCCCAAAAGAATCTCGCCAAATGTGATCTGAGACAAAAAGGTGAAAAGGTGTAAGAGGAAGATTGTACAGGACAGGAACACTGCAAGGTAAAACGCATAGCACGCCAATCAAGTGCAACACAAGATCAAGTTCAAAGAAAGCAAGACAAGAACAAACTCAGCGGCGCCACCAACGACTCTCCGTCGCCGGGACAGATACCTGTGGTCTATCCGACCTCGCCTCCTCCTCCGCCAACACCGTAGCCTCGGACCCCGTCCGCGACGGCGTGGTAAACCCAGTCTTCTCCCCAGGGAAAAGCGGCGGCTCTGGCCTCTGCGGCAGCGTCCCAGCTTCAACATCGCCAACAGTCTCAGAGGATTCATTGCGGGGCAGTTTCTCCGCCGGATGCGCGGCCGTGTATGCGTCGTACGACAGACCGGCCTTTTTGGCTTCGCGGCGGATGTGGCGGACGCGCCAGAGCCAGATGGCTTGGGAGGCGAAGATGCCGGTTTCGAGTACGATGCTGGAGGTTAGTTGGTCAGTCTGCATGCTCAACGGGTGTGTAGCAAGTGGGGAGGGGGAGAACACACCATGCAATGTAGAGACTGGCGCCGAGGGCGTCGAACCACTGCTGTGCGACTACGTTTTGTTAGAGCGGATTGGCAAGCAGGGGCGCATGTCTGTGCCTTACCAACGGCCATGAGGGAAAAGAAGGCGCCGGCGTAGTCGATGATGAGGAACCAGAAGTCTGTCCGGGTTAGGACTGGACCCTGTCCTTGTACACGGTGTTCAGTGGGTACGTACTGATGCCGATGACTCTGCCATTCCGTTTTGCCAACTCGAAGTAGGGCGGGATCAAGCCCACAACTTGGATAACAGAGGCTGAGATGGCCATGAGCATCATTGGCCATTCGACACCTCTGCTGTAGGGGCCCTGTAAGTCATGTGTCAGCGTTTGATTAAGGGTCCAGACTCGGTGATTCATACCCTCAAAGTAAGGATGAGGATCATTTCCATAATAGCAAAGCTGCCAGCAAGTGCAATCGTCGCTACAGTAGCTGTCCATGCTTTCCATTTGCTGCAGATGGTCAGTGCCAAGGGCACAGAGGGTGGATGATGTAGCGGACTTGTGGTAGTATAATGTTTGTCCCCAGGCAATGAGGGTGAGCCCAGCGAATGCTTGCGGCTGGAACTTGAGAGCAAAGTTGAAATTCTATTCCTTCTGTTAGCAGCGATTTTATGCAACACATGAGCATGAGTTATACCTGCACAATTGCATAGACACCGAAGGGTACACCGCCTGTTGTTGTCAGTCTCAACACTTCTGTTTTGGGTGGGCCTCCTCACATATGGACCAGAGAATCAACATGGTACCGGGTAGTCCCTCCGTGTTCTTTCGTCGCCAATTATGCCATATTCTTTCGACGGTGTTAGTTATGGTCACAGAAACAATTTGACAAGGAGCTTACTGTGGTATTATCTACCAAATGTGAGCCATGAATTGCAAAGCAGTGTCATCTCGGACTTACCTGAACGCACCAGCAACTGCGCAGTCACTATAGTCAGTGCTGAGTTCCACTCATTCACAGGCCATTTACGTACACTTTGAACTTGTTAGCATGGCACTAGACATTCTTGATGGTCAACCTCACCAGTTCCAAGTGTCTATCAGTCGAGGCCCCACTAGTCAGTTCTGGCTACTCATAGTATCGTGGGAAAGTGGTGACTTACACCAAGTACATTTGCAGCCTGTCCATGTCAGTTTTTCTGAGGTAGTCACCAGTTGATTTTGTATACCTACGGGTGGTATTGAGACTTGTGGTTTATCCATGTCTATGCCTTCTTTGCGTGTGAAGTCCGAGAAGATGAAATTAAAAGTTATGTGGTTGGATGTTGGAAGGACAATGTTCAGAAGTAGTACTATTGTACAGAGGAAAAGATGACGGCCTGGCACCGCACTAGATCCGTGATCTGCCGTGTAGAGATCTATCGTGGCCTCGAGGACGCGTCGTTCTAATATCAATCACAATCTCTCGTGTAACCGGTCAGGTAATGGTGTCGAAATGCCAACATCCTACACGTCGAATCGACTAATGAGAGGGAAGCGGAAGCAACGGGTGCAGAGGAAGCAACCATCACGGACCATGACTGCACAAAGGCAGCATGTTGTGTGATGACGAGATGTCAGAGTGATATATTGATTAGCTCTACCGCCATAGTCGCGTGCAAGATCGGATTGGTAACCTAAAACATGTCCTCAATTGAGCATCAACGGGCCCAGCTAGAGGTAGTCCAGCACCGGGGAAGAGAGTCCCCTGTTTCCGTCGCCGAACCCATCCTGGATCCCATGGAGCGTTGAAGTACGTTTAGTGGCAAGTGGCTGAAGTAGTGCGCAGGGATCCCTTTGCTTCCCCAGGCGATCAGCAACCCGATTGGCGAGTCTAGATGTGGACTCTGTTGAATCTTCTTAGCCAACCTGGCGAGTATGATGGATGCTGCGCCTTGATGATGTCTGAAAAGCTGAAGAGACGACCTTGAACCTTGTTGGCAGCTCCAGTCCGGTTTTGATAGGCAGATGCCCCTGCATTGGTTTGAAAAGGTGGATGTGCCCACAGGCCAATCCTAAGACCACACAACGGCACAGAGCCTTCAAGGATGATGTGCTCAAGATTGTGGAGGCGACAAAATTGTGCAGTCTGCATTCGATCCCCAAGCCTTTCGCCAATGGATGTTTGCGACTTGCTTTTGGTGTCGTTGTTGGGAGTACCGGTACCGGTATCTGCCGAGGTTGTCGGATGACTTTGCACACAAGGGCAGACACAGAAGTTATCTCCACGACGACAAACTTCCCAGCTTCCCGGTAGACATGTTGTGTTTGCCAGACCTCGAGGCACGAGATCTGTTCTGCAAGTTTTGCGACGCCCCCGTTGATGGCGTGTGGTTGGCGTGTGGATCGAGTGGGTGGCGTGCAAGACCATTTGCGCATCACCTGGTAGACCCGAACCGCACCGGTGGGTCCAAAGGATGCAAGGCCTTGGCGTCAGACGCATTTGTATCCGAGCTACGACTCGAACTCGAACTCGAACTCGAACTCGAACTCGAACCGTTTAGGTATTCGTGAATGGGACGGGCAATGAGCTTCTGCGTTTCCGTGTTTGAACGTATACCCTGCTCTTTGCTGCCCTCATAACCTGCATGGGCGATGCAAATCGTTCGAGATGACGTGTTTCTCAGGCACTGACTGTCGTATGCCGTCCATACTAGGTCTGTGTCCATATGCTGTCCGATGTTTTATTCATCGAAGCTGTGGGACCTGGGTAGGCATCATTGCGATGCCTGTGCAAAAGTCTCGAGACCAGATCCAGCCACGTTCCTTTTCCGCCAGACAAAGCTGATGGGCAGTCGAGCTCCTAGCTTGAAGTTGAACCAGGATTTGCCACGGCTCCGCTTCCTGCTGAAATGATCGAGTCATTTTTCTAAACATGGCCTCCGCATTTTGAAGGTTGCCGCGCAGTGCGCGGTTATGGAAATGTGCACTTGTATTCTACTCAGCCCGACCTGGATCAGAGAGTGGGACCGTTGAGAAGCAGTGGGGTGAGTTAGCGCTTGCATCATGCATGCAGGAGCCCCAAAGTCTTTTGAAATCGATCCACGAACCTAGGTTCGTCTGCTGGATTCTACACTCAAGCATCGGCCATATACCTCCATCAATCAACAGACTCGTTGCGCGCTCTTCCGTCCATACGAGGACGTCGTCTATTCGTGGGGTGCTGCTTTCGTTACGCGACCTCGTCTGGCCAACGAGCCTGCCATCGCCACTGTTCCCGGCATGGCTTGTGCCTGTGCCTCAACCACCGACATCCGGGGAGCGAATACAGCAGATCTACACTGCTTCAATGTACAGTAGCGACAATATCAAAAGCAATTTGCTCACCCGCATGTCGACGAGTACATGCTCGCTGTTGTGTGTCGAACAGGCCCGACTTGCCAATCGCCGATGTCTCCATGAAGCAAGCGAAACACGTCGCCGTGCAAGACTACAGGACTGTATAGGAAAGAGTCGGACCGTATAGGAGAGACAATGATACCTTGAAGCGACAGATCCATTCCTCCTGTACCCTGTCTGCGCGTCTAGCGGAAGATCGTCCAAGCCTGGGCCCTTGGGGTCGTGGAAATGGTACAACGCTCAGCTCAATCCAGAGCAAAACCCCGAACGGCCGAACTGCATCCTCACATATTCCATAACCGATCGGCTTCAGAACAACATGTGTCGGCATGCCGAAGATGCACCTGCATCTTTGGCAGGATCACCGGGATATGCAAGGCCACCGGTTGTGATTTGTCCACGCTGGATTTATGCTGCTTTTGTTGACCAATCCCATTTTACCTTCTTCTGAGGGTGTGTGATAATACTATACAATCTCCCCGTCCTGGAAGCCCAAGAGTTGAAAATATTGAGTAGCACTGGACGTCGGTGAGGGCACCGCAGTAGTCGCATGTGGTATCTCGTTGAGGCAGTAAAACCCAGTCATTCGGGGCAAGTGCGTGCGTGCCAGCCAATGTGGTCTCATGGTGCTCAGAGAGAAGCGCAATCTGAGGCTCGCCAAGGATAGACTTTCTGTTGGATCCGACCTGCCACCCGTTCTTGTGGATGTAAGTGTTGTGCTGTGTCACCTGCATTCATGCAGTGTATTCAGAAAATCGAGACCATTACGTGGAAGCCTGATGATGCCTTATTGAAACGTTTGGGTGTTGTAAGTTTTCTGTTCGCTCCAAATATCAGGCCTACTTCATGCAGATCGAGAGTAGTTGTGGTGGTACTAGTAGTGGGAATAAACTTCCTGCATAAACGTTTGTATGGAAAAATACCAGGGCTAATGTTGCAATCAGTGTACTCTAGAATCATTTCTCAATCCTCCCTTGAGCTTGGGCTCCACCAACGTATCCAGATCATGCTTGTGACAGGCATGACGCTTTAGGTACTTGATAATGACAACTTTGCGTCTGACCGATCAGAAAACGGGTGCATGCATGATGCAAGTTGCAAAAAAAATGACCTGCATATTCTTGCCGATGCGGGAGCCTCGCTACGGTGGGAGTGTCCGCAATGTAGGGATCAAAAGCTGACGACAGAGTTGGCCTTGCGCACAAGTTTCAAGGCAATGTGTCGGTAATCGCGGGTAAGGCAGGATTCGATGGTGGTGTATGCATGGCTGCCGGCGGTCGTCGCTCTTTCGACGGTGATAGCTGGATTTGAGGCCAGAGAAGTCGCTGCTGTCTGTTTCCATGCAGCACGTTCTAGTGATGAAAGCCATGGAATAGGTTCAAGAACTCACGCGCTACTACAAAAGGAATGCACCAGAGACAGCGTCGAACCAAGCGTTTGATGTGGATCCACGAGCAAAGTACATGTACTGCAGCAGTGCCCAATGAACGGCTTCAAGTCTGTCGCCACAGATAGAAACTGAGCAGCTGGCGTATTAAACATGATGCTTGCAAACAGGCAGAACATCTGGCTGTGTATATATTAGCACCTGAATGATATCATAAAGGCGAAACTGTGGGTAAGTACCCTGTGCACGACATGCCAACTTCAACCTGATATCGTCTGAGAACGTTGCTGCGGTCCTTTCCATCCGAATCAGAGCATCCAAATCATCCACCGCTGCAACCGTTGTCGAGCGTTCGGAGGACACATCCGGTGGATTGTAACGCGTCAAGCGCAGTACCATAGAGAGCCTACCTAGATGCTTGGCATTCATAGACTTTTAAGAGCATAAACACATCGCAGGCCGTTCTCTCGTCGTTATTTGCGTGAAGACACTGCGATGATTGAGCAAGGTTGACTTTGTCGGGCAGGAAGAAGACGTCACGATGCCACAAAGCAAGGAAAGTGCTATCCACCCAAGTGAGTTGTCATGATGCAATTCGCAGTGCACAGCATGACAAACTGTGCAAGCATACTAAAAACTCAATCACCCGAACGAAACGGCTACGAATACACCACCAGGGTATTATATTAGAAATGCATTACTACTTCCTACATGAAGGACCAAGAGGGCGGGGGGAATAAGTATGGAAGTGTTAAATGAACATACGAGAAACAGTGTCATGTCTAGACAATGCAGCCGCGGACATAATCCAAAACCAATCACTGTCTGATAATGGAAAGAAAGGCCCCCTGGAGTGAAGAATAGCCAAATATCCCTTCTCATGGCACCCAACATGCGATACAGCCGCCGTACAATGCACAGCTTTGGCTGTGTAACCTTGTGCACCGCTGCACGCGCGGCAGACGAGACCGATGCTGATGGCCAAAGGATATGCGAGGTGTTGAGTCCAATCAAGACCAGATAGCTTAGGACTCGTCACCCTCGTGCTCCTGCAATTGGCCGCTCTGTTCCCTGTGCATGCGGGCTTCAATCTCCTTGAGCTGGCTCTCGCGGGCCAATAGCTCTTGGCGCTTCTCGTTGATCTCTCGCTGGACCTTGACTTCGATCTCGCGCAGCTTCTCCTCTTCGCGTCTCAACTGCTCCTCCTTTAGGCGTACAGATTGGCTGGCCAGGTCCTCTGGGTTCATTGACGAGTCACTGCAAAATACGTTAGCATGGTGAATGGGCAGAGTCCTGCTAGTATGACTTACGCAGCAGCGCCACCCTCCACGCTCTTGCTGAGCTTCTCGGTACGGTAGTTCTCGTAGAGGAAGTCGTGGGTGATTTCCTTGAGATCGGCAAGATGGCTGTGAAGAAGCGCGCTTCGTACGGCCAGGAAGTCCGAGTGGCGAGGGTTATCTACCTCTACGATGCCCCATGGGTATTGACGGGCGCGCACCCTTCGGCCATTGACCTCGACGATGTCCTCTGATCCAACAATGGCAAAGGGCATGAGACCACGAAGCTCAGCATTCTCCTCCACGGTATCCTCGTCGTCCTCCTCGATGTCGTATGGGAAGTTGTAGACGGGAATGCGGTAGTGCTCAATGTCCTCCATGACGAGCTTCTTTGACTCGGCCAATTCGGCGGGTGTGAGAGAGTCGGCCTTTCCAATAACAGGGATGACGTTGCAACGGGGCGATAGGCGCTTCATCAGCTCAATGTCGAGTTCACGTAGTCTGCAAGTCGGGGTCAGTGCGGCTTTTCACCAAGACGAGTCTCGACCTACCCGTGACCGGTGGGTGTGATGAAGTATAGGAGAACGTGCACACGATCATCCCGGAAGCGAGGATTACGCTTGATACGCGACTCCTCTGCCAAGATGCCATCGTATTGTCGCTCGAGGTATCCGACGATTTCTGAGAAGCTACAATCGAGGTCAGCTGACGTCTCTAGTCATTGGCCTGGCTGTGAACTTACCTGGCCTCGTTGTCAATCTGGTCACCAAAGCCGGGCGTGTCGACGATGGTGAGAGAGATGCGAGTGCCTTCCTCGTCGAGTTCTAAAGGTGTGACAATCAGCAATCGCGCCCAGTGAGCCTGTCTGTAGAGCCTGGTGCTACATACCAACGGTGATGGGCTTGATCTTAACACCCTCTTCAATGTGAGCCGTCGACGGGTCGTCCGAGTCCTTGTGGGTGAGGACTTGCTGGCCGCAGAGCGTGTTGACGAATGTCGTCCTGCCGGTTCCTGAGGCGCCGCAGACCATCAGGCAGAATTGGATTCCCTTCTTGACATTCTTCTTTCTGCGCGTCTTGTTGAGCGCCTGTGATGCACATGTTAGCAAGCGTCATCAAAGACAGGGCGTGGCCTGTTGCGAGCGATGCAGTCACATCGCGTGCTGGAGAGACGTGAGGTGGAGAAAGAAAGGGTCGTACCGAAGACATTTTGGAGTTGAGGGTGATGGGATTGTGATTTTCTGCGGGGGGCAAGTGGCGGGAATGGAGTGGTCGGGGCGATGGAGACAGACGAGACAGACTCTGTGGGCGTGGGAGAGGCGGACAGGCTGGGTGTGTTGTGTCGCTGGTGTCGTGGAAATTTGGGGGACGTTGGCAGTTGCTCCCTGCGCGACGCAAAGGGGCTCGCTAGCGCCGACTGGGGGGGGGGGGGGGAGCGGGTGTCGCTGTCTGTCCCCTTAACTTGGCGCACCATCAGGCCGCCAATTCGGGGAAAGAGCATCGCGACATCGAGGCAAGTCGCAAATGAATGGCAAGAGTGCTCATTACCGAAAACATTGTGTCGATGTGAGAGCCACTAAATGGAGTCGTTGGAGTGTCTGTGAGTGTGTGTCTAGTGGAAGCCAATGTGTAGTAGTACTACCGGTACTGTTCAGCAGGTCACCATTGTTTGCGCATTCAAGTTTTGCTAATTTTCTTCCTCAAAGAATAACCCCCCAGATCAAAGTCTACTTGACAGATAATCATTGAAAACACTAGATAATTGATATCCTCATGATGTTACCCGTACCACGGAACCTGGAATGGTGGCTTTGGAAAACAGGTACAGTAGAGTAGAGTGAGTATACCTAGAGTACAGTACAGTCTCGGGACTATCCCCCTCTCGGCTAGCTCCCGCTCTATGGGGAAGAAGCTTGGACACATGATATCGACCCGTGGTTGAAGTCTTGTGAGAGTACCGTGGACCCTCAAGGCTCACTGCACTGCACAAGCCCGCCTTTCACCCAAAACTCCATGTCACTATTTCGCCATCGCCTCTGTCGCTTGAATTGAACAAATGAGCCTAGCATGCCGCTTCCACTCTCCCTAACCTCCACCGCGCCGACCGCCTGGCCTTCACGCGCAACGCTGTCCACCGCAACAGTGCTCCGCCACGCCCACGACTCACCCCGATAGCCCCGCTCGGGCACTGGAGATACTCAACACCCTCTCCTCCACATATAGCCCCATCATCCTACACGATGAACACCCGCCCTATTCTGGACTCGGATACCGGCCCATTCGTCCTGTCCGCCAGCTTCAACGCCCAGTCCACTTGCTTCTCAGTGGCTCTAGAATCTGGCTTCCGCGGTTAGTGGTGTCTTGTTCGAGTCCAGCACATAACTTCGCTGACCAGTACAGTATATTCTTCGCAGACATGCGAACAGAAGACTGCCCGTAGTAAGCCCACCCCCCACCTCGCCAGCCACCCCGCCCACTGCATGCTACTGACATGCGCCCTCAGAGTTTGGCGGCGGCATCGGCTGCGCTGAAATGCTCAGCACTACATCCTACATCGCCCTTGTCGGAGGTGGCAAGCAGCCAAAGTTTCCTCAGAACAAGGTCTGTCTCGAGGATACGGACTGGCAGCTTCTCAACGATACTGACATCATCTACGAGGTTCAAATCTGGAACGATGCAACGGAGAGAGTCACCACAGCCGTGGAGTTCAAGACGCCTGTACAGCGCGTGCGCATCTCGCAGACGCATTTGATTGTTGTCTTGCTGAACAAGGTCAGCATATACAAGATGAAGATTCCGCTGGAAAAGCAGGCCGACTACGAGACGGTCAACAATCCGTTTGGCTTGTGTGAGCTGGGCAAGGACATCGTCGCCTTTCCAGGCAGAACCGTCGGCCAGGTCAAGCTCTTCGATCTCAAGACGAGCAACGTGAGCATCATTCCAGCTCACGAAACCCCGCTTCGGGCACTTGCCATCAGTAAACAAGGGGATTTAATCGCAACCGCCAGCGAGCAAGGCACCCTCATCCGTCTATGGTCGTTTCCCTCTTGCACAAAGCTCGCAGAACTTCGTCGCGGCGTCGATCCTGCGGCCATCTTCTCCCTCGCCTTCTCACCAAACGGAAGAACACTTGCCGTCACCTCCGACAAGTCCACACTCCACGTCTTCGACCTTACGGCTGCTATCGCCGGTGCAGCTTCGAATACGGACCCCAAGCAGCACAAGTGGGGTATGCTGTCCAAGATTCCCCTCCTACCGCGCCACTTCTCCGATACATACTCCACAGCCTCAACCAAGTTCGAGATGGGTGAAGAACCGACAGCGTGGGGCCCCCACGCGAAATCCGCGACTATGAGTGCAGGCATCCCCGGTGTACCAGGCGGAAGACCGACCAAAGGGCTCCTCGGCTGGCTCGACGACAACACGATTGTGGTTCTTGGGGCCGGCCAGGGCCCACGATGGGACCGTTTTGTGCTGGGTATGGTGGACGGGCGAACAGCCTTTATCGATCACCAGTGGAAGCGGTACATCGACTAGGAAGCGACATTAACACCAAGGGGCCTTGGTACGCTGATCCTTTCTTCGTCAAATCGCCAGTGAACGGGAATTTGGAACTGCCATGGCATATGCCCAGCTGAGGATCTTGCTTCGTGGCGAGACAATGGTAGTATCGCGACCATGTCAGCGTTGTATGTTTTTTCTACTCTTCGTGGAGTGGCCGCACACTGTCGTGATCGGCCTGCACATCCCTGCGAAGAAATGCAGATAATGTGAGATGTCGAGGGCTTTTCCAATCGGACAGGTAGTGGTGATACTGTGCTCAAGGACTAGGCGCAAACGGACACACGGGCAAATGGGAGTTTTTGGGGATTTATTATTCAGATCTTTTGTACATATACCCCCAGCTGCATTCAAAGGGCTATTCTTTCAAACCGAGCATTTCATGTGATTGTCCAATCTCTGTTTTGTTCTCTTCCCACATGAATTCGGTCGGGACTTGGATACATTTCTTACATAAGGTATTCTATCCATTTTCAGTCTAAGCATTTGTCTGCGCTAGGTGAGGCAGGAATGTTTCTTGTTGTACCAAGGATGGTGGCCGTGGTCATTGGAAGTAGAGAGGGGAGTGGACAAGGGTGGGGGGAAGTTATCTGTCCTGGCAGAGTTTTGAATCACCCCATCTACACAGTTTATAAAGAATCCAAGTGTTTTTTGGAGGGGGTATTGATGTAGTTGTCTTGTACAGTATATCTTCTAGTTACTTACTATGGATAAGCAAAGACTGTTAGGGCCAGAGGGATGGTGGCTGTATGGGGTATTTGTGACTGTAAACTCGATCTTGAAGTGGCGCTGGTGCTGTGTTGCGATGGGAAGGGATGTAGTGTGTAGTGCGCACTGTCGTTGTGCAAGTACTGTAGCATACGATGGCTATGCTGAACCGGTCTCAACCTAACCGCAGATGAAGATGGTGATATTTCGTCATTCCTCTCTAAACTGGTGCACTTGCGACTCGTACAATACATACCCTGTCGAACATGAGGAGGTATTGAGTCGTGACAGATTCTGGGGGAATTGTCGAGAAGCATCGCGTGCACGTGCAAAGGTCTCATGACGCGCAATATAGCGCTGACATCACCCATCGCCCCCAGGCGCTCTTCAACCCTCAGACGCCGCCTTCTCCCACCATCCCACCGATTCTCCACGACGACGCGCTCACACTATCAAGAACGTCGCAAGCCTAAAACGATCTTCGCAATGGGCGCTTCCAAATACCAACATGTTCCCCAGCGGGACTCCTTAGACGAGGCCGCACCCGCTCTCTCGTACACGCAGCCGCCACCTAGCTACGAGGCTGCTGCGGACCCCCAAGAAGCGCTCCTACACGGCGTAGCGCGTGAGGAGAATGACAACCTTCCTGATGATTTCAAGTTTGGGGGTGTGGTCGCAGAGGCGACGCTGGATATTCGGATGGCTTTTATCCGCAAGGTGTATGCTATTTTGTAAGTACATGGTTCAGGCAGACAGCAAGGTTGCGCATATGCTGATGAGTGTATATAGGACGGTCCAGCTTTTGGCTACGGCGGCGGTAAGCTTCGTTGCGATGACATCGGCCACGTTCAAGCACTGGATCCAGACGAACGAGTGGATGATGTGGGTCTCGATGCTAGGCACGTTTGTCTTCCTCGGCCTTACGTTTTGGAAGCGCAAGTCGTATCCGACGAACCTCTTGTTCCTGGCTGGGTTCACAGCGATGGAGGCCTACTGCGTTTCGCTCATTGTGTCCTTTACAGACAGCAAGATTGTGCTGGAAGCCGTCATCTTCACGCTCGGCATCTTTGTAGCGCTGAGCTTGTTCGCCTGCCAAACCAAGTACGACTTTAGCGCGTGGCAGCCCTATCTGTTTGGCATGATCTGGGTCGTCATCCTGTTTGGCTTTATGAATGCCTTTTTCCCGTACAATTCCAAAGTCGAGCTTGGGTATGGGATTGTGTGCGCACTCATCTTCTCGGGCTACATTTTGTTCGACACGCAGATGATTATGCGACATTACCATGTGGAGGAGGAGATTGCGGCGGCGATTTCGCTGTACCTGGACATTCTCAACTTGTTCCTTGCGATTTTGCGGATTTTGAATTCGCAGCAGAATAACAACTGAGGGAGGGGGGTGTCTTTGGGTGCATTGATATGGGATGCTATTTTTTTTTTCTGTTTTGTACTCGGTTTTGGTCATGGGAATTTAGGTTTGCACAAGTTGGACCAGCAGAATGTAACAGTAGGATACGTCGAGTAGGTAATAGGGCGAGAGAGAAGGGTCGGGGTGGATTATTGGTACATGGTAGTTTTACACATGGTCCTTGTCACAATAGCTCGATGCTGTTCTTTCTACTCTACTGTAGCGTGGAGTAGAGTGCTCGTGTACCCACTTGTCCTTTGCATCCGGGCGGGCCCAATAGCAAAGCGCATGATTCGACAATGGCATGAGGGCCAATGGCGGGGTAGGTACGGTAGGAAGATGTACAAGTACTCTAGTAGAGTAGCCATCATAGTAAGCCCAGTCAGCAACGTGGCTCCTCGATTGGCCAGCCAAAAGATGAAACGTCCGAATGGGAAGGGGGCGGGCTGCAAGTGGGCAAAGTGGACAGGCAAGTGGGCAAGTCAGTGGTTCGGAAACAAAAGTCCTCACACATCGGATTGCTTGGCGCACATGGGTTTGTATTTTCTGCCCTGGCGGTGTCTATCGAGGTACCCGGTACTGCACTTGTTGCGTAACCGTACCCCAACCCAATGCAACGCAACCGTGTCAACACCACCACGGGCTTTTTGACTGTGTGGGCTGATAGGATGCCGTGGGGGAAAAGAAGAGAGAGGGGGGGGGGGGGGGGAGAAAGAGATACTTGATGGATGTGGTTTTTCAGCATCGACGCCATCTTAGCCACTACCATACCATCTCCTGGTCTTTTCCCCTACTAACCTATCCATGCCAATGCAAAGATGCGCATACGACTAGCACCACGGCAGCACAGTTAGGCGAGTGCGCAGACCCGTTTTTAGTCCCGAAAAAAGTATCGCGCCTCTTCACAGACAACAAGACGACTGTCAATTGCTAGCGCCCGCGACACCTGTTCACCATTCCCGCCCCTCGCAATCATCCTTGGATGCCATTGGGGAAGATCAGCACACTCAGCACACTCACCAGACTCACCAGGCTCTTGAATCGGGCGATTGGGACAGCCAGCGGCCTTGTCTTTGCTGTGTGTGTGTGCATCGCGCTTGCCCCATCCACCAATTCCCAAACCCTACTGTAGCTAGATTCTTCTCTCCTCTTCCCACTCCTCCTCTTCCCCGTCTCCCCTCTCCCTCTCCCTCTCCCTCCTGCGAACCACACACCGCCTTCTTCCCCCCCCCCCAAGAAATCAACTCCCTCTGTCGCCATCTGTCAGCTCCCGCTTGCTTTGACCCCTCCCGCCGCCGACCACTTCCCACCCACGCCTGCGCCAGGACCACACCACCTCCCCCGCGCTGTACCTAGATCCTACGATACCCCATTCTTTTCTGTTGCTTGCTTGCTCTTCTTGCTGCACCTTGTCTCCGCGCCTCTCCACGCCAATGCCAGCTGTGTGCTGCTGAGACAGACACACACCACCCAGACACACCACCCAGACTTCAAGCCAACACAACTGAAAACAGCAGCGATCCTGGGTGTTGACCACCACGCCTTGCGACTACTGGCCCAGCTCGCGCCATCGGTCTGTGCTCCCCCGAGAAAGCACGCGTGCAACCTACCCTGCAAAAACTCCATCCATCCATTCATCCATTCACCCAGCCTGCCTGCCTGCCATCCTGTTCCTCTGCAACCACCGCCCACGATAGCATCGCAACTCGCATACTCCTCCCCCATAACCAGCCGAGACCGCCCAGTATGGCGACTACGTCGTCGTTGCCCAATGGCAATGGGCCCGTGAGCCATTCACATACGACAGAGAAGCAAGACCAAAAAACAGCAATCGCGCCAGCCCGGCGGAAAATGCAGGCCAAGAAGAAAGTGCAGGAGGATGGGCTCATGGCTTCGTTGTGCACCCTCATATGCGACCACCAAATTGGTCAGTCCTCCCCTCCTACAGTATGATCATGGTAGAAGATATCTCTGACCGAGAACCCTCCCCCGTCCAACAGGTATCTCTGTCAACCTCCTCTCCCTCCTCGCGTTAACACACATGTTCTTCCCCCGCGCCCGCAGTCGCACCACCAAATTCCTCAACATGTCTTACTACAACCCCGGCACAAACATGTACGGCTGTGGCATCGACGATCTGTACTTTGTCATGACATGGACCGTCATCTTCACGGGCGTCCGTGTCGCCGTCATGGACTATTTCCTCGATCCGCTAGCTAGACTCGGCGGTATCAGGACGAAGAAGGGGCTCGATAGGTTCAAGGAGCAGGCTTGGTTAATCGTATACTACACTGCGTCATGGTCGCTGGGCATGGTAGGTTCTGGCGGTCAAGGAGCTGAGAAGGAAGCGCTAACGATAGGCAGTACATCATGTACCACTCAGACTTTTGGCTGAATCTGCACGGTATCTGGAAAGGCTGGCCTTTCCGCGAAGTCGAGGGCCTGCTCAAATGGTATTATCTCGTTCAATGGGCATTCTGGGTCCAGCAGATACTTGTTGTCAATGTCGAGGAGAAGCGCAAGGACTATGCACAAATGTTTACACACCACATCTTCACGGTCGCCCTCATCTTCTTGTCCTACGGATACTACCACATGCGCGTGGGCATTGTCATTTTGGCCATGATGGACCTCGTGGACATTGTCTTGCCTGTAAGGGAAACTGCTCTCATTCAGGTCAGACTCGGGCTAACAGGAGCAGACTGCCAAGCTGCTTAAATACATGGGCTACACGACCGCATGCGACATTGCATTTGGTGTCTTTGTCGTCTCCTGGTTCCTCACCCGCCACCTCTTCTACATGATGGTCTGCTGGTCCATTTACGCCTACGCACCCGTCGACATGGCCCCCGGCTGCTACCTCGCCGACTCCCAATCCGCGCCTGTAGCCTTTATCCCCATGTCCAATACCAGCGCCTTCATTGCCCATGGCGGCAACGACCCGTGGGGCAACCTCTTGAAGGCGTATAGCGACCGCAATGGTCCGATTTGCTGGAACCCCAGCCTCCGATACTATTTCCTTGCCCTCCTTTTGACGCTGCAAGTGATTTGCTGTTTCTGGTTCGCGACCATTCTCAAGATTGTGTATAAGGTGCTAAAGGGAAATGCGGCCGACGACATTCGCTCCGACGACGAAGGCGAAGAAGACGAGGAGCTGGACAGCCAGCAGCCGCACAACTCGACGAGCACCCTATACAATCTGGCGACTACGTGCGGCGAAAGCGGCATGAGCGCCATGCCGCTCGAAGAAGAAGTGGGTGCCGACCAACTCTCGTTTACAAAGCTGAATGGCCGACGGACGCTGCGGCGAGAGAGCTCGAGAAGCAGCGGGATCAGCATTCCGAGCCATGCCGATCGCAAGGAATTGCTGGGTAGAATTGGCTGTGATAAAACCTAGCTGGCATGTTTCTCTCCTAGTGATATATTTGAAGGAGGAGTGCATAAGGAGGGGAGGCTCTGGGCGAATCTGTGAGCATTTGTATTGTATTGCATGGCTTTTTTTTCTCCTTTATCTTGCGATGATGATGATGGGGTTGAGGCGTTTTTTCGACAATATGTGGGTTGTGGATGTGGCATGACTTGACTTGACTTGGCTTGACTTGATTTGATTTGAGTGGGTGTGTGCATGGCAGGAAGGACGTTGTGATGTGATGGAGGGTTAAATGTGGGCATGGGCATGGGTATGGGCATGGGTATGGATGTAGGCATAGGCATGAGATGGGTATGATGGGCTAGGCATGGATCAATGCACAATGCACATTGGACTATTGATGAATTGCAAGATGTACATTGGACTATTTATGAACGTACATTGAACAACTGATGAAGACACATTTTACAAGTGAAGAATTTTATGTGAGTGCATGCTGGTTTTAGTCTTTTATTTTTTTTTTGGTGGAATCGGGAGGGGGAGGTGGGGTGTAGGGGATATAAGGGGGATGTAGGGGGGAATGCAGTAGAATACTTGTACTAAGATATATATTCATCTATTACACTTTGCAACGTGCTGATTTGCGGATTTTGATTTGTGGATTTTGATTTGCCATTTACAATTTGCGATCTGTGATTTCTACTGTGCTGATTGCTGCTTTCTGATTTGTGATTTCTGATGCCTGATTCCGTTTCTTAGCGGATGGGTAGGAGGGCTAGCGTTTTACTATTTCAATCTTGCAGTCTTTTCATCCTCGTCTTTCCAATCCACGTCAACAATTTACATGTAAGAGAAGTTTATTAAATCTATGCCAAGACGATTTTTGGAATTGCAGGAGGGTTGCAAGGGGAAGGGGAGGAGAGGGGAGCGGAGATGAGAGATGGAGAGGTAGAGGGAGTGATGTAGGTATAAATTTGCAATTTTTGCTGACCTCTTTGTGTGTTGGTGTTCATGTGCACGTTTGTATTCGTGTACGGTTATGTTTATATTTACTTATGTTTACATTTGTGATATCCAATACATGACATTCACTATCCAATCCTCCATACCAACTCATCAATCAACAAATCATACCCCCCCCATCCTCCTCAAAGTACATCACCCATCTGCCCATCATCACATTACCGCATCTACACCCCACCACCCAACCTTCTCCCCCTTCCCTCTAACCCGACCTTTACACTCAACCAACTCACAATCCCTCACCTCGGTCTCGCTCCCGTAGCGGCTTTTCATGTGCAGCGCAGTGGTAGACGGGGTGTGACATTACGCGCCCATGTCGAGGTATAGGTAATGGTACCTGCTATCAAACTTCCTAACAGCCGTCGTACTTCTTCTGGCGTATAGCAGGGAGGTTCTACCCAGGAGAATGGATCTGCTTGGAAGGTGGAAAGGGGTGGGGGCGTGGGTGGGTGTGGGATGTGAAGGTTGGGGTGATTGGCACCGGTCTACCCAACAGCAGAGCTACCGTATGCTTGCTTGTTCCAGCGTTGGTAACGCAGGCTGGAAACGCACGGTCGTCGTATGATATACGCTGAAATCCATGGCCTTTGAACGCTCATGAGGCCATTCCTATCAAGCCATGCGACCCATTCCCAACCAGGACAATGTCACAGAATTCGCAACACCAGCTCAGGCATTCGGGACCACACTCGTCCATCCCGCCCCGTGCAATAAAATTCCATACGCCATGGCTCTACCCCCGGTCACAGGGACACCGCCAGCCTGCACCGTCATACCGTTCAAGTATTCGACAGCCCTCTGCGCGAACCCCAACTCATCTTGCGACTGCTCTTCTTCTCCTTGGGCGACTGTCGAGCAGACGAATCCCTATCCTTGCTATACTCGATAATACGCTTCATCTCGTCAAGCCTGGCCTGGTTACGAGGCTGCAGCACCGTCTCGTCGACATTGTGCTCGAGCAGCAAGGCGACAAATTTGCGCTGGTTGCATTCGACGGCTGCGTCCAGCACGCTGGCGGGCTCCGAGTCTTGCGCGTTGATGTCGGCGCCAAAGGAGAGGAGTGTGAGGCCGAGTTGGACGTCGCCACGCTGGGCGGCGAGATGGAGGGGTGTGCGTTGGGAGGTGTTTGTGGATTGGGCGAGGGTGGAGGCAGCGGGGTGTTGTTGGAGGGTTTTGCGGATTTGGTCGATGCGTGAGGGGTCGCCGTCGCATTTTGTTAGTTCGAAGTGGAAGTCAACCCATTCGCTGTTTGGCTTGGGGGGGATGGAGTCGTGGGTGGAGAGGATGCTTGCGTTGTCGTCGGATTGGAGGTGCAGTGCCTGCGAGGAGCTAGAGGAAACTGAAGGCCGTGATAGTGAGGTTTCGGTGGAGGATCGTCGCGGAATAGTACCTGCGTCGTAGGCGAGGAGGGTCTCTGCATTGGAAAGCGTTCGGTTGAGTGACTGGGCTGTGATTTGGTGCAGGTCCGTGGTAACGGTGGTGACTTGCTGCTGTATGTTGTGAGTGTGTATCAATCTGTTATATCCATACGTGCAACACTTACAGCTGCCATGACTTCAGACAGACGACGATGAGCCGACGCGACATCTCTAGTATTGCGTCAGAGACTGGGCTGCAACTCGAAGACTCATACTCACAGACTGATACCGGTACGTATGAAGTCCATGTAGTCATGTATGTCGCTCATGGCAAGGTCGATGTCATCCTTCACCTTGTCCATTCCTCTCTTCAGCGCGGCTTTCTGTATAAACGATGTTGATTCTTTAGACGGTAATTCGTACAACATGTTCTGAATGTCTCGTAACCGGTCTCGACATCGCAAAAGGTAGTTGCGAATATATCTTGAGTGGTCGTTTTCCTGCTCAGCATCTGCTCGCCTGTACGTGCTTTCGACCAGCTTGATCAGCTTGTGGAGGTCTTTGAACCTGAGGAGCAGTCTGTCCACCACCTTATCCACCAGGTGGACGTTTTTAATATACGAGATCGTCTCCTTGATGATGGCGATGGAGACGGTCGCGATGGTGATTATGCTCGAGACCGGCTCAGCCATGATGGCCTCAAGCTATGAAAAAGGCCCCACGATCACGACTACAGATATCAGTGTGCTGTGGATACTTGACCAAGTTTGGTGGTTTAAGCGTGAAGTGCGGCAAGCGGGATGATTAAGTGGAGAATGGTGTGACGGGTTGACATGTAATGGTAAAGGCACGCATACATGATGCATCTGGAAAGAATTAAGTAGTTCCGAGGTGGCTGAGCAAGACGCGTGGTACAGACTGGTGACGAGGACTGAACGCCCTTTTGACCAAGGCAGCAGGAAAGGCAAGTGAAGAAACTACAGCGGTCCAAAAAACCTCGGGACTGCAATAAAGTCTCTCCGCCCAGAGGCCAGTAACTTGATCCTTCGAGTGGGAGACCAACTCCTGGCACACATGTGGTAATTACTCAAGTAGAATAGGATGCGGGGAAGTTCGTCAGAGGTGGACCTGCGCCTTTGCGCAGGAGAGCGCTTTCCAGTGACCGACGCCGTAAGAGCATTGGGGGCCTGAAATCTGTCCCGACCTTGGAACAAATAAGAGAATCCTCTCGCGCCCGCTAGTAAGAGGAAACCAGGCAAATGCTCAGCCCTGTACATTTGGCGTCATGTGTCACCCTGGCGACATGCACATCGATCTGGCGTAAGCTGTGGTGGCCATTTCACAGATGTGACCTTTTTCGGATGCTTGGGTGCGATCTCGATCCCGCCCGAACAGGCGCCGGGACAATCCGTGAGCTTGACAAGACTTCATCCACGCCGAAGAGAGAATGTTGCGGTGGTGACAAAAGGTCCTGGGGTGAAGTCATGGAGGCCGGGGCCCTTGGAGTGAGGTGGACGCCATGTACAGACGAGATAGGGCAATGGCACACTCTAACCGAATCGGGCTTGGGTAGGCGACATTCGGCATGGCGGGGACCCCTCATTACCCAGAGCCAACCACATCCAGACGGCATCATTCACGAAAACTCCCGAGCCCGTCTTGCATTGGGGGCCGTACCTTGTAGCGTTGTGCAGGACGTCTTATGTTGTCAGACTCCTGTTTGTAGCACTGGCATAGCCACCATCCAACCTTGTGGCTGGTCTTGGGTTTGCCTTAAGGCAGACTTTTGGCTGAAAAATAAAAAAGGCGAGATGCTCTTAACCAGCCTCTTTCTCGTGACCCATGGCCGTGCTCTGGTCCCATGTCTATTGAGAGAAAACACTAGCTATCAGCATTATATTTCGACAGAGTTGGCCCCACCAAACAAGTTCTATGGTGTACTCTCTGGCTACATCGCGTTTGCAAATTTGATACCTTTCGCCACTTTTGTCTCACCCAGACTCGGTTGTCAACTAAATCACTGAACCCACGCTCAATTGGCCAGAGCCATGCTGGGTGATAGAAAGTTTGAAGCTGCTACTCAGCGTTCAACGGGCGCAAGGCAAACGTTCGCGATCCCAAGCCTGCTTCCTGAAGTCTACTCATCAAAGACAGCATAGACAATCCCTTCTTGACTTTCGACGATTCACGCGAAGACCCAACCACAGGTCGTACCGAGCTTGAAGCGTACGTCTGGCAATTTGCGACCGAGGCAGGGTTGGCCGATCGATATGAACTGCTCAGATTCGGCGCCCGACTGGCTCGTGACAAGCATGAAGCAATGACCCGATATGCTGGTGAGATTACGGATCCTGAGAAGATGCTCCTGCAAACCGAGAAAAACAAGCAAAGTGGCTTTTGGAGGCAATCAAAGTTCTTTCGTGCTACAATCATAACTGCAAGTCTCGGAGGTATGATACAAGGGTGGACACAGAGCGCCAACAATGGAACTGCCTATGGAATGCCAGATGAATTCGGCTTGTGCTTCCGAGGCGACGACTGCAGTTCCTCAGATCTGTGGACGTTTGGCATGCTGAATGCTATACCCCTGCTATCGGCTGGTTTGTTTGGCACTGTACTAGCAGATCCGCTCCAGGAAAACTTCCTGGGCCGGCGAGGCAGCATCATGGTGTCTTGTGGTATTACTATTGCCTCGACGATCGGCGCCTCTGTTACGCATACAGTCGGCCAACTAGCAGCCTGTCGGGCGATAAATGGTATAGCTCTTGGTGCGAAAGCATCTATCAGTGAGTGAGCCAGCCAAAAAAGAAGTGCGCCGTACTGATAGCAACTAGCCCCTATCTACTCCGCAGAACTATCCCCAGAGCATATTCGGGGCGCGATACTGGCGAACTGGCAATTGGCTGATGCTGCAGGTACTTAAGAATGGGAATCTCATTACCAATTTGCGATGAATCACTGACCACTACAGGCATATTTTTTGGCTTCCTTGCGAACCTCCTCATAGTCATCTACGTTGAAGACAAGTTCAAGAGCTGGAGAATATTGACCAACACAGTACTTATTCCGACAGTCCCACTTCTCGTAATGATCTATCTGATGCCCGAATCACCCCGATACTTGATGAAGCACGGCAGATACAGAAAGGCCCTTGAAGCATTCGAACAAGTCCAAACCACATCACTTCTCGCCAGCCGGGACTTTATCTATGCACATGCACAGCTCGACTTTGAAAGCAGGTTGATGAGGGGAAGTGCGAAAGAGCAGGGCAATCTGGCTCAGCGTATCGATATCAGCACTCAGAGTCTTTCCGGCGGTCTTGCAGATTCCCAATTAATCTCACCGAACGATTCCGTATCGCAAGGACAGTCCATCGCAGCACCAACAAATGATATCAATCTACAACTACCTTTATCCTCTCGAGGAACCGTTCAAAGTTCCGCCCTACAAACCACACAAAGCCAAGAACCTACTATCGAACTGAGGGACCTCCCGACTGATCTTCGTCACCGAACCAGTGACGTCTCCAGTCTGGATATCGACTGGATTCAGCGCGCAAGAAAGAAACGAAACCCATACTCCTATCACATTGGAGTGACTGGCTACTTCAAGCGCCTAGTTCAGCTAATCACGAAACAACGTTGCCGACGCGCGCTGCTGAGTGCCTCGATCTCCATGATCAGCCAGCAAATGACCGGGGTCAACACCATAGCCTTCCTAGGCACTGTAGTCTGGGAAAATTCTCTAAATGTCTCTTCTGGCCCCGAAGACACAAACATCGGCGCTCAGACCGGAGCTATAGTTGGTCTTACCAAAGACACGGCCCAGACGGCAGCGATAATTGGTCTTGCGTTTGGAGCGGCCAACTACGTGTTTGGACTTCCGGCTTACTGGTTATCTGATGTCATAGGCCGCTCCATCATGTTAGCACTAGGTCTCCCGAATATGGCGTGGTCGATGCTGGTTTTTGCATTCTTGTTCAAGATCGAGGGTGAAGCTAAGGTCCCGCTCGTCAGTGTCTTTGCTATTATTTTCACGGCGTTTTATGCACCAACGGCAGGTACATCGCCATTTTCGATTTCGGCCGAGGTGTTCCCTTTGGGTAAGTAAACTCGAAAAATACAATCTCAAAGATACAAACTGATAATGATACGCAGTATCGAGAGAGGTCGGTATGGCAGTGTCGGTCGCCGTAAACCTGCTAGGTGCAGGCATTCTAGTCCTTGTGTTTCCATGTAAGCACATCAATTCTATTCAATTTCAAACATCAGCATTAATTCCTACCAGTCTTGATGAACAGTATCAACATCACGGGCGCGCTGTCGATCTTCGCCGGACTGAATCTCGTCGCGTTTGTGTTGGTATACCTCTTTGTACCGGAGACGAAGATGCGAACCTTGGAAGAGCTTCAGTACACGTTTGACCTGCCTACAAGATGGCACGTTGAATATCGAGCTGGATATATCCGAAAACATGTGGTGAATAATTGGTGGCGATATGTGACGCGGAAGCAGGTGGCGCCGCCGATCCCATTTTATGAATGGGCGCGGATTACTTACGATCAGAAGGAGGGAGGCAATTAGGGACTCAACGTAGCGACATTTCGGCTTAATCTTGTGGTCTATGGGTTGCTAGTCCCAGTATTTTTAATCAAAATTTAGGCCTTACAATATCTATCAGGGTCTTCGCTGTCGCATAGTTCACCTCGAGTCAGCTTTGGTTCGATATGCGCCTGTTGCGAGCGAAGCACATCTGCCATACGGGCATATTTGCGAGTAGCGAGAAGAAACAACGTAAGCAATGAATTCATGTTATTCTAGTATTTCATGAGCTTCAGGATATCTTTCGCACGTCCCAGATCACCAATGAAGTCATTTCAGTGATAATCGGAATATTACTCAAGTTATTACAAATCTACAATATTTCCAAATACCAAAAAAATGCAAACAGAAAGCACCATTACGTATCGCATGTTTATTACCAGGTGCATTCTCCCATTTCAACTCAGCCCTCTCAGCACCATTCATCGATACTTGCCTCAGATTCCACCCTCAGCCACATCATCTACATCCTCGTCTTCGAACCCGAGCTCCTCATCTTCAATCTCGAAATCGCCATAGCCAGCATCAGGCTCCTCATCCTAGAATCCAATTTCATCATCCTCCAATTCAGACCCATCTTCCCCAAGCCCCGAATTTTCATCTTCAAACCCTGACCCGTTTTCATCATCCAACTCGTCATCTTCCTCTTGGCCACCCTCGTCAAAGTCTTCATCATCACTTTGCCCCAAACTGATACTGTCATCAGACGACGCCTCAACATTGATAAGTCCCCCCTGGTCGTTTTGAAGTTTTGAAAGATCGATTCCTGGCTCCGGTTCCAGAATCCAAGCTCCTATCGCCCGATGAAAGATACTTCCATCTTCGAGCCGAGGTGGGGCGGGCTCGCCTTGCATCTTAATAAGCTGCATGCCCCATCGGCATGCATGTTCCAAGGCTTCTCCGGTGCTCTGGAGATCATACCAAGGATTACTTGTGTCGTTGGGACCTTCGCCCCATAAGAAAGACAGGAAATAGCGTATGGCATCGCTTAAGCAGATGTATTTATTCTGATCCGCGAACGCGTGATCATGGTCGCGGACTCGTTTATCATTAGAAACGTAGACGGGGTGGGAGGGGTCAATCTCTTTGCAGATTTTCGAGTACAAATGTCGCCATGCAAGAGTGAGAGGATGTGGGTCTGTGGTGTCCTGATAACTGACATATCCTGCTGCATAATCCTTGTCTTTCATAGGTATACTATTGATGTAATCGCGAATGCCTTGCATTACTACAAACGCATCTTCGGGGGATGGACGGGGGTAGCGGTCTTTGTCCGCCCACTGATTAATGAGATCATCGTATGTAGTACGATCGACTTGAGCAGCAGCCGTGCGACGTTTCTTGACTGGTCGTGTGAACTGTTGACCAATCGCATAGGCGGCATTCCTATCATCGAGCCCATACTCTGGTCGAAAGTCATGCAGAATATTCTCTCCAGTGTTACTGAATTCATCGCGATGCAGTCTGTCAAGTGACGTTAATCGTTCCTGAGCAGTTTGCAGAACGGTGTCCACATCAGGCCGACCTGCGGGATGATATCGCAGACAGCTCTGCACAAAGCGACAAAGTTCGACGCTGTACTCTGTGGGAATTTCCGAGCTTTCAAGGTCTGATGGAAACAGACTATCCTGAGGATTGCAAGCCCCTTCTCTAACAAGCCTTGGGTCTGTGGAAAATTCCTTTGTTCTTCGTATGAGATATTGATCGAAGGCATCAACTCCTTGAGTCGCTTGCATGAGTTGCCATGCAATCAAACCGACGCTCCAGATATCACTCCTTTCTGAACAAGGCCACTTGCTTGGAATATAATCTTGTGCCGGGTTTTCAACAAATCTTCGCTCCTACCAAATTGTAAGCTATCGGCCTTCAATTAAAGTAATCACTTACGGGCGAAGTCCATATAATGGTTCCGTCAAGAGCTTCATGCTCACGGTCGCTTTCCTTTACTCTCGATAGTCCAAAATCAAATAGTAAGACTCTTGGATAGGTAGGATACTTGTCATTTCCCTCAACAATCATAATATTGATGTCCTTGATATCGTTATGTAGGATCGGAGCCCAAGTGGAATCTTCTGGTGGTTCTGCAGGCTCAAAGGGCTTGTTCGAAGGTAAACACTGGCCAGTCTTCAAGACTAACAGCCCTTTGGCTAGTTCGCCCAAAACGTACCAGATGAAGTGTTCTGATACGATTTTCTTCCTGCCATCCGGGCCGGGTCTAGGTTCGATGTTAGCCACCTATGTTCGGTTTAAAAAAGCTCCCTGAGGCTTACAATAGACTGTCATGGGACTCGGGGATGTTTCGCAATGTCCCAAGTGGCGCAAAGTCGCTGTACATGAAGTATTCTGTCATCTCCATTTCATTTATATCTGTTCCTTCGATAATGCGTTTCCTTTTGAGTCTCTTGCTATGTCCACGCAAGGGCAATATATGTGTGCATTGGGCAGGTCGCAGTAACTCATTTATACGAATCTCATCTTCAGCCTCGGCCTCGTATCCTGGGTACGGTCCTACCCATTTTGCAACAATTTGTTCCTCGATATTGTTCGTCGGCGAGACTCGAACGAGGAGCCAGTTCGCCTTCCATGGTGTGCCTCTATCGCCTCTTCTAGAGCTGGCGATAATGCGTGCGAAGGTCCATGGCCCGTCCTCACTCCTATACATGTGTTTAAGTTGCCCATGCGTTGGTGCTAGCGGTTCCTCATCTGGTCGGTCTGCACGAAAGGGTGGCGATAGCTCGCCCGAAGAAGGTGTACCTGGGGGGGCCGCTGTTGGAACTCTTGGACATACTGGTCGTATGGGAGTTGTTTGAGGTCCTGGTTGCGGCATATTTGTCCGAAGTCCAGCCTGTGTGGAAGTGGTTTGAGTTCCTGCCTGTGTGGAAGTGGTTCGAGGTCCTTGTTGCGGAGAAGTTTGAGTTCCTACCTGTGTTGAAATGTTTTGGGGTCCTGGTTGCGGGGAGATTGCGGGCTCCGATGGTAGTGGAGGAGTTGCAACTTCCTGGGGCCTGGGCAACATGGGCTTACTCTTCCTCTTTTTGGACCAGTAATCCATCCTTCTTTGCCAGAGGTCCTGGATATCATGGCCTGTTTCAAATGGGCCTTGATGATCGTTAAACAGAGTTCACAGCTTGTGCGTGCTCTCGCACGTACCTGCTTTGCCCTGAGCCATATCTTTACGCCATTTGATAATCACATCGAGAAAGGCTGCTCTTTGATATACACGCTGTATTTGGTTGTATAGATTTTCATCCACCTCATCAAGACTTTCATATACTGTGGCACCGCCTTGCTGGACCACGTTAGGGCGATTCGGCGCTGCCATTGCTGCTGAGTTCAATCGAGACGAAAGATACGACCGTACTCGCACGGAAATGGGCGATGGACTTCTATATTAAACCAGTCAATTCGACTTGATCAAAGACATGATTGCTCCCAGCCGGCTTTGTTGTATATCCGCATTTGTCAACGGGTTAGTGACAAAGGCGCACTTGAGGACTTCCCTTGGCTCGAATGGATAGATGGTTAGCGCGATAATCATGTTACTACTATGACGGACAACGGCGGTCTTTCATGGTCCGGAATTGGCTATTACGCCTGCTCGAAGACGTATCATATCTTGTAGCTGCTCCTGCATCTCCTTACCAACGTATCGGTCAGCGCAGTCACGGCGGACAACGAACAATGGTTTATCCTATGTCATTTTGTTTTGAGGTGCACAAGATGTCATTTGGAAAATATGGGTGATCTGCGAAGTCTCGTTACCTAATGTCTGCTAAGACAGGCCATGAAACTTCCGGGGCGAGGTCCTCTTGAGTCTGGAGGACAAAGACCTTTCAAACCTGTCACACTTGCGAGTCACGTGACTGAGCAGGGGCTCAGCCCGCATACTGTTATTTCTATATCACCCATAGTGCTTACCTTATACCGAGGTGGTGACTGCCCACCACCATTGGCGACTCCCCTATCCTGGGTTGTCTGGGAGACACCTATTTAGGACTAGTAAGGATATCTATATCTAGCCACTTTAGCTTTCTTATCTATAGATTCTTTAATTAATACTTTTATTATATTAGGTTATAAGCCTAGCTTATCTACTAGCATACTTAGCTTTATTTACTAGTACCTACTTATATTAATCTCTCTTTATTAGCTTCTACTACTTTAGCTATATCTATTGCTAATATTTACTATTATTATAGCTTCCTATTCTAACCTATTTAACGCGTCCCTACTACTATTACTAGCTCTACCTATAGCTTTATTAGAGGTACTACTATCTCTATATCTACTATTACTAGAGATAGATCCTCTCCTAGGATAATTAGCACTACCCCTAATACCTATTATATCTACTAAACCTGTATTTAACTTCTATCTAGACCCTTCCTTATTACCTAAACTAGGTTCCTAAGGCAAGAACTATCTAGAATAGTAGTTAGCCTAGACTATAGTATTTAGATATATAGGTATTTAGCCTATCCTTACTAGAAAGAAGCTAAGACTAATACTTCCTTCTAATACTAAGGACTAGGACAAGCAGGATAATAAGGCTTTAGTTATACTACTATTATTAGTTTATAATAACCTAATAATAAGTGTAGTAAGCTATAACACCTCTCTAGAAGCCTAGAAGTATCTTACTAACTACTTTAATAGGGATACAGGTAATATATTAATCTTACTCTTTTAGTTACTTATAAACCTCTACTATTATAATAGAGATAACCTTAGACTACACCTTAATAAATTCTACTAATACTAGATATATATAGCTAAATATTATATAATATCTATATAGCCTATTATAGTAGTAATATATAATATATTTAACTTAGATTAGGTTAAAGGCTTATTCTTTCTTACTACTCTGCCTAAGATAATAGATAATATTATTAATAACTTGTCTACTAGGAACGTAACTGCGTTTAAAGATATTAAACCTAAGATCCTAGATATCTTAGAGAAGCACTTACTAGATATTACTAACTCCTTAGCTACTTATATAGCTAGATAGATAGTATTTAGGTAACTAATAGCTAGCAACACTAAACTATTATTATCTAGTACCTCTACACTAGAATATACCTAGTATTAGAAGCATAACCTATTATTTATTAGTTATATCTATCCTAATTATAAGTATCTTAAGAGGTATAAGGAGAACTAAGTAAAGGGAAAAATTAGCACCCTACTATAGTTATAGTTATTCTTATTATTAGGCTCTTAGAAGAAGTAGAAAGTAAATAACGCTACTATAGTTAACCTAGATAAAGACTCTAATAGCTTAACTACTATTATTAGTTACTCTACTTACTATTATATTAACTTAACAATACTACTACTATTATTATTATTATACCTAGTGCTTAACTTAAATAGTAAACGTACTAGATTAGTAAGTATATTTATAGTAATCTATTAACCTACTACTATTAACCTACCTATATAGCTTTTTAATACTAGTGCCTCTAGGTATATATCTAGCTGCGCTAATAACTTCCTATCCTTAATACTAAAGATAGGTACTATTACTATAGCTAGTGGTATTAAGCTCCCTATATAAGGAATTAGCATAGTTTAACTTTGCCTATAGCTCCCTAATAGCTTAACTAATATTATAGTACTAACTAACACACTCTATAGCGCTAAACTCTATAGCACCTACTTATTCTTATAGATATTTATTAGATATAAGGGGTTTAAGCTATTTACTAAAAAGGATAACCTATACCTTATTAGATATAGCTAATATATACTATAGGCAAGATATATATAAGGCCTTATATAGCTCTAGACTAAATAACTACTATTACTATTACTATCTACTTATATACTTACAAGCTTGTCCTCTCCTAATTAAATATTAATAGCCCTAGCCCTAATAATAATAATAATAGAGGTAATAGTAATAGTAATAAAGGCAAAGGAGACACACATATATAGAGGCAAAGGCTTTAGGATATACTAAGATTTTTATAAAGCTATAGGATATCTATTAGTACTAAACCTATTATATATTTATACTAATAGATATCTAGTACTAGATAAACCTAGTAATTTTATATACACTATATATTAATAATTAAAGTTAGTGTATTATATACTAATATAAGGAACACTACACTAGACCTAGCTACTTAAGCTTATCTACTCTAACCTCTTAGGGAAGATACCTACTTAAAGTATTAGCGGCTCCTAGTACTATATCTTATTTATTAATAACTATACCTAATATTTATAGATTTAGTTTCTTAAGCTTAAGGCTAACGCACTATAAGCTATTAAGGACTTTATTACCTATATAAACACTTAATTCTATAACACTAGAGCTATAACTAATAATAGTATCCTATAATATTCTATTATTAAGACCTTCTATTCTAACAATAGTAGTAAATATATTAGCTATAATCTTTAGAAATTTTTTATAGCTAAAGGAATTATCTATAAATTAATACTACTATACTACTATAAATTAAATAGCGTCCTAGAGCAATTTAACTATACCCTATTCTAGATTACTTAATATATAATACTATCTAATAATCTACTTTTCTTATAGGCTAAAGTAATAATATTAGTAAATTTTCTTAAGAATATTATACTATATTCTTTAGACCTATTATAACATACCCTACACGAACAGCTCTTTAGGAAGAAGCTATCTATTTAGCACCTCTAACTATTTAGTATCTAAGGCTATATCTATATTCCTATAGAGGCCTAGAAGCTAGGTACTAAACTCCTACACTACTCTAAAGAAGGTATCTTTGTTAGCTATAGTTATAGTACTAGGACAAGCTATCTCTATATACTATAACAAGCTATTATTATTAAATCCTAGGATATTACCTTTATCCTATAGGTTCCCTAAATATTTTAAACTATTTAAGACTAAGGAATTAAGTATAGTCTATAATATTTAGATATAGAGCTTTAATATTTATAATAGTAGCCTAGGGAATTAGTTATAACACTTCCTCCTATTAAAGTTCTTAATAATACTAAGCTAGGGGATATAAGTAACCTTCTATCTACACCTTAAACACCTACGCTTAAGTCTAGAGTAATAAACCTGCTATATAACCTCTTAAGTAGCCTTAACTATCTCTCTATATAGGCACTACCTAGGATAGGACTAGACTCCTCCTCTCTAGATACTTAAAATTTATAAATATCTACTCTAGCCTAGAAGAAACTACGTATAAAAGAGACACCTATATTAACGCCTATAGCTATAACTTATATTAGAAGATAGATAAGAAAGCTAGAGTAATACTAGGGATCCTATACTATAACCTAACTATTTACCTTTACTATAACTTATAAAGAGGATATACTAGTATATATCTCTTTATTTTTAATAACTTTCTTTACTACTATAATATTATTAGACACTCCTAGAATATTTATAGAAGTAATAGATAATAATTATACTACCCTATAGTAGCTAGCTATTAATAAAGAAATTACTAATTATATAGAAAATAGTATATAGGAAGTTATACCCTATTATAAGATACCTCTAGGTGTAAAGCTTATAGGCACTTAATAGGTCTTTAATACTAAGCAAGATAAATCTAGTAATATTATTAAGAGAAAAGCAAGACTTATAGTATAGGGATTTTTATAGTAACTAGGTTTTAACTATAATAATATATACTTACTAGTAGTTAGATATAATAGCCTATAAATCCTCCTAGTCCTTACTACTCTATATAGATAGTAGATATAATAAGTAGACTTTAACGCTATATACCTAAATAGACATCTTAAACACAGGATCTACTATTAACTACCGCTAGGACTGCTATCTAATAGCGCACTATTCCTACTTAAGACTCTCTATAGTCTTAAGTAGTCTAGATATAAATAGTATACTATCCTATCTAAATAGTTAAAGTCCTAGTATTTCTCCTAGGCTAACTTTAATCTATATATTTTTATCTTAAGTAACCTTATCCTTAGGATCTATATAGATAATATTCTTATAGTTAGTACTTAAGAATAGATTAATATAATACTCTACCTTATAAAGGCTTATTTCTACTTTTAAGACTTAGGATAACTATATATAATACTAGGGCTTAAGATTAACTATTTTAATAATTATATAGAACTTTATTAACACACCTATATTATAGCTATCCTTTAATACTATAGTATAACTAACTATAATAGTTAACACACACCTATTAACTCTAGCTTATTCCTACCTTACACACCTATAGATATACTAGTTAATATAGACTAATAGAAGAAGTTCTAATCTATTATTAGCTCCCTTAACTTTATAGTAGTTATAAGCAGACTAGATATAGTATATATAATTAGCCTACTTAGTTCCTATAATACTAATCTATTAGAAGGATATCTTAAGCTAGTATTCTAAGTACTCTAGTATATCCACGTAATATTAGATTACTAACTAATAATTAGGATATAGCCTACTAGATAACCTACTTAGATTATAATATATTTAGACGCTTTATATATATTAGACCTAGATAACTTAAAATTATTTTCTAGGTATATTCTTAAGGTTAATAGTTTAGTTATCTCTTAGTTATCTAAGTAATAAAGCTATATTACTTAAAGTATATATAAAGTAGAATATATAGCTACCTTATACGTAGTATTATATCTTATCTAGGCTTAACGCGCTATTATAGAATTCCTGCTAGTTATACTACTATACTACCTACTTATTAATAATAAACTAGCTATTGCACTTATTTAAGACTAGAAGTTAAACCTATAATTAAAGTATATCTACGTTTATTACTACTTTATAAGAGAATAATTCCTAGAAGGTAACTTTAATATCTAACATATTTAATCTAGTAATAATCTTATAGACTTATATATAAAGGTACTCCTAAGGCCTATATTAGAGAAGTTAGACGCTAGAATATTAGATATTATAAATAAAGGATAATCTTATTTACTTAGGAGACTAGGGGATATAGTTTTTCTCTTATTTTCTTTATATATTTATAGTTACTATAGATTTAGGGGACTGTTATTTCTATATTACCTATAGTGCTTACCTTATACTAAGGTAGTAACTGCCCACCACTATTGGCGACTCCCCTATCCTGGGTTGTCTGGGAGACACCTATTTGGGACTAGTGAGGATATCTATATCTAGCCACTTTGGCTTTCTCGTCCATAGATTCTTCAATCAATACTTTCATCACATCACATACATCAGTGTTTGTCGGGAAGAATAAGCCACAGCGTTAATTTGTCTACAAAATTTGTTATTATTGGCGCAATATACATGCTACCACAAATTTCGCTTGCTGCTTCTTTCTGCCTGTGTGCCTTGTGCCAGGTATTCGGGCCTCGTACCGGTATTGTGCCTGCCAAAGCTGGCGTCACGGATCACACATGTGTGACCCTGGCATGGCCGCTCACATCCGATACCAACCTACACAGTACATGAGTTTTCTGTTAATTGTCTTGGAATTGATGTTACCTGTTCCTCCAGTCCTTGTGTTATCGACAGTGGCTCACCATTGATGATGCGAATGTTTAACGGCGAATACTCATGGTAGTAAATACCTACCTATGGGCCGGCTGCGCCGATCGTCCTCAATCTATACATGCACGCATGGCTTGGGCCTGATGTCAAAATAAGGATGTGGGGATAACTCTACCGCTCTATCGGCGAGAGAAATAAGAACACTCTACCCTGGAAGCGGGTCCGCAACTCCGTATCTGACAGGTCAGTCACGGTTTGTAAGAGACGGGTGTTGCGGCCTACCAGGCCCCACCAGATTCTTAGCTAGAGACAAGATGTCGGCGATCAACCAAGGCCTGTTCAGTGTGTACAGGGGAAAAGAATGCCGACACTGCCAAATATTGGTACTTACCATGTACACTGATATTGCGGCGTCCGACCGCACAGTACTGATGACCTGCATTTGCACGTCGGATGGGCAGCACGGCAAGAGAGATTTGTCCTTGATGACCAATACAATCTCCAACATCTTGTTTCCATGGCCGCAAACATCTGCAATGACCTTGAGATATTCGCAAAGCCACGTCTGTTGGAAACCTCCTGTGAAGTACATGCACAGTACATATTGGTTGGTGCATTTACATCCTTGCTTGACTGGGATCCTCGGTACCGGCGCGCAGGCCCTATTCATCCAGCTTGGCGGTCCCCACCCTGCCTATTGTCTCCTGAAGGCTAATCCCTCATTGTTTAATCGAAGATCTAGGGCTAAGCCGTTGACTGTTCGTTTGCAGATATGATTACGATCATAGAATAAATCCAGTTCTGCAGTCCTTGTTCAAATGATATATGGTACCTACTAGCTACCTATGACGGGCAAGAATTAAACAAAAAGAATTCCTCATCGCGACAGGCTGCCACAAGCGACATAGCGTCAGGATAAGTCCCTTCGTACAATTGAGTCTCTAATAAATGCTGTGTCTCTCGAGCGCGCATAAATATCAAGCGCGAGTCAGTGTTGACTGTCCACATGGTGCGACTTGCTCCGGACCAGCATTATCCAAGTATGATCGCACGACTACCCCTCCACGCTGTCATGTGGCCAATGATGATGAATGATTATATTGAGGCGCGGTTAACTAAGTAATTCTGACTGATTCTGCATCCATTGAAGTTCTGGAAGGGCTTGTGGAGATACAACATGGCGCTACCAACGTCAGCCGATCGGCATCCGTATAATCTGCAGTCCAATAGTAATGCTATTCCGAAACAAGCATTGTAGGTCTCGGCCACGGCTTGGACGGGCCTCGTGCCACCTTGTGGCTTGAAGAAAGGTGTTGGTCTCGTTTCATTGGTGTTCTCCGCGTTTTTCGGATAAATATTTCACACTACGCGGCGTCTACACCCGCAAACCCGCTTGAATTCGTTATTAGCCTCAATCCGTGTCCCTGGTCTCCGACTTTATGAAGCTACATTGAGTATAAGTAGTCGGGATGCTATGCAGATCGTTTTCAAGTCCAAGGCTACCAGCCCGACAGCTTCACACTCAGTCATTCGCTCTCTAGAAGCCTTGATAATATCCATTCTTTGCATAGTTTTTCTATCACTTACCGGTATTCAACATGGTCGCCATCGCGATGGGTGCGCCCAAGGGCGATTCCGCAGCTCGCGAGGATGCCCCAGAGTTTGAGAAGGTTATTTGGTACAAGGAGCCAAACATGCGCAAGCTGTTCTTCTGGTCCTCCATTCTTTGTATCGCGTCTGCAACCACCGGATACGACGGGTACGTCTGGTCCCTTTTCCAGAGTCCTGTGACAGCCTTCTAACAAATTCACAGTATGATGATGAACTCATCGCAGCAGATGAAGCGATGGGAAGACTACTTCCACAAGCCGTCGAGCAACCGCTTGGGAATAATGAACAATGCGTATAACATCGGTTCAATCATCAGTTTCTTCATTGTGTGAGTCTGCTTGTCTTACTTTGTGTTCGTTGGGTTGATCTAACTCGAGTGTCATCTTAGACCTTTCATGACTCAAGCTCTTGGTCGCAAAATTCCCATCATGGTTGGCTGCCTGATCATGTGCGCTGGTGCGCTCGTTTCCACCTTTTCAACTACCTGGCAAATCTACATGGCCGGCCGTCTTATCCTCGGTTTCGGCAACTCGTTCGCACAGATGTGCTCTCCTATCCTTCTCACTGAGATCTGCCATCCCCAACATCGTGGTATTTTCACGGCTGTCTACAATTGTCTCTGGAATTTGGGCGCCCTATTTGTTGCGTGGATTGCATGGGGTACCTCTCAGGCTGATAATGAGTGGTCGTGGAGATCCATTACCCTCCTGCAAGCTGTGCCATCTGTAATCCAACTCATGTTTATCTGGTGGGTTCCAGAATCGCCACGTTGGTTGATCTCCAAGGAACGCTACGAAGAAGCTCTGGACACGCTTGCTTACTACCATGCCAACGGAGACAAGAACAACATTACCGTGCAGTTTGAATACACTGAGATGAGAGACACTATCCGCATGGAGGCTGATGCTAACGCTAACTCGAGTTACTTGGACTTTTTCAAGTCCAAGGGTAACCGCTGGAGGTTGGCCATCTTGATCTCTCTCGGTATCATCTCCCAGTACTCTGGAAATGCGTTGTTCTCCAACTATATCAACTTGGTATACACCGGAGCTGGTATTGAGGATCAGAACCAAAAGATGCTTGTAAGTCATTTGACGAAAGTAAAATATCACAACATCACAACATGTCTAACAGTCCACGCAGCTCTCCGGAAGCGAACGTATCCTCTACCTCGGCGTTTCCATCTATGCAGCCACACTTATCGACAAAGTCGGTCGTCGCCCACTCTTCCTTGGCGCCACCGCTGGTATGGCTGTGTCCTTCATTTGCTGGACCATCACTTGCGCCGTCTACGAGAACTCAGGCGAGCAAAACCATGCTGCAGGATATGCTCAGATCCCCTTTGTGTGGCTATTTGGTGTATTCTACGCCATTGCATGGTCTGGTCTACTTGTTGCCTACGCCCTTGAGATTCTACCATACCGCCTACGTGCCAAGGGTCTTACTATCATGAACATCACTGTTCAGGCCATTTTGGCTGTCGGTGGCCAGACCAATCCTGTGGCATGGGAGAACCTGCCTAAGCACTGGAATTTGGCTCTATTCTACACTGTAAGTTGTTCACTGCACTGGTGCACTACGCAAGAGACTAACACATTGCATAGCTCTGGATCACGGTTGAACTCATATGGGTCTACTTTGTCTACCCTGAGACCATGGGCCCGACGCTCGAGGAGATCTCTCGTATCTTTGACGGATCCGAGGCTGTTGCTCATGTGGACATTGTGGCCATCGAGAAGGATGTGCACGAGGGACGCCTCGAGTCTATTGATGGCAAGGCTCCACACGTGGAGCAGACTCGCGTCTGAGCTATTCAAGGGACTTATACTTGCAAACTATAGCGATAGTAGTCTTTAGATGTTGCGAGATCCTTTAGAGCGTCAATACCCGTCAACGTTCAATTTATGCTTTTGCCGGACTAAAATACTGGTCTACTTTTGCGGCTCCAGTGCCATTGGATATTGAGAAACGTGAATCGTCTTGAAAGGCTAGCAAATTTCACGTTATCGTAGGCAGAAGTCTCCTTTCAAGTCTTGTTTTTCTGCAGGTAGTCAGTGAAAGCTGTTCACATAGGCCAATATTTCCGATACTGCTCTCACCATCTAGTGCATCTTTTCGTGGCCCGGGCCGTCATTTCTCTCTTCAATTACCCGCCTTCAAAGTCATAACATGCATGATGGATCTTTTGAGATGATCTTAAACGTACGATGTGAGTTCATCTAGATCGCGGATACAAATTTCAGAATATATTGCTAGGCCGAGCATCTCATTCACTTTTCCGACAGGTACATCGTTGTTAGAAACGTTGTGTCATATTGAAACGCGATGTGTATGTAAATACAATAAAAGATTATGTAAAGACTGAATGGTGTTCATTGTTAAGAAAAGACATGAGCTTCATTTCGTCATTGTTAAACAAAAAATTTGTTTGGGGAAAGTGGACTTTGGGACGTATATAATAAAGTGAAGTGAGGTGAACATGTAATGAAATATGAGGCCGTAAACGTCGATGTGTGGTTGGAACACATCGAGCGTGATAAACCATCTCAATTATGAACAGCCAGCTGATGCTGTGCGTAGCGTGCTTATCATGGCTGAGCAAACGTTCAGGACTCTTATCCGCGTCAAAGGCGGCTGCATTATGAAGATAGAGCTATTCATAATCGTCAGCAGCAGCCTCGGTAACCTCGTAAGGTTGTTGCGTGTCATTTCCAATCTCTTGGTTCCAGTAGCCCAGGAGATTAGACATGTCGCGTTGGTGTACAAAGCCTAGATCCTTGACCTTGACGTTGTATTGAATTGGGTGATGAATACCGAAGAATATTCTTGAAGCTGGAACTAGGCGCTCGCCTTCATTCATAACGATGCAGATGGGTCTTTTAGATAGCTGTTGCTCTCCAGGGAGCAGTCTGGGTGTACTACGAAATGAATAGGCAATGGAATGCTCTTCTGGGACAACACCTGGCTTCGTGGTGCCTTGGTTGGAGTAGGTAAATATGGGACTATTACTGTCAGACAGACTATCATGAATGGAGCAAAGTACTCACACAGCATAGCAGAAGCCTCGTTTACGTCGAACAACGATAAATCGGCGCACTTGAGTGTGAGCCAGCTCATTGTATCGTACGCGAGAGAGTGCTGTGTTGTAGTCGGTGACAGCGTTGAGAGTAGATTGCATACCGGCTGCTTCGGTAAATAGCACCGCAAAGAGCTGTTTGTATGTTAGTCAGGGTTATCAGCTCCTTGTTTCAAATCAACTAACCCTGCCTTCCTGGAAGTAGTCATGGGCCCTCACGTAGTAAGCTGTACTTATCCGTTAGAACTAGTCTAGAGAAGCGTATTGCTTCAAGAAGGCATTGGCAAGGCTCACCTGGGTCGAGCACCTCAGAGGTTCCCGGGTTCAATGTGTTGTAAGAGCCTTCCACTCTATTTCCCATGCGGGGATACGCGGGACCAGCATTGGCACTGGACGCAACGGCGGGGGTGTTTTGTTGGAAATTCACAGGCGGATCATATACAGAATCGTGTCTCTGAGCTGGGAGCCAGTCGTGAAAGATCCATTGTGCTATTTGAACTCAGTCCACGTTTCGGAGCAAAACTCTGGTATCAGTGCCGTTTGTTACCATTATAATGATCATATCGCTTGCGATACCATCTTCGGTGAGCATCGCTCCAGCAGTCCTGGTAATTAGGGTCGTCCATGATTACCCACAGACCACATGGCAGCTCCGAACGGTGACACGACTCTATCGTCGCTGTAGACTCCCGAACACGTCGGTCTGCATGTATTTATGTATGGTGGGCTGGCAGGTCACAGAGCCGCACACTGCTTCGGGAGCCCGACAGCGGGCGGGATGATTGCTAAACCACCCAGAAGCCATGCTGCCGAAAAGCCCTCCCCACAGGAATACAGTGGATGGGGACATGCGTCTTTGATGAGTAGACCAGGGCTGCGACAGGTGGACCAGATACGAGTGCTGCACCGAGGGAACGCTAACCTCCACGCCAGTCCCAATCGAGCATTGGCCCGAGGACCAACGTTGGCTATTCGTGCGCCGCCTTACTTCGCGCCGACGGGTCAGAGAAAGGGAACCCGTCCCCATTCCGATGGGCCCCGGCAACAAGGCAGGAGACGTTGCCTTGTGCATCAGCCCTCAGCATTGCCATACGCTGTTACGTTAGGTACAGGGACATAACTTCCAGCTAATCTCGCCCTCATGCTGCCTTTCATCCCAACCTCGCTGTTACCATGCCCCTCTACCCTTTGCGCCTGTCGAGCGATCCCCAAACAGCCTGGAGATGACGCAGGCATATGAGAGTGCCGTAACCGGTATGTACTTCTTAATTTGAATGGATGCTGTGCTTGCTGGGATCTTGACACAGCTGCTCGACGAAGTGATGATGCTGAAGCGTCTAGGTGCAGCAAGAACAGAATTGCAGCCGAGCCTCTTGCCGCCAAGTCATGCACAAAATAGAGCTTCGCTGGTATCTCCTGAAGACCTATTCAACAGTTTCACAGATCTCATTGATAATGGGCCACATGCAGCTGATGACAAGGACTCTATGGCACCTTCAATCCAGTCTCGACTTCACCCGGAAATATGCCCACAACCTCCACCTCTACCTCTACCTCTACCTCTGGTATTACCTGTATCTGATTTGAACATACCTCCGCCTCCTAGATGTATAACGGAGGATGCCTATGGTTTCGTCACATCCTCGCAGCAGGATGCATTCATAGACAGGTTGGCATGCGAACAGGATGATATACGGGACATTCGAGATAGCGTGCTAGGTTTTAGGTTCAGGCTTCGAGCTCAGCGCAGTCAGCTGAGAGATGCACGGATGGAGGCAAGTGAAAAAGATGGTTCGCTTCTGAACATGCTACGCCAGTACCTACATGAACACGAATTACCAGAGCATATCAGAACCAAGCTTGACGAGGCTTCAGCCCTTCATGATCGCCTTGGCCCTATGGAGTCCAGTTACGATGAGCTAGAAAGGGAGTATGATGCTCAAGAGTGGAATTATACGCGCAGAGAGACTAGCTTCATTCAAACCCTCACAGAAAGTGCATTCGTAGTTGAACATCCTCATCGCAGAACCGACAATCTACCATCGGCGAATCCAACATCTTTTGCGGTGAGTGGTTTGAAAGGTCTAGGAGATGAATCCTGGGGTGAAGGGTCACACGTTGCGAACACCAAGGATATATTTAACGCATCAGAAAATTGGCCTCATCTCTCCCCGGCAGATGGTTTCCAAATGTCAAGAGATGAAGGCTTCATGAGCAATGGCGGTGGGGAAGCGCAGAACCTTCTCCAGGACAACAAATCTCTCCATTTGCGTAAGCGACATGCCTGGGCTAGAAAGATTAAAGAAATCGACGACTGGCTTCAAGATCAGGTGCTACAATCACCAATTGCCAAGATTCGCGCCGAGCTCTGTATGAGAAAATTGCCACTAGATGATGACGCTTGGTGGCAACAGGTGAAACAGAACTGGATGTACAAGCATGACGGGCTCCCAGTATTTCATACCGGGGACTCTACAATTTCTGATATCGTTATGAGCCCCTGCACATCGACCACGACTGAACAACTAGGTACCGGACAAGGCCAAGTGCAGACAGAAAAAAAGGATCAAATGGTGAGACAAGAATCAGCGCCGGATCTTCTAAAGCCGTTGGACATGACAAACACTGAGAAATCGACTTGCCATGTAAGTCCAGCTGAGAAAGACAAAGTTAAGCGTGCCATCCTAACGGCAATGACGGCGAGGACGACGACCATCTCTATCACGACGAATGAATCACCCAGCCGTTGCTCATCCTTACTGACACGACGTCGAACGAGTCCTGGACCAGGGAGCATTGTCTTGTCCCCACTCTACAGAACGAGCTACATCTGATGCCGGCTTTGATGTGAGAAGTCCGCATCGGTTTCAGCGCTCCGAAAATAACAATCAGAGTACCCCGGCGACTCCCACGCAGAACGGTAAAGAGAGGAAGAGCCCAGTAGCACCTCTTTTACAATCGACTTCTGTCAATATCGGTACACGCGGTGAAGGTGCCTGGAACGTTCACGATCCGTCAAGACGGGCACTGGGGACTTCAGGATCACAATCAAACTTTTCACCCGTTGTGTCAGACTCCATTTCACTTCTTGTAGCGCCGACAGATCCAATTCCCCAGCCTTCTCAAGTTATGCTTCAGCATAGCCCAGTCCATAGTTTGTTATCAACGCCTGAACTACCGGAAAGTCTTAATCACACGCAGTGCAGAATCAAGCTATAGGTAAGAATGAAGCACACGATCCTATGGCCTGCCATATAGCATGTGGACCTCACCATAACACTTCGTCATCTTCACTACCTGAAAATTCCTACTCAACAGGAATTAATCAAGCTCTAACTGAAGCCATTGTTTCTGAAGAGAACGATAGCGGTCCCTCTCTCACTACTACTGCCCCCGAGCTCCATTCGACAAGAGTGCTGGAACACTTCACAGAATCTCCTCTGTAAATCACCATTTTTATTGCTTTCTAGCGCAAGCCAACTGCAGTTCTTCTCTCGACCGCTTCTCTGGCCCTTGCGATCTGTTTTCTACTTTTAATGAGTTGTGCTTATGTTTCCATAGCCCAGAGTTCAAGACTTTTACCGTGACGCAAGATTCGCCATTCTGGCTGTTCATCACTGTTATCCTCTCGCAAAGAGTGATTGTTGACATAACCTTTTTCACTACACCCTCCACTTGCGCAATTACTCAAGTTGACTTCCTTCAGATAGAGTTGAAAATCAGGAGTATAGCGCTATGAGTAATCGAGATGTAGCACCAGTGTTCTCACATTCTGATTCTTATTCTTGATAGGACAAGCTGAAATTTTCTCCCATCGCCGACTTTGAGAATTGAATGAGCAACCCATCCACTCGAGGATCACAATCACATTCGGGCCGGAAACCGATTTCTGTATACGATCCATGCATCCTGTATACTCACGAACATGGGCAAAGCTTGGCAAGGTGCCCATTGTTGCATCCAGCCGCGTCCTGGGACATACCTGTGTGTCGTGAAGCCAGCTGCAACGCGACCAGCCGAGGAGATACTTGTTCCACATAATTTCATCAGAAACGCCCGGTCAAGCCTGTACGAACCACTGCGCAAGCTCACTACCGATCCTGGAGGACACACAATTAACTCCTTGTCATGATCGCATGCCCACAGGCCGTACCCCGCACACACCTCCAACCAGACAGTCCTCAGCTGACAGATCACAGCTCTGCTGAGACCCGGTACTTGAAGCACAAAACGTCACTAGAATGGCTGAGACTAGACTCGGTGTTCGATATCCACCATTGGTACAATGCAATGTTACACAGTATCATGCCATGCCGTCCGAAATTGACGGGAAGGCAATGCGGCGAGCGCCAGGTAATCCCTTTGTGGCCTTTCACACGGCAATCAAGGAAGCGTGGATGTGCTTCGGCCTGATGCACCAATTTTACTATTGAACCAGGATACCTGTGACTGGGCAAAAGGAAACAAATTGCAGCGAATCACAGCCATGATCCAAGCTCATTTCGTTACTCGCTACCATGATTTCTGGAGCTCAGGATTCAAACACATGACGTTAAGATAGAGTTGTGGGGACAATGTCGATCGCTGTCAACAAATCTCCAGCCCTATGAGTCCATTCTGCGGTCAGTCTTGATGCCTCAGGTTTTCTGCTCAAGTTTGCATATATACAGTGGTGAACGGGCCGGTCCTAAGGTAACTAAGTGGGACGGCGGGAAGGCTAAGTTCGGGGCCGCCCGGTCCCCGTCAGCCCTGTGGGAACCCACCCGCGCTTGGCATCTCACCTACCTATCGCATGGACGTTCTGTCTTTGCATGAGATGAGGATGTGAACATGACCAACTAGGCCGAAAGTCCTCTTGCATTGACGATCCGAGTGTGTTTCTGCTAACCCATGCGCTTACCAGTTATCGCGACGCCTGAGCACACCTCCAAATCATGTCCATGCTCGCTTGTTAGGTACGGCCTCCGATTGGCAGACCGAAGGCGCCAGGTCAGAGTTGCCTGATGGCAGGCAAACGGCACGATATTCGTTGCGTATCTCTTTCTTCAGAGCAATAAGCCATGATCACGACGATCAATCGACAAGAATAGACTCGTAAGCAGTGTGTCCAAGTTATGACCGTTGCTTTTGGGTCGTCTGACTCACCATCCTGGGGCCTTGATAGCCAGCTGTGGCATCTTGCATCCTGCAGACTAGGATCTGCTTACTCAAAGCTGAGACTGAGATGAGCTGCTTTGGTACTGTATGTACGACACGTGGGGGTCAGCCCGTGTCCCTCGTCCTGCGCGGAACTCCGTGAACTACCAGTCCTGTCCAATAGGAGCCTTTGTGCAATCTGGGTAGTGCAATATTATGATGCTTTGGACGTGCGCAAGGGCTTACGCAGCCTTGACATAAATGACTATCCAATCAAAAGATGATTAAGCGGATATTGTCGTTGACAGTAACAGGCGTGATGACTCAATCATATGTGCTAATATGACTGGCCGCACAGCTCAGTGCCGCGCCTGAGATGCTTGAAGGGGGGAAATTCCATACGGTCGATTGTTGCTTTTGTGGTGACGCATTCTTTACAATGATGGAACATCGGAAGACATAATATGTGTCGCCCAGCATGGCTATTGGGGTGCATATACCTACAACAAACCTCATCTAAATCAGCACGAAACGGTTCTGCATACGAAATGATCTGACATCGGGGGAGTAATACAATGGTTACTCCAAGTAATCTGATAGGTCACCTGGCGAAATGCAGGTTCGACACTAACCATTTCCGCAGATGCATGGATTGTTGGTCCTAGGTCGCATCTCCGCGTCGCAGTTGTCAAGGACGTTGATTCACGATTGACCACATTCTTGACACGGTCAAACACATCCTTGATAGACGACCGTGGAAAATGGGTCTGGCGTTTGCATAGCGCCCGCTGTGGGTACCTACTTGATTCTCTAGTGCTCACCAACAACCAAATGTCTGGATATTATTGTGGATACCGAGTATTTAAGCGGACTCTCATATGTTATGAACTTGTAATTTGCCAATACTGGCGCTTAGGCCTTCGACGCGCTGCGTTGCTGACCTGAAGCAGCTCGAGACAAAGCAATGCCCAGCAGAAGTAAGATAGGAGCCATTACCGAGCCCGATGAGGCTGAAAATCAATATTGAGGGAGAAGAGCTGCATGGCTGAGGATTTTTCTCAAAACTGTTTTATATTGGGCATTACCCTTGCTACTTGGCACGGTGAAAATGTTGGGTTCCTATGCAGCTTCCTCTACCTTCTTTTTGCGTACGGTACTCAGAGCAGCGATGACCTACTAATCCTAGACTGATACACGCTTGCAGATGGTATGTTTTGAGCTATCGTGAACATAGGCAGACCTTGTTTCAACCCGTGTATGGAAGCGGAAGAGCCATGGTCATAGGCAACATTGAGATGCGCAAGTCCTTCAATAGAGAATTTGATTGTCAAAGTTTGATTATAAGGCTTTTCTTGCAAGCAGAATACTAAAATTAAGAGAGGATCTATTGTAACTGCCCGATTTTGACAAGTAAATACGAAAACATCGAGACGTCCCAGGGCACAACTATTCCTTGACACCTTGCATCACTTCTACACCGCGCCGCGAGAAGCCCAATGATCTTGCCACATCTAGACCTAAGGGACAAAAAGAATACTCTCTTTCGATTAGATAACACTACGGTACAAAACCAGTTTACAGTAGCCATATTTATCTAAAGTAGACTAAGAAGTAGTTTAGGTAGAAGAAGTAAACCTAAATAGGGTTCACTATACTATATATTCTACTTTTACTTCTACTTCTATTAATCTACTAGTATTACGTAGTAATAACTAGTTTCCTACTAACTATTTAAGTATTTTACCCCTCCTTTCTTTAATCTTCTTCACCACCTCCACCTCTACCACCACCTCTACTCTCACCTCTAC